CGTTTGCGTTTTTTCTTCTTCTTTTATTGGAATTATGATAATAATAATAATTTCTATTTTAATGACTTTTGCGAAACGTGACCTAAATCTAGTGTAAATATTACGTGGCTAATAAAAAAAGCTGAATCGTGAATCGAATCGTGCGAAAACCGTAAAATGTTAATGTTGTTTACTGATTGATTCATAAATGCGTAAATAGATAAACACATTCGATGTGAAAACCAATAATAAACTATTTAGATTATGAGAATGTTTACCGTTTATATAATATTAACAACAAAATACAAAATTGTTATTCATATTGAAATAAAATTTTAATTGATTGTATCAAGTCGTTAAATAAAATAGCTGTAAATTGTCACGGCTTTCAGTAATTTATCAATAATTATTATATTAATTACTATTTGTTCACTTTTGACCGTGAATGCTTTAGGTTCAAGGTAAAAATATATATTTAAAGCATTACATGTCAATGATTTTAACAAATATTGATTTGGTATTCAATTCTACTTCAATAAATGTCAAAATGCATTAAAATAGTGTTCGACCAAAACTTGTATTTCATACAAAACAAAAAATCCCTTTCAATGATTTCAAACAATTGTAGAAAAATATTCCTATTGTTTTTTTATATTTGAATTGTTTGTAAACTAAATACCTGTGCCAAACATTTTTCCGCATACATCAACTGCCATACATTATTTAAATAAAATATACTTCTAGCTGAATGAAATATCTATATATATATAAAAATGAATTGCTGTTCGTTAGTCTCGCTAAAACTCGAAAACGACTGAACGGATTTATCTTATCTTGGTTTTGAATTATTCGTGGAGGTCTAGGGAAGGTTTAAAAGGTGAGAAAAATTCAAATAATTGCCGGGAAAATCCTCAAAACAGCTCTTTTCTATAGAATAAAATTTGACATTGAGATTCAATCATAGTTATAGTTAAATAGTTGAATTCGAGATGGCGCGCTGAAGTGCATTATTGACAAAACTTTATATAATTAATTTCTTTAAATTAAAATTGCTAATCTTATTGATAGAATTGACTCTTACTACGAGTATGTTTAGAACAAGAGAGTAAAAACGAATTACATTTTTATTAAACACTGCCGGAACGAAGTCGCGGGCAACAGCTAGTTTTAAATAAAAATCGCGCAAAATTGCTCACAAGACCAAATAAAATCAATACTCAGCGAAATAATTACAGCAATATCAAACCATGTTGTGATGGGTGAAGTGTTGTATGAGCATGTCAAATATTTAGTTAAATATTTGTGTTTTGTGTCGCTAGCACACGAACACATTTATTGCTCGTCTGATGGCTTGCATGAGTTTGAGTATTAATAGCGTAAATCAATAATGCGGTTGATGATCTATCCTTAACTATTATTATAGACCGATACACGTGTATACGATACGTATCCAATAATATATTTATTCAAACATGGTCGGTATCACAGATGTCGAGAGTCAGCAATGACAGTAATATATTTGCTATTAGCAGATGTGAACGTGCATAAATAATAATATAACTAATATGCCATTAAAATATTTAGTTCATTTTGCACAATTATTTAGAAACAATATATTGAGGAAAATAAATATCTCCCACACAATTCAAGGCAATAAAACTTTTCTGCAGAAATATTTTTAGATTGCCAGCAATAGCAATGTCTTGGTTTGAATGCTAAAAATATAACTTTTAATTATTTTTCTTATAAATTTTTATGTCTGATGTGTTGATTTTCGTGTGTTGATTTAGCCACCAAACCAAACCTCAAAATTAATTTAGATTAGTAGACGTGAAAAGCAGTGAAAAATTCTTTTCATTTTAATGAAATAGAATAACATTTTTAGGGTGAAAAACAACCATGTTATGAACTACGCAGCAAATCGCGAAACCAAAGATGGGCGAAATGACATTACGTGCAAAATACGCAGAATAAAATTAAAACTCAATGCCAATGTTGCGCATATTGTATTCGGTTTTAACATTTTAGTATAAATAGACTGTTAAGTAGTCTTCAGCATTAGTTTAAATTAACGTTGTTGCGTTGGCGGCCATTATGTTTCGCGTTTCATTTTCTGCGTTTCGTTGGCTTTTATTATTTTTTATTTTCTCTTTTTTCAAACACGAACTTGGCGAGCTTTAAACACTAAGCACATTTAACGCGTTGAATTACCATTACGCAATATAAATATAAATTGCTGCTTTCATTAGACGGCGAGGGTAAAATTAATTAATGTTTTCTACGCTTACCTATGTATTTTTGTTGTTGTGGTTGCGGTGTGAAGGTTTTCAGTAAATGACCATATTCAGGCCAAAATAATATTAAACGTTTAGTTTTAAATTATATAAAACTGTTTTTATGTCCCCGATAATAAAACTTTATTAAAAACTATTTTTGTATTTATTATGTTTCGAAATATATATTTTAATATTAAATTTAGCCATGATTTTATCGTAGGTATTATTAATTTTGTTTAATGTTTAATGTTTAATGTTTTGCAAATAATTAAACAGATTTTTCAAAATTAAATAAAAAATACCAAATTTTCATTTTAAAATATTTAAAATAAAAGACACCACATACAAATGATTAGCAAAAATCTTTTTTAATAATTAATTCGCTAAAATCTCCATTATTCCTTTTTCCAAAAACAATTGTATTTTAAATCCAAGCTTTACAATTCATTTCGAAAAATTTTCTACACATTTCTCCATTTTTGCATATTTATTAAACGTAGGTGACGTTGGTGGCAGCATCAAACAGTGTTAATTAAAAGGTATGAAACCCTTGGGAGGTTGCCAGTTGCCCCTCGACTTATGTAAAACCGTTTTTTGCATTTCCCCCAACTGAGAAAATTATTCCATTTCCGTGGAGCACATGCGCACACGATCTATTATTCGTGAATTCAAAGCTCACTTCAAACCGCACCACCACCAAATAACAAAGGGTAAAGAGAAAAGTAAAAAATAACGCACAGTCTGCAAGCATTCGACGCAAATTTTGAACATGCTTTACGTATGTTTGATGTACAAAGAATGTTTTCCGCTAATGAAGATGAGCTGTGACTCATTGCAAATGTCTCATAAAAGTATATAAACAAGAATGGATATAAAATAGCTTCTTACATGCAAGTTGCATTATATAATTCGCATATTGTATATTGATGTAATTTAAGCATTAAATAGTATTTTTGTGATTAAATAAATTAAGAAAAATACAAATTTGTGATTGTTTGATTAATAATAGCAAAAAACGGGCTAAAAAAAGGTTTACAATCAAAATAATTAGTCCTGGTTTAGTTTACGAGTATTTACAATGCTTGATTGTCGACCTCGTTTGCAAGAGTAATTAATTACTGAAATTTAAAGCAAAAAACGTAATTAAGTTTTACGACAAACTTTATGTTGCCTTTAAACGACTGTTGCTGAACTGTTACAATTGTATACGATTTTTTTATTGCTTCATTTAGTATTTTTATCAACTTGTGAATTTACCACTGTTTAAGCTCTTTTTTAAAATTTTAATACGCAAATGAACATATTTAATGTAAAATGTCAAAACATGCTTTATTTAAATATTTTTCTAAGGTACAGCATAATTTAAATATTGATAATTTTAATAACTGTTTATCTTGGCATTTCCTCTAAAAACACTTTGAAATTCTCTGTCAACTAGTAAAACATATGTTGGGAATGCTTAATCCAACTCCTCTATTGATATTGACTATTATCAAATACGAGAAATGCATTGCGGTCGAATACGCGTTGGGAGATAATGAAAAAATAATATTTGCTCAACCGAAACTGATGAAACTCCGGCGGAATTTATTGGCATAGGCGACTATTTGTTTTACCGGTCAGTTGATCAAACAAACTACCAAATTAGATAAAAAAAACAAGAATATGATCATAATGCATAAAAAAATTGATCCGAAAATAAAAATTTGCAGTGAGAAAATGAATGGAAACAATTTGAATCTGTGATCATAAGATGTTATATGAAACTAATTAATTTAATTAATTATCAGCTGCGCGCGCTTTAGTAAGATGATTATCATTCGTTTATCATCATCCTTGATCCTTTTCTCTTTACGTCTTAGCGGAAAACCCTTTGGCCTTTAGGATGAGAGATGAAATTAAACGAAAACTTAATTAGTCTAGCGGAATTAACGAAATTTATCATGAATTGAAATTCATATCCGTATGATGGCATTACTTATACTTACTGATTACAAAATGCAATTTTGTTGGAAATATTCTTTAACCAGCTTTTTTGACGCACATTATTAAATATTATAAAAATATTATTAAAGCATTGTTTGCTTATTGTATATTCCACGTCTTATATTATAACTCTCAACTTTGATTTCAAAATTGACAGATTCATTTTCATAATTATTATTATTATTTTTTTTTTTTGGATTAAATCTTTCGCAATACCTTTGAGAATATCAGTACCAAATTTTATAATCATCGGATGAGTAGTTTCCGAGTGAAAGTGCAACAAATAAACAAAGAAACTCATTTTCACATCTTTTAATATATAAAAATAAATCGCAAAATCTGTTGGTAAGCGCATAACTCAACAACGCCTATACCAATTTGACTAATTATTTTTTTAAATGTTTGTTAAAGTCCAAGGATGGTTTTTACGGCAAGAAAAATTCGAATAATTGCCGGGAAAACTCTAAAGACAGCCCTTTTCTATAAGATAAAAGTTGGCATTGAGATTCAATCATAGTTATAGTTAAATAGTTGAATCCGAGATGGCGCGTTGAAGTGCATTATTAGCAATTCTTTATATAATTAATTTCCTAAAAATAAAATTGTGAATTTTATTGATAGAATTGACACATACTATGTCTAGAACAAGAGAGTAAAAACGAATTATATTTTTAATAAACATTACCGGGGCAAAGTCGCGGGTAAAAGCTATTTTATTATAAATATATAAGAACTAATTATTTCCTTTTTTTATTACAGTTGCGCGTGTCTATAAAACCAAACCGGGTTGGATCCAGGCGTGAATTATTGATTCGCGCAGCTGTCCAAATCAATCTCGGCGAAATGACAGAAGAGGATTCAGGACCCAGCGGTGAAAGGTAACCTGCTGCATATTTATTACTTCTTTAAAAAATGCAAATAGCATGCGAGCAAAAAACATCGATTGGAATCCAGCGCGTGTTTGAAATTAAACATTCCGATATCCTAATTGGATAGCCGCCGCACTAGCTCTAGTGTTGAACCAGTTCGTGCGGTGCAAAAACAGTGGGCTTGGATTTGCGTAATCTGAAAATGTAAATGTAGTCGTGTGTTGGTAGGCAGAGTGAGCTTTGGTTGATGGCTATGGAATTCTGGTAATCTGGATTATGACGTTTTTTCCGATTAGTATTCAAATCGCGTCGCGGTGAGGCGTAACGAAGCGAATGCTTTTTGCGATTTTCCTGCGTGTTTTTCATTGGGAACTTTACTATCACTTAGTTAACTCCGTGGAAAGTTACTTTACAGCGTTCAGCGTAGGATAAAACTTTTCATGTTTTTTTCCATGAAGGGAAAAGAAGTTTTTGATGTGTAAATGTCTTTCAACTGACTTTCAAAGTTATAATATTGAATAATGCCTTATTTGGACGTTATTGGACAGACGAATTCACTTATTTGTTGTGTGTAGATTTGTATTCTTTTTGGTCATAATTGAATTAGGAAAGTATAAGCCCATAATCCGACCACAACTGTTATATTAATTTGTAATTATCAGTTAATGCCGGGACAAAAAGAGATAACGAGGGAACAACAACAAAAATTGCATTTATTCACCAAAAACTATGCGTTGCACAACTTTTTCGCTAATAATGAATCAATATCAACAAATAACACCAAAATAAAACTGAGATTGCAACTGAGAAAAATTTTAGTATTTCTTGTTTCCGTCTGATCATAACTTATATTTACAACTTATAAAATCTTGTATTTGTTTAAAGTATATTAGGTATTCTAGCAATACTAATATAGCAACATTCGCCCTGAAATATTCGTAGACTACGTAATAGAAAACGTAAAATATTAAGGTATCGTATTGCGTTTAATATCATCCGCGCTTTATAAACATTCTCGAGTGGCTTTTATGCGCTGCTTCTGCCTGTGAATAACTTTATTCCTTTATATTGCGTGGAAGCTTCAGCGCCATTTCCTCTCCGCGTCTTCATTCATTGTTTTATCACTAGCTTCCTTGTATGTACAACCTTTCTAAAATATTTAAACAAAATACTGAATAAGTTAGCAACTCAACATAGTACTATAAAAACTAAGTAAATATATTAGGTTGCCTATAATAAGAAGTTATTTTTGAGATAATTGAAAATTAAACCGTTTTTAAATTCGAAAGTAAACAAACTTGTCGAAAACAATGATTTTTTATTTCTGGAATCATTGTTTGCGCATTTTTAACTGAAAAGTTGAAGTTTTTTTACATACTGCCAATTTCCAGGCATACAGAACGAGAAAAGTAAATAAAGAAAAGAATAGGAAAATTGACGCACGAGGAAGAAAATTACACCGGATGTCGACCTATAAAAGACGCAGCGAGTCCGGAGAGTTTTAGTTGAGATGTAAAGACTTCAACAAGTGAATTGAACCGGAATCGATTTCACAGTTTCACACTACGTGCGGAAAAATTTTATAGTTAAACTTTTCCCATTTACGAAAATATTTTAGCCATTATGACATTTATTAAATTTCCAAGTAAGATAATTTATTTTGCATTTAACACGCATATATTTTTCTGGGATTTTTTACGACAGCAGCAAAATTTAGCACTTGGTTTTGTCGTTTCATAGAAACGTAAAAAGAAAACCTAAAACCGTACAACCTAAAACGAAGGACGGATAAGCGTGAACAAAAAGAGATGTGTGCGGTTCGGAAAATGGGACCAGGGGTTGTGAAAGCAAAGACGCAATCGCAGGGAACGTTCCTTTTATGATTTCGTTTTTCACAAACGTTCTCTTTTGAGTTTCGCGTGCGTTTGGGTTTTTGGTTTTCGTTCGATTCACAGCGATTCAATACCTTTACAAACTGCACTATTGGATGAAAAAAAACTGTGAGCGCAAAATAGTGAAAATGTTGTGCAATATTGTTAATACTATGGTTATATTATACAATAAACATTTTAAAATGTGATTAATTCACTAACAACACGTTATTGTTTTTGTTAAAAATTTAGTATGAAGAGAATAAAACGGTACAATCACTGGACTAAATTGCCGCCTACTGCATCATCCTCTTTTCACATTCTGCTTCGTTGTTTATGCAAGCAGCACGCGTAGTATTTGTGTACACAACAACGCCTAAACAAATGCAGACGCGACCAGCTGCGCGTGATTCTCTCGTCGTCAACCGCCGCGATACAATTTAAATGGAAATTTTCGTTAATGAGTTTATTAGACGGTATCACGTCAACATACACAGCGCTATCACACACCGACGTATTGATAGCGGCCGGATCGAACGAGTGTGTCTAGCATAATTTCATTGTTTCGTCACGGATACGGTAAGAGGAGCGATAGGCAAATGTTGTATTATCCTATACTCTATACTATACACATTGGTTAGCTGTGTATTCAGTTGCCTAACCAAAACTATAATAATCTGTGACGTTTTTTTTATATTAACTAAATATTTTATTTTGTTTGCAGTTGCAGTAAACAGCCGGATCCGCCTGGGGATTCACTTAGTTCACAAAGGTAAACTCAAAAACATTCAAACTTTAAGTTTAATTCAGACCAATATCTTGTTGTGTGTGTGTGTGTGTGTTTCTAACCAATCTGTTTGACTAACCAACTTACAAATAGCAAACTCAATTATCTACGATGTAGTAAATTTGAAATGCCTGACAGCAATAATTTGACTCGTGATTATATAGATTCAGATCAATCGACTTAGACGTTAGTTCGGAGGTTGTGTACGGCACGCCGCGTGACAAATTTAATTGCAATTCACTATTCACTTGGCGCTTCGCATCGACGACTAACCACGATTGTGAAATTAGTACAAACGATACAAGCGTAACGCAACAAGACATAGTAGACATATATACGCGAGCAATGCAGTTGATATGAATGGAAATTCCGCCTTTGTCACAATGTTATGATTGCTGATGGCGTTGGCGGGTTGTGTAATCAAGTTAGTTCTTTGTATTTGGGTTAAAAGGTCACGGGCGCATACTTTGGGCAAGCGCTGAAGGGAAACACAAAGTTCATTCCACGGGAGGCATCCTGCCTATTTATTTATTAATGTATTTATTTATTTATTTATGAAACATGCCTTGTAAAGTTTTGCTGCTTTTAGTAACAACAGTCACTTAAATTTACAAATAACTTACATTTGTAACAAGAATATTTTTACTTGTTATCCTTAAATCATTAATTTATGATATTTTTAATATCACTTCTATTTTACGGTAATTTTAAGCTAACAAAAGAAAAGAAATAATAAATTCTAATAATGCATCTTAGTGCCATCTCGATTCAAATTAAATATTTATAAGTAAGTATAACTAGCCTTTTCACGCGACTTCGGCCCGGTAGAGTTTAATAAAAATGTAAATCGTTTTTACTCTCTTGTTCTAGACATAGTATGTGTCAATTCTATCAATAAGATTTGCAATTTTATTTTAAAGAAATTAATTATATAAAGAATTGCTTATAATGCACTTCAGTGCGCCATCTCGGATTCAACTCTTCAACTATAACTATTATTGAATCTCAATGCCAACTTTTATCCTATTGAAAAGGACTGTTTTAGGGTTTTCCCGGCAATTATTCAAATTGTTCTTACCATAAAAACTATCCTTGGACTTGAACGAACATTTTAAAACAAGAATTGGCCAAATTGGTTTAGGCGTTGTTGAGTTATGCGCATACCAACAGATTTTGCGATTCATTTTTATATTATAGACTGAATCTTCATATCAACTTTAATCTTTATATTACAACTATCTAGTTAAAATATGACGACAAATTTTAATCAATGTTGTTTTCTATAATCAAAAGTATCCCTATACCAAAATTTATCAAAATTGGTTTAATAGTTTTTGCAAGAAACAAACAAATATTTTCCCATACGAATTTATAATTTTATTTTGAATATTATGAAATGCACCCAAAAAATTTCATCAAAATTGGTCCGGTCGTTTAGAAAAAGTCAGTCATATTCACACGAACACAAAAATCATGTATTAAAAGATATAGTGAGCATTATGTGCTATTATCCTTGTAGTAGTTCTGTAAAGCGAGTGCACTCAGCAATCGAGGCAAACTAGGATAAAGGACAAAGGCGTCCACCAATGAACGCATTAGTCGATCATATTCTGTCCGTCCTGCCCGGTCCCATCTGGTCGTTTTGAGGTTTAGTGAGAAACCCTTGATGTCTCCATGATAACAGCCAGATCAGCGCACAATCACAATCGCACCGTCATCTTCCTAACATTTAAATTCATATTTTCTATTTTGTATTCATGCACCCTGCTATAATTATGGGTTAAATTAATACCTACAATAATAGTCAATTTCGATGACAACCACATTTTAGTGCGGTTTCCAGCAGATACACAATAAATTTGATCGGAGGATATGAGCCTGTTTATTTCAATCGATTGGGTATTGTTTGAACAGCGTGCAGCGTGACTCCAAGCTGTGACTTTTGTGTGGTTGGAATGATATGAGTGAATAGAATAGTGCACAAGCGCAAACATTGAAACAGTGCGAATCAATTGCATAGATCAGGTTCCGACACATCCAAGGTTATATATCGGCAACGTATAAATAAATTCCATTAAAAACAGATTTATTTTTTGTACATTATTTTAATTTGTTTATACTTTTTCAATCAGTCGTGTTGTTCCAGGTTTAATTAAAATTTATTGGATTTCACTCACAGAAGCCACGAATAGAAAACAGTTTTCGTACAAAAACAATTAAATTTATTAAATTAATTTTTAATTTTTTCCATGTCGGCAACAAAAACATGAACTGCGTTAGCATTATTCGCAGAAGCAATCAAACTCCGCAAGCATTTTTTTTCTCAGAAAGTTAACAAGTTAAATTTTATCTCTATTCTTCATTTTAATCTATTACAAACATCTTCAACTTCTATAAACTTTGGAAAGCATACGCTGCTGATATAGCAGATGTTAATTGAACAAGCGCACCTGTTTTCGACGTGGTGGAGATACAATGAACTTTAAATGCTTGCGTGGTGTCTACGTAAACAGCAGTAAATTAAATCGATGCCACGTAAATACAACGCCAAGCGATGTGGACACCGAAATATTGCAGCTGTTCCAATCGAAGAATTCCAAATGTCTACAGCGTCGCATTTTTGGAACAATAACAGTTTACAGTAACAACTCAACTCATATACACTCTGTGTTGAATCTCTTTTATTAGTTGTGATGTTTTTGAGGAAAACAAGATTATATAATCCTGTTGGACACATGGTGTGGTAATGCTTTTAACACTTTTAACGCGTTTTATTGCAAAACATTCTGCCTATTATGAACGCATGAGAGGACACGAGAACGGAAGCGATGGAAGGATCATCGTGGTCGAACAGACGAGCAGACGTTTGAAGCTTTCTAAAAGCTTGGAATATCCTCTCCAACTTCCACTCCTCCGCACTTCACTCCAAAGCGAGTGTATGGGACAAAAACTAAGCACTCGGATAAAAATCCAGAAGACTATTTTAAATTGTTTTTCTGTTGCAATCGCAAAAAATTAAAATAATATACACTTAAGGAGAAAAACTTTATTTTTGAATTTTAATTCAATTTAAAATATTTTTAGATGACTTCAGCAACAATGTTTATTCAAATAAAGTAAGATAAAAGCACGACTTGAAAGATGGAGAGTTTATTGTAGTTCTTACTTTAAATAAACCCCGCAGTCATTTAGCGATGATCGTAAATTCCTCATCGACGCAGGGAAAACAATAAAACTCTTATCGGAATTTAACGCGAATGCGTATTTGTCTGGAAAACTCGTCTCTTTCTACTTTAAAAGAAACCATCGCAAAGAAAAGCATTAGGAACGCAAGCGAATGAAAATAACAGATAAAAGAGGCAAACAAAAAAGTGCTGGCAAAGAAATAAAATGTCACAAATCCGTCAAGACAAGCAAAAACGGCCGTAAATTCGAAGAGGGCAAGTGAAAAAAAAAACATTAAAATGTCAAAAACATCAATGTTAATGACGGTTAAAGTTTTAGAACGACTTTTACGACGACACAATCAATGATTAATGCGTTGATTGGATTGTCGATAATATAAACTCCGATAAAAATTCATTTTTAAATTCATTTATAAAATTCAAGTTTCTTTTGAATTTTATTGATTTTTAGAAATACGACGTAGGCAACCCAACTAACAAAATCAATTTGTCTGTATTTCGATGGATACAAGCTGATCTACAGCTATCCAAACATGTTTAGACATATGCGCTTATAAGTTTAGGTTTATAGCGAAATATCCTTGCGTTTCTATCCCGTTTCACCTTCGCCGTGAAGGATAACAACGGGTGGTAATTTATCCGCAGCGAAACGATTTCATCGTTGGCACTGTTGGCACTATAGCCGCCTTCTTCCTTCTCATTGCCATCATCATGTATATACGTGTCGAGCGTGTCGACTGCTGAGCACAATGGCGGCACGCGCTTCCACCCCCGTGGACGCGCCCGCCTAAGACTTGAGGCGAATATAATAGCTCGGCTGACATTGCCACACGTTGCGAATGTTATGGAAAGTTGTAGAATTTACCGCGAGACTGTGAAATAATTCGCTTCCCAAGGAAACTTCTAAGCTTCAACCGCGCGACGATAAATATAGATAGCTTATCACTTTGGCTTAAATCTTCCAAGGTGACATTCGTGCAAATCAAGCCCTTGGGATACGATAAGATTCTAAACTTGCTTGTAAACTTTCATTTGTTACAGGTGTGTGGTATAAAATATGTAAATTGGGTTGCAAACATTTTGAACTACTTTTTTATTTATTTTTTTGTTTTCTACTTATACACTCTGTATGATCCGTAGTATGCCTCGTGGGTCTTGTGCGCTCTTCTGCCTGTCCCTCGAGATCAATTTCTCGCAATTTATGTACCGAATTCACGAATGCCTGCATTATTCGCGCCCTTCCACCTTGGACAATAAATTTCCATACGGTTTCGACCTTTCTGCGGTCGCAATCATACCGGAGGCTTCCAAAATGAATTTCATAAAAACAACCCTTAGAACCGCCCTTACAAACACAATATTTAAATGTAGAAATATCAAACATCCACTTTTAGCAATACTTGTTAATTAATTTGAAATGAAATGAAAATGGAAATATTTTGATGATTATGATAAAAAATGTACTGCAAATTGGTACAGATGAATAATTCAGTATTTTGTATGTGTGTACCTTAGAGTTTTCAAGAAGTCCTCGCCGAACAACAAACTCACGCTGTACCTGAGCACTCGCGATTTGATTGTCTCGGCTGGGAAAATCGATCGGCTTCAGGGCGTGCTCCTGGTGGACCCCGAATTCGTCGAGGACCGCAAAGTGTACGGACAGATCACTCTGACGTTCAGGTGAGTGACGTGCCAATTCATAATATAATTAAACCTAATATATCCGCTACATTTGGTATTTTTACGTTTTTCTCAACTTGGGAAAAATTGAGGAATTCAAAGAGTCAATAAGTGAAAATTACACGCTGGTCGAGTGTTGGTGAACGCAGGTCGGTTAATAAATTCATCGCCAACATAAATTAGTTGGTAGGCTGACGGCGGGTTGCTCGTGGGCCTGATACTGACTGGCATCGGCGGCGAAGGCGGCAAACGACAGCGGTGACAATCTCCCCGACGTTTATTTTTAGCACGACGCGGCGAGAGAGCGCCGATAATTGAGTTTTGAACCGCTTTGATTCGCCCTACGCACGCGGCGCTACTACATTTTGTTGTACTACCCGCACTACCCTCAGTCATTTTTTTATGGCTTCACACCATTAGGGCATAGCGAAAGTACAATGGAGTTGAAACATGCGAAATGAGACCAGACAAAATTTTTAGGAGAAGACTTTTAATTTCGATAAGATTGTAAAATGCTGAATTATATTGACAAATTATATAACATAGAAATTGATAGCAATATCTTATAACCGATTAATAAAATAACTGTTTAAGCGTTATTTTCAATGCGTTCGATACTTATATAACTTGTGAAACGTTCGTCAACTTGTTGAAAGGGAGTAAAACGTGAATAAATTGCGCATAAATAGATTTCAGCTTCAATTTTAATCGAGTTTCGAGTTATTCATTCGTACATGTGAATTGCAACTACATATCAGTAAAAAGGTTCAACAATTTAATCGTTTAAAATACTATTTTTACATTTTCATCAACATACCTTTTTAATTAAACCATGTTATTTCTTTTTTTACACAAATAACAGATTTAGATATATTTTGGTTCTAAAATATTCGCTGATTATAATAATAAAATATTCTAGTAGAATATTCCTAGCAGTTGCATCTGGCAATTTTCTGAAAATAAAGATCATGAACCGGAACACCCTTAAAAATGATTGGAAATACTTTTGAGTATTTCCTGGCAACTTTGTAGTTAGACCTTTTTTCATACAAACCACTTCGATTATTTTGGCTTCAATTTTCTTTTCATCATTCAACAATTGAAAAAAATTCTCACACATTTTCTATATCACATCATTATATCGAAGAAATTGAGCGTCTCATTCTGCAAACTCAAGTATATCTTTGAAGAAATTATTTAGAATAATATGCACTTTTCAGATATGGTCGTGAGGATGAAGAGGTAATGGGTCTGAAATTCTGCAACGAAGCCGTCATGTGTTTGGCACAACTGTATCCAATAACAATGCCCAGTATGATAGATGAAATCACACCATTGCAGGTAATATTTCTCAACAACGTCTACAATTACATCCATATCCAATAAATTTTTTGATCAATAAATACCTGTCGCATGTTTGTTGTGTAAATACCAGGAACAAAATTCAATTTTATTTTCAATTTGCGTGCACGTAATATGAGTCGGTTTGGTCTAGTTGCATATCTATAACATGCTGGATAGTATTTCGCGGAAGGAAAATATTTTAAGTGAACAGCGTCTTTTCAAACATCTTTCACGTACTTGTTGCTTTATTGTCAGTTGCAAAGCATTAACCTGTGTAAACATGAGCACATGTGCCAGCGCAAGAGTAGCTCACATAAAGGTCTTGATTCTATTGTAAAAGGCAATGAAACGCTAGTCAAAAAACCACCACAAAGTATACAAAGGAACTTGTTGCTAATATTTTGTGCAACCGTTTTACAAAAAGTAAAGGCCAAAGTCAGAAAATGCTTTCGAAGCACATATTTTGATGGCGTATGCTGATCCGGTTCTGGAAGCACACATATAAGATGTTTAAAAATATTTCGAGAATACTCGTACACTTAAAACATCCTTAAGATGTCAAGCTTTCTATTCTCAGAAATGTCTTTCTGCTACCTTTCTAGCTATTTATATAGGTCTAAGCGCTCGAAGATATTCAATGAAATTCCTTTTACAAAAAGTTACGTTTTAAATATTATCTGTGTCCGATTGCTGCTCATATTTTCAAATTTAACCTCGTGCCACCCCCAAAAATGTCATATTTTGCAAATGCATCTTAATTTTCTGGTGTTTTTCGTATATTTATCAACGTTTGGGCATATTTTCTTTAAGTGCCAAGGCAACCTTATCAAGTTTTGTTCAGTAATTCATTGTGCTGTAGAAAAACGAATTTTTATCACGAAACTAGCTTTAACCCGCGACTTCGTTCTGGCAGTGTTTAATAAAAATGTAATTCGTTTTTACTCTTTTGTTCTAGACATATTCGTAGTAAGAGTCAATTCTATCAATAAGATTAGCAATTTTAATTTAAAGAAATTAATTATATAAAGTTTTGTCAATAATGCACTTCAGCGCGCCATCTCGAATTCAACTATTTAACTATAACTATGATTGAATCTCAATGTCAAATTTTATTCTATAGAAAAGAGCTGTTTTGAGGATTTTCCCGGCAATAATTCGAATTTTTCTCACCTTTTAAACCTTCCCAAGACCTCCACGATTAATTCAAGACCAAGATAAGATAAATCCGTTCAGCCGTTCTCGAGTTTTAGCGGGACTAACGAACAGCAATTCATTTTTATATATATAGATTTATTGGGTCACCAAATCTCGACTCCTGAACATATGATTGCTTCTCTATAAGTTCATACTTTCATCGCTTGTTTTAGGCCCTTCAAAGTAACTTTTCGAAACAAAAAGTAACTCATATCTTCCCTTATTGTATATAATATACCAGTATGTTTGCATCCAACACTAAATTATGATAGAATATATCAATATAGTTAGATGGTGCAAACTTTTGAAACTTGGTTAAGAGCCGTGAAAGTTCCGGCAACATGAAAGTGCTAGAATCATCGGCCAGAGTGGCAATTATCATGAGTATCCCAAGCACAACGAGTATACTGCCAATCAAGTGTATAAACCTCATGTTGGTATCGCCTATAACCAGCATGTTTAGCGCGCGTGTTGGGTGTGCTTTAATTGCATCAACGGTTAAATACCCCCTTGTTCGGAATCCATTAAAAGCGTCTGGCCGATCACTAAAACAGTTAAACTACCATCGAGCGCTAATGTTTTATTAGGCAGTTTTTATTGGCAGCTACTTTTTTTGTAGTTTCTACATATAAAGAAAAACTTGCTTTAATTAAGTCATAACACAAGTAATTTTTGAAATTTGCAAAAATTTTACAATTAAATTTATGAATTTGAAAAAGTTTATTCATCAAAACATGCACCAGCGGCCAAAATAATGATTTTATTAATTTTACATGTAAAATTCTATTTTTTTTAACAAATTTCTGTTTAATATCAAACCACTTTTAGTAAAACAGTAAATAAATAATGTCTTCAGCTTATTTAACACAACTTACCTTAAAATAATCCCAGGAAAACATTAAATGTCATAAGTTATTAAAACAGTTTTCGTCCGAACATTTGAAAGCTAAAAGCTTGCAAGTTATTTACGAGACTTGAATACATATCTGAAAATGCATATTCGGCAAATCCAAAGTTGAAGGTCGAATGGTCCCTAGTTCCCCATCACATCACATTATGCATTCTATTTTAACCGACCTCTGAACACTGCATAATGAGAAAATCAATCCACCAGGATATTACTCTTAATAAATAGTTTACGTAATAGCATCCAACCCGAGTAGCATCATTCAATTTTAATAATTTTGATAATGTGCTAATCCGCTAATCCTTCTAAGTCAACACCACAGCAAACCAAGTGGTAGTAGTAATATATACTATTTTGATAGATTAGCACCCGTCAAAGTTTACCATAAACTCAAAGTACTCAAAAAGCTCTACACTTATACAACGTTGCCAACTTTAAGGAGCATCCAGAGTGGATAACTAAGAGTCCTTCAACTTCAACTAGTTTCAAGAACGTGCTCCATACAACCACTCGTCTCGGGAAAACTATGAACAGGAAGTAACCAATAATTGAATTTCCTGCCTTGAATAAGTACATTCAGTTATTTATTGAATTTACATGCAGACATTTGTAAAATACAAGGTAAATCTGAAAAAAAAAGTGCTGGCAGCAATCAAATCAGGATAATAGTCCTCGATGTGCAAAGTGACACTCAAAGATGGCGGTGACGCACTGGGAATCAATACCCCTCGTCGCTCCAACTGATATCGTACCCCGGATACTTCTTCTTGAGTATTTCCACTGTTAATTCATGATCGGCTTTTCCGTATCCCTGCAAAACGACACTCTACAATTAACGATTTAATTAAATCACATCCAGCGCAAATAAATTCCGATACAAATAATTGCAAACCTTAATCTTGAAACCGGATATCTAACAATGGTCGAATCGCAAGCAATTAAAATTAATTTGATTCATTAAAATCAGAGCTTTACGATTTGCTACCTTTTCCTGTTCGTTAACATAAAGGTGGAATTTATATTTATAAATTATGTGTTGCTGTAAAGTTGAATTTGTTTCCACGACGCGCGGTGACAAACGCGCTGCAACAGTCGTAAAGACGAAGAAATTCAATTTCTCCGCGTGGAAAAAGCGCAATACGACATCAAAAAAGAAGTGAATCGAGGCTCAAGAGCATCGTTTGAAAGAAGATTGCGCTTCCGGTGAGCTAGGTAATTTTATCCTTCGGATACTGGACAAGCATGCCAACTCAAGTGTCGACCTCAATGCTTCAACAATTCCAACAGCAGCAAATACATCCGGCAACTATTTGCCGCTAATTAAATTAACTAAAGTTTATCTTAAAAGTACAACTTGCTAGTAAAACAATTAAATGAAACATAATTTAAGGGGGTATTCTAGTCTAGAGGCATGCATTTCATGTGATTTTTGAAAGGCCGTAAAAAAATCAATTAATATTTTTACTATCCATTTTTTTAACACTTATTTATTAATGTTTTGAGAATACAAAAAAAATAAAAATTGAAAAAAGTTCAAAATTTTAAATTCCAGCAGGTGATGAAGTGGGGGGTCCCAAAAAATTGGCACGTGACCGTACCCATGATTTTAGCCCTCCAAGTGATGTGAAATGAAAAAAAAAAAAGATTATTAATCTAGAATAATGTCGCAATCATATGAACTACGGACAAGTGAAAAAAAATTTTTTCACAAAATGGCGACTGTTTGAAAAAAAAAGTGATTTTTTTACCCTTATTTTTTGATATTCTAGGTTTTTTTTGGAATATTTAAAATCGGAATTTGGGGATAAGCGCAGTTCATTTTAAAGAAAAGTCTATAAAGAAGACTCTGTAAAAATTTCAAGTAAATCGGTTCAGTAGAAGTTGAGAAATCGTGGGTACCGTCTCGAAAAATACAGTTTCGAGAAAAACACGTTTAAAGTTTCGCGTCAAGCCGAACCACTTTGGATGCCGCGTCACCAAAACGGCTATATCTCGGAAAATAATTTAAATTTTGAAAAATCCTCTTGTACACGTATTCTTGAATAGTTAAACTTTGAAAATATCAAAAAAAAATCGATTTTTTGAAACCTCTAGAATAGAATACCCCGTTAATTACTTTTAAATTTAACCGTTACGGAAATTTATTAATTAATTCCGTTTAGTATAAAATTTTTATGAAATACCTGAGAATATCCATAGACTTTGATCATCTTCACATCTGGATCGTGTTGAATACGCCCACCGCCTTGAACTTTGGTCTTAAAGTTCTGAATCTGGCCTTCTTTTTTCAGTCTCTTCAGATCGTCGTTGAACTTGTCGTTAATGTCGGCTGAAAGAGAATCAAAAATAATAATGAATTTCGTTTCACATCAGGCTTCATGCAAAATTCATAAACAATTTTCAATCCGCCTTAATGCGCATCAATGGACGCACAATCCCCCCATTTGCGATTGGTCGCCAGCAATGGCAACTGCGTAATGCCATTCAAATATTAATTAATTTCCGGAAACCGTATAAATTCAGCACCCACGCAAAAACAAGCAAATAACAATCGCAAAGTTGGTAAATAAAATAAAAGGAAGACGAGTGTTGAGTTATGAAAAATATACTTAACAAATTTTAAATAATAATAAAATTTAGATTTTTTTTGTAATAAAGATTTGCTCATATTGTAAGGGATTTGAATCAGCTTGATATTAAAATTAAATCATTTCAAGCTTAAGAAAAAGTTGGTTTGCACAAAGTTTGCGAGCCATAAACTCAGAACAAAGAAATATTATTCTGTAGACATGAGAAAAAAAGTTAAACAAAGTACAGGCAACAAATTTCATTTTAAGTTGAACAAAAATAAGTTAATTTAAAAGTATAAATTTAAAACAAGACACATTCGAAAAATACAGCAACACTAAATTATATTGTCATACTCAGTAAAGGAAAAATATTTTCATATTTAATGCGGGTGAATTTCCAATTCTCGCAAATTTTAATCCGTCATGTTTCCCGTCTACGTGTACGCATTATGTTTCCGAAAAATTCTTGTTGTGGTTTCGCAACCAGAAAAAATAACGCAAACAACAAAAGCCCGAAAATATGAAATTATGCTGCGCCTAAATTTCGAATTTCGGCCAAAGGCTGAAGAACGTGGGAAAACAACGGCAATACAGGCAGCAGGAAAAGAGAAAACGCTATGTGCCAGAGGGTGTAAAGCGTACACACTCTGCCGACACGAAACCACCCTCTCTAGCCCGGAGGTTTTCCATGCACACACACACACAGCGCGTGTCGTCAACACCGAATAATCAAACCCCGGCTGATACAAACACGCAAAATGCAAACGCAAAGGTTCATTAGGGGTGCGATGAACCCAATACTTTTTTGATGGTTTTGATCAGTTTCGGTGGATAAATTATTAAAGCATAATAAAGATCACATAAGTTGTAGGTTTTTTTGGTGGTTTGGTGGTTCATATAATGTGTGCGCAGGCCTAGAAGTCGTTTTTGGCTGTTTTGTTCGCTTTGTGTCTCCGTCGTCGTTGCTCGTAAGCTAGAGAGTTTAATAAAGCGCGTTAATTGGCAATATTTGATGCAATTTCCTCCCCTGGCATTATGCCATGACAGTCTTCTTCGAGGGTGGAAATACGCCAACCAGCGTGATGACTTTGTCACTGTGTCATTTAGCAGGAAACCTGTTTTACATCACATAAACGAAAAAAAGTGCTAAAAATACACAATCACGTATGGTACGACTGGAGTAGTACATCAAAAAAATTATACAACTTAATTTAATTTAGAAATAAAAAATAATGCAGTAAAGTTACTTTGTAAATATACAAAAATAAACTCGATTACTGTATTACCGTCGTCGAGATTCTACTCGTACCAAACATGGACGACGATTGACGTCAATGGTACACAGTTTCACCCCCCGCACGCAAGTGTATTACCACCTGCTCGCTACGCTAATTTTTTTACGGCTCACTTGCACGCACACCCTCGTAATTGATTTGAAATTAAAATCCTGATTCGCAACTGTCGTCATGCGATTGCTGGCCTTGTAAAAGCATGTAAAATATACTACGGAAACAAATGACCTGCAATATTGCTTCATTTTCAACAAATTTCAAATTAACCATCACGGTATGACGCATTCGTAGGTATACATAGCTGGTATCAATAAATTTTCAATTACACCATCGAGTGCGCTTCGCACGCCTCGCCTTGACCCGCATCATGATCGCGATGTGCCACACCCTCCCACCTACCCCTTTTATTACATATTGCGGCCGGACAAAGTTCGTGACATTCGCTACCGGTAAACGCGCGGCCATGTTGCGGTGTAATGCATCGTGGGTACATTGAAACAAATGTTGTGTCATATACGTTGGTTCAAACACAGGTGGGCCAAAGCCTGGCTCAAGCCAAATTCACAGGTTAAACTCTACTTCAGCAACTACCTAAATGTTAGCTGGGATAATCCCCGCCTATGTACGCCAACAACATGTGAGCGCACAATAAGCTGTATGTGCATTATTCCTCTGCACGTCGCGTTGCAAATTGCGACCCGCAGGAAAATCGGATACAAAACTTGCTTATAAACTGAAAATATCCAAACTTAACGTGTGCAGATTAAAAGTTGAATGTAATATTATAGTTTCAAGCACTTTAATAACTTTTGCAAAACATTGAAACTTGAATACTGCGGCGAAATCTAAAATTGATAATATGCTAAAGTATTCCTTTCTCACAAAGTGAGAATTGAATACATTTGACATGCAAATACCCCCAAATTAATTCTGAAAACAAAACGGCTTCTAAACAAATTCCGCTTGAGTTGGAAACTGACAGAAAGCCTTCGGTCTTGATTCTCATGACCGAAAATACCACTTATTGATTTGAAAGCTACCCCAAAGACTGCAAGAAGACATGATTCCATTTACGGTACGTGCGTTCGATCGACCTGCTCGTCCTTCACGCTCCTCATCCCGTTCCCTTCAATTTCGCATTCGCCTTGCCAAGTTTCGCCCTCGGGGGCCAAACTCAGCACACACCCACCTGACAAATGTATGATCTGAGCGGAAAATGGTTTTATATAGAAAAACGCACCAAAACGAACAAGGAAAAAAAGCAAACAGATAAGATGTTTGTCATTCAGCTTACTCCAAATATCCAGATTCATAATTTTTGCAAAAAAAAATGCTTGTTTTCGAGGTCGCTAAAATTAGAAGCATCAATTATTCGTAAATCTCGTATTTCTGGGATCTCGCTGAGTGGCGAAAAGCACTTAATAGACTCTGATTTATGAGCTAAATTAAACGGACGCCTTGCTCTACGACTTCTAATAACGACCTCCGAACACAAATTTCTATGTCTCCCAGTGAGATGAAAACATTTAACATTTTCTGACACCACTTCTCTTCATGTCTACATTTAGTTGTAGACGTCACAGTTGCCGTTCGTGGTCGGTACTCAACGTTTTTGCGTTTTCTTACCCCTTTCTATTTTCCGACGCACAAGAAACTTTAAACTTTACGCATTAGACATCTTACAGCTTTGCTTCTTAATTGCACGTAGCAAGAAGAGAAGCAACGCTGGAACATGTTCAAACATTGGAATATGAGCAAGAATAAGAACACAATGGCACAGGCAAAAACAAGGACGACATCCGAAGTAACATATGAATAGACCGATAAAGACAGGAGACCCAAGGAAAGCACGGCCGTAATGACTATAAATTTGCAGGAAACTTTAGAAACACGCTTGCAAAAGATAATAACTCAAAGATTCAAAATGAGCTTTGCGTAAAGTAGGTGTTAAAGTTACAAAATGCATGATTTCTAAATTGCTACCAGTGTGAAATGTGATTATAACTTTGGAAATTTTTAGAAAACACAAAAAATATTCATCTCACCTTAATTTTTGTTGTCAGTTTCTTTGCTAGGGCAAAGAAGCAAGAAATGCACGCAAGAAACGTAATTTATTTTCAAATTACCGTGTCTTGCCTCGCACGTCTTACAACTGACAAACTCACGTGAATACACAATACCCTTTGGACTCGACACCTCAAGTCCTCATCAAATAATAATATGATACATAAAACACATGATGGTGATGTACATGCATGAAAATTCATGACTCTGGCATTAGCATTAACAAATTACCGTCGCATCGAGTTTCGGCATAAAAAATTATCTTTCAAAACATTTGACGTATTTTTTTCTAACGCAAAAATGTTGGAGTATATACAAAGCGTGGAATATTTTTAACATTTTAACAAGTGACATTGTTCATCCAGCACATAACCTGTCTGTTATAGCGATATTTTTATGATTGATGAGGCGGCACAGTCTGTTTTACACAAACGCTGCTTCTGGTCTCTCTCCTTTTATTTTTTTCGTATTGTGTTTTTTTTTCGTAAATATCCAGTTACGATCTGAAAGTGTGTTGGCATCACAAGTATTGCTATCGAATTCAGACAGAAAAAAATGTTTCTATGGCTTTGTAAAATTTATTTTACAAGAGTACAATTGTTTTGTTTCCATTAATTAGGTGAAAAAAATTACAATTTATAAATATATACAAACCATGCTCATTTTTTTATACCTATAATATAAAAATGAATCGCAAAATGTGTTGGTAAGCGCATAACTCAACAATGCGTAGACCAATTTGGCCAATTCTTTTTTTAAAATGTTCGTTAAAGTCCAAGGAGGGTTTTTACGGCGAGAAAATTTGTAATAATTGCAGGGAAAACCCTAAAAACAGCCCTTTTCTATAAGATAAAAGATGGAATTGAGATTCAAACATAGTTATAGTTAAATAGTTGAATCCGAGATGCCGCGCTGAAGTGCATTATTAGCAATTCTTTCTATAATTAAATTCTTTAAAATAAAATTGCGAATCATATTGATAGAATTGATACATACTATGTTTAGAACAAGAAAGTAAAAACGAATTACATTTTTATTAAACTCTACCAGGACGAAGTCACGGACAAAAGCTAGTTAAGAATAATTTATTGCAGTATTGAGCCCATTGAGCGGAGGTGTCAATTTGAAATTATTTTAGAACTAGCTTTAACCCGCGGCTTCGCTCGCGAATATCTAAAATAATGAAGTTGCTTCCGTACGCGTCTGTAGTCACAGAAGAAGTAACAATGAAGTAGAATGGCGGGAAGTTTAAAATGGCTGAAAGTATAGTCTATGGAAGTATAGTGTACAGTCTCCATAGTGTAGTCAATTGGATTTGATGTTGACGTAGCTGTCGGTAATACAGTGTGATAATACAGTGTGATGGTACTATAGTACTTAGGTTTGAGCTTCATTGCTGGAATGCTAGATGGCGTTAAAGTAGTCAATTAGCCAGATGCAGAGGTATTATTGGCTAAACAATTTGTTTATTTTATTTAAAAAATAATTTTTTTTATTAAATAAAAAGTAGCCTATAACCTTTCGGGGACCACTAAGAATATGTGTACAAATTTTCATAATGATCTGTTAAGTAGTTTTTGCGTGAAAGTGTAACAAACATCAGGACATACGCATTTATAATATTAGTAAGGATGTGATTTAAACAATTAAAGTAGTCAACTATACTTGATTGATAAATCATCACTTATTGTATCAAATTGATACAACCATCTAATTAATAATAACTTCAAATGTAATACATTAGAACACATAACAACCATTAAAATGTCAGGTGGAAATTGAAGTTGATTTTTAGATATCTACCCACGATACATCTCCTAACGATACTTTTCCGTACCACGTCTACTCCAACTCCTACTCCTACTCCTACATTCAACATCATTCAACACCCAAGCAGCTATGTTACCTATCATAAACAGGATACGGTTTTAGAATGATGGATGCAGGATATAGGATATAGATGGTAGCATGCAAAGGGAGGATGATGCATGGCTTGAATCGAATGTCGCGGCCGTATCGGATTGTTTTGTGCGCGCTAATCGGCTTTTCGTGTTGCGCCTCGGAACTTTCTCGTCTCAATGCCTCCAGCAACTGTTCGGATAACCTTCCTACACGGTCACGTTGACTTTACATCAACTCGTACATCTAGCATTCATATCAGCACTTCCGCACACCACCAAAGTGTAGCTACAAATTCCTAGCTTGTTACCGCACAGCATTGAATTGTTTCGTTTGTTGCAGGAAGCGCTAATGAAGCGCCTCGGCCCGAATGCGTATCCCTTTTGCATGGAGATCACTCCGCTGGCACCTCCAAGCGTCCAACTGGTGCCAGCGAAGGAGTACAATGGGGCGCCTATTGGTACCAGCTACGATATACGTGCATATGTCGGTGAGTATCAAATTAATCAAATTCGGAGTACATCTATTAGTTAATTAATTAATTCATATGAAATTAACACTGTTTATCGCAATATTAAAAAATTCTAATGCATCGGATGCAATTTCGACATAAACGTAAGCTAATATCCGATAGGTGGCGCATGTTCAATAGTACTGTAGTGGTATAACCGTCCAAACATTACTATAATTTAAAAGAAATTATAACTGACGTCCAATTTATCATTTAGTAATCTCTCAACAAAAATCCCATATTTCCTATTAAAACATACTTATGAAAACACGTAAACAACCTGCACTGCGTGCAAGCTTACCAAGGTTCCCGGCAAAAACAAACGGGATTTAAGCGGAATTAATTCGCGAAGCGCTGCGTCATCAACATGATCAAAAATGAATTAATTCGCCCGAAAACAGAGCCCGAAATTGGGTATTTTAATTGAAATTGCCGATAAACTTAATACACGTTATCAAAACACTATACCCCACGCAAATATTAAAATAACAACATATTACGAAAAAATGTGTGTTACCCAACAAATTGCGACGTGCACTTGTTGTTGGGTATGCAAGGTATGAAGGGATAAAATGCTCCATCACATCCGCCCGCCTAATTTGATTAAAACGCACCCGCAGGGACCGCGCGAGACAGTTTTGCGTAACTTTTCGTGCTCGCTCGCAATTTGCTCAAAAACATTTCGCCGTCGGCCTTCCTTCGTGCCCTCGGGTACTGGTTGACTTTTTTATTTTGGGTAGAGATAAATCCTAATTAGATACCGCCCGACACAATTACATCACATGCTACGGATGTCCTGAGACCCAAGGGCTAATAAAGCAACAGATTGTAATATTTTTTATTATATATCCCTAAATAATGAAGATTTAAAAAATCAATTTTGTCGCAATATCGCAAAGTGCAAAATTCGCTAAGAATTTTTATCAATATAACGAAAATAAGAAAACTTCAATACTTCCATCAATAAAGTGGAAAGTCACTCGAAGTCAATATTTTTATTTATTGTGCGCTCACTTTACTCTTTTCAGCTTCACACTTGTCATCGTATTTAATAATATTTCTTGCTTTTCATATACTTTCATCTGTTTTCCATCAAGCGAATATTCTGCGAAGGTTCTCAAATCATCATAAAACCTGCGAGTTATTCAACAAAAGCGCCAACGCAATAATAGAGTGAAACGGCCGGAACATTTTTTTCGCAGCTGCTCATAACTTTATTCCGTTATCGGAATTCCGCGCGCATTGAAAACGCAATCGCAGGAAAAAGTGAGGGGCTGAAAAGGAAATAAAAACACACCTTCAATTCGGCGGAGTCGGCAGTCAGCGGACGCACGTGGCGAAACTTTCCAGAGGCAGTATCAATTCGATTTCACTTGAGAAATTCCACACAAAAACTCATCCGAAAAATAAATAAAATGCCAAATATTTCAGCCTAAAAGTAAATACATGGCTTTGAATTTATTCACAAGAGGGCACATTGAATGAACACAGCCGAGGAACGTGCAGTTGATATACGAATTTTTGTATTTACTAAACAAATTTTCTTCCTAATTTCTGTGGTTTCGATCGGAATCAAATTATGTAAATATATATATATATATATATTTCCTAAATTTTGTCAATACTTTAATTTTAAATATGCATTGCAAGTACGAAGTGTCTGAATTATTATATTATAAATGCGAAAGTAACCTATTTCGGATTAAATTTAAATTTAATTTTGGAGAAAAACTTTATCTACTTTATGTTGCCTAAATAAAGTGAAACAGGGTAAAATATGATTAAAAGATCACATCATTGTTGTGATTTTATTACTAAATAGCTTTTGCCCGCGATTTCGATCCGGTAGAGTTTAATAAAATTGTAATTCGTTTTTACTCTTTTGTTCTGGACATAGTATGTGTCCATTCTATCAATAAGATTCGCAGTTTTATTTTAAAATAATTAATACAAAGAATTTCTAATAATGGCCTTCAGCGCGCCATCTCGGATTCAACTATTTAACTATAACTATGTTTGAATCTCAATGCCAACTTTTATCCTGTAGAAAAAGGCAGTCTTTAGGGTTTTCCCGGCAATTATTCAAATTTTTTCGTCGTAAAAACCACCCTTGGACTTTAATAAAACATTTTATACAAGAATTGGCCAAATTGGTATAGGCGTTGTTGTGTTATGCGCTTACCAATAGATTTTGCGATTCATTTATATATAATAGATTGAAAGGTTAGTAATTCTACCTAAAATTATAACTGAATATGTGTTTTTTTTGGTATATTTGTGACTTATCCTGAAAAATGTTGATAAACTTTGGTATAGAGATATTTGTTACCAAGGAAAAGAATTATTGCAAAATAAGAAATAAAAAATGAAATTGAGATTCAATCATATTTATATAACACATCGGGATGGTACTAAACTGCATTATTATCATTTCTTTCTCTTTTTCTTTAAATAAAAATTTAGACCGCACATAATAGGTCTATGAAACAAACGTTGGTAAAAATCCCAAATCCCTACTAATATTATAAATGCGAATGTCCTGATGTTTATCAGATCATCATGAAAATTTGTACACATATTCTTAGTGGTCCCCGAAAGGTTATAGGCTACTTTTTATTTAATGAAAAAAAATTATTTTTTAAATAAAATAAAGAAATTGGTTAGGCAATAATACCTCTGCATCTGATTATTTGACTACTTTAACGCCATCTAGCATTCCAGCAATGAAGCTCAAACCTAAGTACTATAGTACCATAACACTATATTATCACACTGTATTACCGACAGCTACGTCAACATCAAATCCAATTGACTACACTATGGAGACTGTACACTATTCTTCCATAGACTATACTTTCAGTCATTTTAAACTTCCCGCCATTCTACTTCATTGTTACTTCTTCTGTGACTACAGACGCGTACAGAAGCAACTTCATTGATTTCTAATATTTATTTGATGGTTTCAACGCAAGCGAAGCCGCGAGATAAAGCTAGTAAACTATAAAACAAATAAGATTAATACATTACAATACATGTCTGCTAACATGATCAAACAGTTCCAATGCGCAAACTCGATATGCATCCAAAATACGAATCAAACAAAACGATAAACCTCGATTTGTGAACGCATTAATCAATAAACGTCTCAGACTGCGCGAAATCGAGGAGTTGTTTTCCCACCAGCCGTGGGGAAATGAATGAGAATCTATGTTCGTGCATTCGATTCCCGGACTACTTCGGCTTTTATTATGATCTATCGGCTGCGAGTATGAGCAACGACCTGTTTACAACCGCTACACGAACTCAAGCGCCAAGTCGAGTTCAAGCTGGGGCGCTGCTGCCGCGTTAATAGTGAATTAATGTTCGGTACACATGGAAAACCACCCAGCAAAGGGTAGAAACAAGTGCCAAACAGTGTAACACCAATGATTTAGTTCAAACGTCAAGCGAACATATATCAAATCATTTTTGAAATCACAATTTCTTGCTACATGTTCAAAAAAAGTTGCAATATATAAAAAAAAATGTATGTAAATTCACGCTTCAATCCTACGTTCAATTGCAATTCGCTTATCAAGTATGCAATCATGTAACATTCAGTACGGCATTGTGTATTCTTTGGATGCACAACAACAAAACAACATCGACCATTTACGATTGCAAACATTGATTGCAAACATACCTCCCACATTTTCCAATTGGCAGTAATAGAGAGAATATTTTAGCAGTTGTCTAAAAGTTTAATCCTTATCCACATCGTCCTAATGAGTTATTACTTTTTTCCGCGTGACTCAGGATTATAGAGAGTATAATTTTGACGTGTGACGAGCAAAAAACAGTGGCCAAAACGTGAGGACGGAAAACACGAAAAGTACGAAAAGCAAAAAGAAAACAGACGAGCGGCTTATCGGACTGATGAGAAAATCTGCCCATGTTGCATTCCCCACACCACATCCACCTTACACGTACAACTAGATAAAAATGAAATGGACTTAGATAGAGCTGCGACGGAAATGCGCGCACTCAGCCAACACCTAAATTCCGATATTAGACGTTTTCTTCGTGTGGTTTGAGTTTGGTTAAAGCACCAACGCAACGAAAGTTACTTGCGGCACGACCACAGCAACGTTTCGACGTGTGCTTACACGCCGAAAACGAATACGTTTTTATTGCTCGTGTTGCCGCTCATGCTGTTAAAGCAAAAGCAGAAGACGAAAAAAGTGGGTCAAGCCCTACTCCCTTGGTCGAGGAACAATTTCAAGCGAGGGTCGTAAATACAATAAATTTTATTTTTAAACGCAGTATGCGAAAAAAATGTAATAATAACTCAATTTACCACGCGCACATATTAAGAGCTTTTTTTAATTTAATATTTACCTCATTTATTTTTAGCACATAGTGGAAAGAATAATGAGTCATCAAATCATGAACAAGCGTTTTAGACATTAATCAATCGATGAAAAAACCACCACCAGTCACGTACTTCACCTACTTTCACCCCTGTAAACTACCCGCACACGCTGACACACGTTCAAGTGGCACTCAAAATATTGGGCGATAATTTTAACGATATCGTTGTAAAACGCCAGCGATAAAACACCACCGCCGCCAGAATGAGATATTTCAACAAAAACAATGTTTTACAACCTGCAACTAGACATATCTTGTCCTTGAAAGACAACCAAGCCGACGTAAAACAAATATTCGCTTCTTTTTCCAAAGTAAATTTTTACACCCTCGTAAATACGTTTAGTGTCACGAGTAGTCAACAAGAAAAAAAATTAAATGATGACTCATGTGCATGCAAATGCTGGAAGAAACAACAACGTCGCCGTAAATTCGATGCTAAGCCCCTGAGAAATTATGTGCGAAAATGCGTACAAGCGCAATAAAATATCCAAGGCTGTAAAAAGCAGCTATAAATGGATAAAGTAATGATTAGTTGACTGATTGCACGAGAGAAATTCAATCGACAAGCTTTTAACATTTTTTTCCTCTTGTTATCATCCGTTTGCCGATTAAATTGCAGCAAAGGGAATTGAATTCATTTCGTAGACAGAGAATGATTCATCGACGCATATAATTCAGCTGCTACTCATCTGAGATGTGGAATACAGGACCGAATTTACGCATAAAATTTAAAGCTAATTTAAACTAAATTAACATAACTCGACTTAAGAATATTTATTCAGTATTATTCAACAGAATAAAACAGATATATTTTTAGGTAAAATGAATGCGTTGAGCCCGTCCTAACCATTAGCAATTCCTGATTTTCACTAAATTCCCATTCACCGCAAACCAACAGTACAAGCATTCGTAAATAATTCAATTCTGTTTGACTTAACAACGCACAGAGAGAATTGCTTGACGTCACCAATCAATATCCCAAAGTACTAAATTATAAACACTGGATTAGCACACGTTATGCTTAAAAATTTACTACCTTACATTCGGGTAAAGTTAAAAGTCCCTTAAATGGTGAAGGCGCCGGGCAAAGATTAATTGCCCAGAGCGCGAACGCTGGCTGCTCCACCAAGTCAACAACAAAAAAGTTTTTATTGTCACCGTCGCGCACTAGCATGCACACAAAGATGCTGCTCCTGCATCATGCCCACGACTCGTAATCGTAAATCATGAAAGGACTTTGGCGGCCATTTCAGACGGATGTGACCGGCAGGACTAACCAGCGAGATCGTCGGTTGTAACTCTTGCCAACAAGAGAGCGGAGACGTTTTGTCATTTTAAAACTCAGCTTGCTTCGTTAGCAACAGTAAAACTGGAAAAGTTAACCGAAAGTTAAGCCAAAAACGATTTTTTTTAATTAACAAAATCGCAATGCGTAAAAAAACACATCTGCCAGAGCTTTGAATCTACTAATAAAAGTTGTATTATTTTGATCATGAGTAATTAACTAATGGAAAAATATTATACGAATCTTTCTTCAAATTTAATGAAAACAATTTTCATGATGTATACACATCTGTGATGTATCAAACAAAGTCTGGGTAATTACAGCATTTATTACTCAAGAACGGATGGATAGATTTTGATGATCAATGATTTGATGGATTCGGCTCCGCCTAGAGTAGCAGAATATTAATACTTAAATTGCTATAGGCTCAATTAATTTGTAGCTAAATAATTAAATCCAAGCGATAAGAGTATATTTAGTGTATAGTGGCTAAACGGGCACCTTACTAACGTGATTGATAGATTTCAACTGTATTTTAAATCATCGAAAATTGCTCGCACACTACTACAAAATGTAAGGCTCCGCCACAAGCAGCAGCTGCGTTTCATACGGTCTTGTGCTGCTCCGTAGGCAAATGCGCAGGCGCAAGCTCTGACCTGTAGATAATGCTCGTATATAATGGATATTACTCACGACTTGTTTTGTAGGTGAAAGCAGCAAAAATGATTTATTAGCATTTCTCATTTCTTTAAACTAATATTGTCTTTCACAAGCAAATAAACATTAATTACATCCCTACTAATATTATAAATGCGTATGTCCTGATGTTTGTTACACTTTCCCACAAAAACTACTTAACCGATCATCATGAAAATTTGTACACATATTCTTAGTGGTCCCCGAATGGTTATAGGCTACTTTTTATTTAATAAAAAATATTTTTAAATAAAATAAAGAAATTGTTTAGCCAATAATACCTCTGCATCTGGCTATTTTACTACTTTAACGCCATCTAGCATTCCAGCAATGAAGCTTAAACCTAAGTACTATAGTACCATCACACTGTATTACCGACAGCTACGTCAACATCAAATCCAATTGACTACACTATGGAGACTGTACACTATACTTCCATAGACTATACTTTCAGCCATTTTAAACTTCCCGCCATTCTACTTCATTGTTACTTCTTCCATGACTACAGACGCGTACGGAAGCAACTTCATTATTTTAGATATTCGCGAGCGAAGCCGCGGGTTAAAGCTAGTTCTTACTAAAACTATGTAGACGAAGTCGCGGGCAAAAGTTAGTATAATCTAAAATTCGGTTGATTGAAACAGCAAAAATACCCTATTTACTTCTTCATTGTCCAACGTATCGATACAGCAAAATTCATTAAAATCGGAACAGGAGTGTTGTCATGAAAAGAAAACAAATAGATATTTTCCATTTATGACATCAATATGGATGGTATTTTCAAGGGCGTTCAATTTACTATTAACAAGAAATATTACTGTCTTTAGCTGAAGTTTTCCGTGACACATCCACTCCTACAACGCTTAACTTTTAATCATGATCGGTGCAAATACTCCAGGCTGCACTATAGCCAATGCAATTCCACCCAACTCATCTCAACCGATCAATTGATATCCGCCTGACAACCACCTGTTCTTGACAGTTTTTGTTCACAGCACAAATCATTCCTGGTTTTGTTTTATAAATTCACAATGCCAAGCCAGTTCGGCCAAAGTATAATCCGAAAGCTTTCCTGTTTATTATTTTTAAACAAATTATGAAATTTTCCAACGGACTATAAACTCAAAATGTTCATTTTGTTGTGATTTCCTGTGGAAACGAGAAAATACGTTTTAGACGACAATTTCATCATAAAACGAAATGAAGACAATCCGAGCGACAATTCAACTTTGCTAAATCTCATCATATCCGAATATAAATAACGTTTATGGGGCATTCCAGATTTGTTTCTTCATTAATACGCAAGCATAGTCATAAAATTGAGTCGTATAAAACTCCACATTGTTTGTTAAATATTTTCCCAACTGCAGCAAAGAGTAATATTAAATTTTCGTAGGGAAACAATAAAAATCAGTAGAGAGAACTTTTCCGCCACATTTACTACGATGTAAAGTTATTATAAATCGCAATATTTCTCGGCCAGTGCTCGAATATATAAAAAAACATTTCAGGATAAGCAAAATTTTTACAAACTTGCCATTTCTGGAGTGTAGCATCAACTTTCAAGTTTAATGCAGCAACAAATCAAATTTGTTTCAGCGAACTTTATTACTGCAGCGCAATTTTAACATGAAATTAATTTATAATGTTGATGGCCATTAATTTCAGACTCTTCTATAACATTATATAACCTAATGAGCCATTTCAAGCGCACGGGCATTTTCCATATTCCGCTAGATTTCCGGAAATGCCGGCATTTCGTATGCACACAACGCCCTCGATAATAATAGAACGTACTTCATCGACTGCACAAAGCAAAATAACGTCCATTGATATTATAATAACGGGAATTATATGCTTCGCAGCTTAATGATAATAAAATGTCAAAGAATTAAAGTTCACTACGATATGGACAACCACTAATTAACCTCTCAATATTATACGAGTATAAACATATACTTATTTACCTCTTAATTTTATATTTAATATTTCAATATTATTTTTGTAGCAGATAAAGCTGATGAAAAACTGCATCGTCGCACGACTGTCCGCATGGGCATCCGCGTGGTGCAGAAAGCATTCGCACCACCATCCCCATACGGATACAACCCAGGCACAACCAACGACACAGCTGCTGGACAAAAAGACCGCAGCAGTAAACATAAGATCGCGCTCTTCGGCTGCAAGAGTGCACCACTAGACAGTACGAAACTTTTCAGCCAACCGCCCACAATGCAGGCGTCAAAGTCCAAAAGCGTCGAGGGTGGCCTACAGATCAAAAACAAGTCGACAAATCTGGATGCTACCACAACCACAACTCCGACTGCACCAGCAGCAGCATCACAAACGGATAAAATCGAGAGCAGCGACAAGGAAAACGAAGATAACAATCAGCATGAAAATTCAAATACTACAACCACCATTGGTACTACGAATATTGATAATGGAGGCGGAAAGTCACCTTGTAAGGTCACATTTCAACCGCCTGCTGAAGACAATAAGGATGGACTCAAACCAAGTGATCGCAAAAATGTATTGTTATTAAACCATTAACAAAATTTGTTTTTTTTATACTATGTTTGTTTATAATTTAGGGTAATATTCAAGATGATCGAAGGGAGAGTACTGCTGTGCAGCTAAGGGATATTCCGCACCGCACGCAGTCGTCGAAAAGTATTTCTTACTGAGCGATGGTCGTGTGGAGTTGGAAGCTTCGCTAGACAAAGCTGTTTACCATCATGGGGAGGAGATCCAAGTGACTGTGCATGTGCACAATAATAGCAACAAGACTATCAGACGAATCAAGGTAAATTAAATTGTGTATTGAGTATTTTCCGGCCTCAAGTCCAAGCTGGTTGCAAAATGCAAATCCATACTAATATTATAAAATACCAAAGTAACTCACGTTTCTGCCTTCGCTTCTCCCCTAAACCAATTCTGATGAATTTAGGTATATAAGTAGATTACATCCTGAAGGAGGCGATAAGCTACTTTACGTCACGGAAAAAGACTGAAATGGGGGTAAAATGAGGAGTCGGGATTTATAGGGAGTAAATCATTTATAGATATATAAGGAGGACTCAGATGTCGCTGACTAGGACGAATATGTGCAACAGTTAACAAGATACATGCAAAATACTTCATATTATAAACGCAAAAGTGAAATTGTTTGTTTGTTACGCTTTTATGCGGAAACTATTCAACCGATCTTAATGAAATTTTGAACACATATTTTCAAGGGTATTACCAATAATAATACCTATATATCTAAGATGATCAAGAAATAAAAAAAAACAATTAACGAGTAACAAAGTCGCGGTCAACCGCTAATTTCTAAAAATCAAACAAAAACACCAGTTTCGGTCAAAAATATTACGAAAACTACAATTCTTTGAAAACATATAAAAATATTTATCTAATTTCTGACGTTTGTTTAACACCCCTGTAAAAGGACTGTGTAAAGAATGAAATTAGATTGACATTCGCAGCTCGCGTGTCTCAAGGACAATCTAACAAAATTTAAATTACTACATCTGATCCGAGTCCCTCCCCAGCTCGAGAAATTCAATTACTCTCGAGTGTTGAATAAATAAAATATTGGATATTCAAGGATGAAACCAAAGAGTACGCCAGGCCAGTAAGAGCGGCAGAAACGTTCCGAGAAAGAAAATTTCAAATATGTTGATGTTAATTTTATGCAACGCTTGACTGCAAAACGCGCGTTTAATAAAGTCGAAATTTAAACACAATTTAATCGTGCAAGTGTGTTAATGAGTACATTTTACCGCGAATTCGGGTCAAGGATTAATTTCGGCATACTCACTCACTCAAAGCGCCCACTTGGGCGAAGAGTACTTCAAGTTTACAACATAATTGGAGCAGGAGTCATGAGATAGACGTAATTGAATGTTTTCGTCGAGTACAAACAACGCAAATTGTTTCAAATTTTAATTTTGCTCAAAAATTATTTTCAACTTTCAACATTGGAACTTCAAGGCAACTTATTCTGAATTTGATCACCGAATATTTTAGTATTCATGGCGACATCTTCATCAAAACTCCCCGCAATGCATTTCAATGTCTTCGTATTGTTTTCTAGTAGGAATAACGTTAGTAATCTTGGATCTTTTCCAAACGATCTTCTTCAAACGCTTCCTCCTGTTTTTTTTACTGGAGAATTCTGAGATAGGAATTCAACACTTGCCAAATGTTCTTTTATAAGATCAGGATGATATAAAATTAATATAAAAACACTGCGGATCTTGTATTTGGTAGATGCCAAGTATGGACAAACAAAAACAAACAGTTTGGAAGATTCAAAGCCAATTCAAAGGTGCAGAACTTAAAAGAAATGAAAGGAATTTACAAGACATTATTCTGAATTTGTACCTTAGCTGTTCAGATGTATGAAATGTTTGAAAAGTTGATATTTTATGAAGAATTTTCTCGTTGAAATCGGCACGTGCCGTAATGCGCCGCATGTTCTTGAAGGTTCAAGGATAATCGCATTCGTTTGTTCACAGCGTTCTTTTCCAGGGACGTAAAATTTATTTAATAAAATAATTATAAATCTTCCACGTATTCTATACATGATTCTCATGACTATGACGTAAGAGGTTTTAAGAAGCGGGGTAATATTAAAATTCTATCTATATAGAACAAAGTCGTGTTAGTTACAACATTTATAACTCAAGAACAGCTGGATAGATTTTTATGATTTATGATTTTCTAGATTCTTCTCCGCCCTGAATAGGAGAATAACTATTAAAATATCAAATATTATGACTTGCAGAGTGTTAAATAATGGATGAAACTTTTCAAATTATTAGTTAAATGATTAATTTCGATACGAAAAAAAAGTGATTAGCATTTATTTCTTCGAAATAAAATTGCAAATCTTATTGATGATCGACAAATACTAGTTTTACGAACCAAGAAATTAAAAATTAAAAATTAATTAAACTTTTACTAACAAATAAAGAACCAAGTTGCGGGCATGAGCTAGTATAAAATACATGTCATATTTAGTGGTCAATAGCATTAAAAAATGTTCCAAAATTAATGATCAATTGATCTGGGTACAAAAAAATTCTCCACAACACTTGTCGCATCCTCCTAAACGACGATATAAAAGCCCCTAAATAAGCAATCATGAAGTCATTCCAAGGCATGCCGACACCAATAAAACACACCCGGACGGTCCTAATTTACGACCGGCACCCTCATCAACCCTGACTACTTTCTACTATCCCTTTGGCCCTAGTCTATTTTGGTACAAAAAAAAAAATTAACGACCATTCCGTCTGCTGCAGGTCTTCGTAGTACAACACGTGGATGTATGCATGTTCTCCAATGGAAAATTCAAAAACGTGGTCGCTATGATCAACGCCAAAGAGGACTGCCCTGTGCCTTTGGGCAAACACGTCACCAGGTCCTACAACTTGCTGCCTATTAAATCCTCCACTAAAAACTGGATCGCCCTTGAGGATTCCTACACCAAGACTGGGATAAGTCTAGCGTCAACTGTGACTTCATGTGGCAACCACCCAGATGAACGCAACGTCTTCGCCATTTACGTCTCTTACTATGTCAAGGTTAAACTGATCATGAGTGTGATGGGTGGCAATGTCTCTTTGAAACTTCCCTTCAGCCTCATGCATACTTGTAATGACTACGATCCATGCGGTACGCTAACCCGCAGCATTGAACCTCCTCATCTATCAGCTAATGAAACAAAAACTGCATCCGGAATTGAAAGTAATACAGAAATGGATCCCAAGGTGTGTGACGAGGTGAAACCGGAAAAAGACGGGACGTGAGATCAGGTCGTGGTTGAGATCAACAAAGTAGACGTTGATTGTGGTGCGGCCCCTGTAAATCAGAATGACGGTGTTGTCTCACGCCAGCCTAGAAAACAATCGATCACTGTCGATAGTCATCAATCGAAAGTAAACTATGATGAAATCGTCACGGTAAAACGCGCTGATGAATCCGAAAGTGCGGATACTTCACCTATGGTCGACCCGCGTCCTGCACCACAATTCAAGGGTGATAAAGACGTCAAACAAAGCAAAGCACATAAGGGTAAAGAACGAGGTTTCAGCATACCGCGATCTTGGTGTTGCCTACGCAGTCGGCGCACATCCTAACGACCTAATCGAAAAATCAAACTCTAATTTGTAAATAAACGAGAAATGTACAGGGTCGTCGAGTATTACTGAGTTTCTAATCACAATCGAATGTTATAATCAAGTCTAATCAATGTGAATGAATAAAAGGAAAAATATCAATTATACTGTTAGCGAATCCAGCAGTCAATTCAACGCCTGTGCACCTAGGCAACCCATATTACAGCAAACAATTGATGGATCTCACTATTAGTCTCTCAACCTAAAAGAACAAAAATATGTGTATACTCACTAAAATGTCTAAAATTAGCACACGTGTAGAACGCAACCCGTATTTTCTATAACAAATTATATAAAAACTAACGTAACCGCAAATCTGTACCTCTCACTTGGACCAACCTAAAAAATAATAACGAAACAAGCTCGTAATGAAATCATTCCTAACCCCAAATCCCCAAAAATACTACTTGAAATTGAATTATATTGAATGTTGTGAACGGAAAATGTATATAATTGTAATTCGCGCACCTCGCACGAAATTAGCCAAAATCTGCACCACACATCGATGTGTAACCAGTTATGAATCGTCACAGTGCGAAGAATGTGCCGCCATTTTAATTCAATAGTAACTGATGCAGCATGGCAGCGGATTTTCCCAGCACTAAGGCGTTCGACTTATATTTGTAATATTTTTATATTAAAACTGTCTGAAAGTTTATTTATGTGGTCATATGAACGCATTCCTTGTACAGAGACTCGTATTTTCGTGTTTTATACAAAAATATATTATAATCAACAAAGATATACCTTATTACTGTGTTATGTTGAATATTTGAATTGTTTTGTACATACCGTGATACCCGCACTCAGCATAACCTCGCACGACATCGGCGGTGATTTTATCGGAGTCTTCCTGCACGTCCAGTTTTATCAAGATATACTTGAACACACCAGATGGATCGATGTCGACCTCGGGGATCTTGCTCGACATCCTTTTTATTAACTGCAAGCTACGTAATGACATTAATCTAAATAAAGAGGGAAAATTCATTGATTAGTAATAACCAGCACCATAATTAGTCATAGCCACTTGGTATTATTTAAACTTCACGATATCCGAAAGTCGAGTTCGTATATAACCGTCACACTTCGGCATTTTAGTCTTTTAGATATAACCATACAATAGTCAAACAGAAATAAACATAAAAATAGTGTGAATTAATAGTTAATTATTCTGAGAAGTGTGGGAATTTTATAATTATGTTAGTGAAAAGTGCTCCTTTAGTATGGAATCAATTGAAAGGCATTATCTGCGTGAATAAACCGGCCGATATGACAGTAACGCATCTTCGCGGTGCGATTTTAACGAAAATTAGCCAAGGTAAGGCGTGAAAGTACTTACATAGCTTGTTATTAACGATTTACTGGGAAAATGCCACACAACTTCTTTTGCGCAGTGCTGGATGCTGAATGTAGAAATCGGTATAAATAAAATCCAAATATCTTGCCAGACCGATGCAAAAAATGTGTTGACAATTTACTTAGGCAACCATATATACACTTGTTATTTCACGAGATTTGTTTTCTCTTTGAATTTCTGGTTGCCGAACTTATAATACTACAGTCCAAAAGTTTTAAACTTCTTTTAAACTTAACTATTTCCTTAAATATTTTAATTAGAATTAAACGAATTGGAAGTACGCCCACCAATGGATTATGTCTCAATCGATAGAAACGCGTCGGATGGGAAATATGACGTTGTTGTTAAAGAAAATTTAGCGGATCATCCACTAGTTGTGGGTCCCAGATACCTTCAGGAGGATATTCCATGTAGTTGGTCGAATTATTTAGGTAGTAGATCATCTGGAGTGTTGCGTAAGTTATTATTGCAACAGTGTATTTAATAGCAACACAGTTTTTGTTGATTTGTTTAGTATTGGGCATAAGAACAGGCACAAAGATGGCAAAACATATCCGGGAGAACCATCCTACTCGTGCCTACAGAGTTAAAGGAATTTTAGGTCAAGCTACTGATGATTTTTTCAAAACTGGTAAAGTCGTGGAGCGGTCCACATTTAGACACGTTAAATTAATTTACCTGGAACGTTTACTTTACAATATGCAGGCATCACACCAGAGAAAGATGTTTGAGTAAGTATAATTTAAATAATTGATTATTTATGTGTAGGATTGTTAGGAATTTGTGATTTTTAAATGTTTGAGAGCTTGTTACATAATTTCAAAATTACCATTAAGTTGTTTAATGGCAAACTTAGTTCAGGCGATGCCCTCAAGGCGAAATGTGTCTAACTCGATATTTAATTCAATATTACGGATAAATAAAATAAAGTAAAATATTATAGAAAACATGTTATGCAACTTTTTCTTTCGAGTTGAACATGTTAAGCCCGTTAGGCAATCTCAGAACATGTAGCACATGCGGAGACTTATACAGAGACTTGTACTTGTATATGACAACCACTCAAACAATTAAAAACCTAATAAAGTGAGAAATTTCATTGAAAATGCATTAACTTTAGAATAATTCATAATCCTTTAAATTCACAAATCTTACCCAGTTGAGAATGCGTCCAACAACATTAAAAGAGTGCCGCATCACTGTGCACTGTATTTATTTAAATATAATATATTATTATATTTTATTTTTGTAGAATGTGTGGAGTTGATATGCAATCACAAGCTGCCTATGAATTAGCTGCCCAAGGTTTGCTAAGACCAAAAGATTCAAAAATTCCAGTGATTTATGGTATTAACTGCGTCGATTTTAGTCCACCCGAGTTTACAATAGGTAAGAATATTTATTGTCGGTTTTTTAGGGTTTAATTTTATTATCTTTACAAATAAGTTTTCACGATTTAACAATAAATCATTCCATTTCTAGAAATTCAGTGCGTGAACGAGTATGAAAAATACTTAGCGGCGTTAATTCATGAAATTGGCATTAAACTTCACTCAACGGCCCATTGCACAGGCATAAAGTGTGTGCGGCACAGTCACTTCACATTGGAGCATGCTTTATTAAGAAAACAGTGGGATCTGCAAAATATCATCACAAATATGGAGTCTTGTTCACGAATAATCAACGACAACGAGAGTATTTTACGACAAAAGAGTGTCACATTGCAAGGGTAAAAGTTCCAACCATATTTGATCAAATTAGTTTACTTATATTTGTTTATTTAAATGCTTTTGTATTTCTTGATAACAATGTCTACAAACAGTCAATTTGTTTTGTTTTTAATTCCACATATTCACAACAACACACACTTGAAACATGTTGTGCCATCAAACAAGTACAGTATAACGTCTTTTCGCCAAAGTATCGAAATCACAATCTCGGCTGTCTCTTTTCCACCTCTTTGCCGCAATCGTAAACTTCAATTAAAGCAGTCACAAAAATGTGTAAATTTTATTATTGAAAATAACAAGTGGACGGTACGCAAAGTAGCCACCTTGCGCACGTAATTTCGTTGCCAGCGCGATTTTGGCACTGTGATTTTGGACAAATTTTACGTCATCATTTCGTGAGCTGTTTGTGGGAATGATCGTGGAATGTACTCTACATTTACACACAGTACGAGTAAATATAAATGGTAAATTTGTAAAAGTACTTTTGACACATGCATTAAATAACTGGTGTAACAATAATTCTTTGTACTTAATGTTACAAATAAGTACAGATTGAGCCAATTGATAAAATTTTGCATTCAACTGTAACGCATAGCTAACATAGTTAAAACTTTTTCTATAATCGTAACGCGTCATAATAAATATTTTGCTTATGTACTCAGTTTGATAGTATGGTGAACATACTACACCTAAGATGAATAGAAAAATGGCACCCGACTTTTATAATTAATTGCAGCATTCGATTCAATAAATTGATTTTAGGCCAATCGTCTCCGCTAATCGTGTGTTTCACTTGAATAATTGAGAACAGTGTCGGTTTTACACTGATAAGACGTCCAAGCGCTTGCTGCGTTATAAAAAATTTCCCTAAATTTACATCAAATATTATTTTCCAATAAATCGCTTAGCTATATATATTAAAATATAAAATCTGAGCGCTTGTAAAAGATTTGTTTTAAGTTGAAACTGTAACACCGAGACAGAACAACAGCAAAAATGTTTCGTCGTTTGCTTCCCATATATATATATATTTCGTTTCCCAGGCTGGTGGTTGTTGGATTTAACGAAGAAAGCGTTTGTAGTGAAGATTGCAAAATGTGACTAGCTAATAGTATCTTCCTTTTATTCTTGTCTTCAATTAAAAGGCATCATATGTTATCTCCTCTTGCTCCACGACACAACAACTTGGAAATTGTCCAATCTAAACAATTGGTAAAGTTTTATGAGTTCTATTGAAATTGCACTACGGGAAAATTACTTACTCCATTTCGTGAAATGCCTTTGTACCATCTTCCTCCACCTTCTTCGTCTTTATCGATAATTACGACCATTTCTCCTCGTTCGAAAGAAATCGTTGGCGACGCGTATGTCTGCGCCGCTTCGGCCTTAATTTGCCGATACGGATACTCTAATTTCGCATCGGCTTCCAATCTAAGTAAATGAATATTATATAAATCAACGAAACATGCAAAATATTTGAGCTTACCTTTCAAAGTTTTCTTTTAAACTAACTAATTGATAATTTCGCACCATGTCCTCCAAACTATTAAAGAATCTCGACACAGACAGATAATACTTGTTCTCAGTAGTGCTGCTGCATATCCTCATATGTTTAACGCCATTCTCAGTTCTATGAATAACCACAGTAAATTTACATGATTTTAAATGTTTACTTCTGTTTCTTACTTGAGACTAAGTGCATAAACATCCGAATCCTTTTGCAAACGTATGCGTACCAAATACGTGCCGGGTTTACGATTCTCCAATAAACTAACCGCTTGTGCGCGATCTTTCTCGCCCGCGAACCACAGTTTGCTTTGCAATGTCAGCGCTTCCTGCGAGGGTGCTGGCGCTAACGACCTCACCGGTGCACCGCAGCGCCCCGACGAACCAATACACTCTTTATGCACAGAGATACTACATACGCGGCATTTGTATCCCTGGTAGATTTGTCCTTTCAGATATTTCGAACATTTGTAGCAAGTCATGGGCATTTTGTAAGTGTGCATCTCAAACTGATGATTTGTCATTGATAATGCAATAGGGTGGATATTTTCACTAAAAATTAATAAATATAGGTTATCACAATTACATTAAAGTGAACAACGTACATTGCGTCTTTAATAGCTCTGATTAACATGTTCTTGATGTCTCCTGATTTGACACTCATCGAGTACACCAGTTGTTTGTCATTCTTCACCATGTGCCATTGGAAGGACCAACGCACACCCTGCTGTAGCAATGCGCGATTATTCGCCTCGTCGACGGTGAACTCGGAGAGATCAAGCATCGTGCGATAGAGATACTGCTGGCCTCGCTGCTTTGTGAGAATCATATACTTGTCAAAGATAAAAACGTAGCGCTGCTTGGGCTGCTTAGGTTCGCCGTGCAATTTCACGCGGACTTCACCATCGCGTCTTAACCGCCCGCACCGCTCAATCGGGAACTGTGTACCCTGGTCCCAGACCATATTACGCGAGATCTCCTGCAGTACATTCATTTGTTCCTTGTCGCGCGCCATTTCATTAATGTAGCGTGAAACGTCCACCATTGTTTCACGTGCCCTCTTTAATTCAGTATATTCTTCGTGATTCTAAAAAATTATACTATATTAATACAAACCACATTTTAATAAATGTATAACTTACTGGATCGGTTTCCTTGACGAGATTCTCCAATAGCAGGTGATATTTGAGAATTCTCTGCATTGGTACTTGTAATAAATCGCGCAGTTTGAACTTGCCTTGATTGGCTTCCTGGTCGGCTTTCTCAATAGCCTGACAAATCGTTTCGTTGCGATCGCATAGATCCTGCAGGCAAGTTGTGGCATCCGCCAGATTCGAACAGAAATCACCGTAGATCAAAAACCGTTCTTTGAAATTCATTATTATGTGGCTCAACTTCAGCGATTTACTACGACCCAGTCGATCTAGCTCACATTTTAAATCTTTATTCACCGTATAAATGTCCTACAAATATTTAATAAATATAAATAGAAGAAATAAAATTAAGTTAGTCAAATAATAATCTACTTACAAGAATCCTATAAAATATTTTGGCATGATCCCTGGGCTCCAAAATATATGTCAACTTTTCTATATAACAATGTTTGATCTTTCTTAGCACGTCCACGTAGTTACTTTCCGTGTAGATTAATTCTTTAATCACGTAATCGCGTTTCTCCAAAGCAAGCTTGTCGCTCTGAATAAATAACAATCATAATTAGATACTTATTTCAACAGAACTTGTAGATATACATAAAAAGTGCATAAAAATAAAAACTACTCACGAGTGTGCGCATACCACATAAACCTTGATAAATTTCATCATTGCGATGAACATTTTCATTGCATTCGAGCTGCTCTTCACTTATTTCAGGCGCGGTATTACTACTACACAATAAAAACAAGCAAACAAATAAATAAAATGACAAGAAGAAAAATAAACCCAACACAGCAACAGAAAATTAATTTAAATCAGATCTAGATCAGCTATCGCCAGCTATCATTCATACACAGAGGGTAAACGCAACACTTTCCGGATTGTTGTACGTTAATACCTCGTTTTGATTCGTTGAGAACGTCACGTAGCAGAGATCATCGTAGACCTCCTCTTCGTGATCGCTCGGATGCGGGCAGGGAATCGTGAATTGGAGCCAGCTTGGCTCGTTCACATTGCCATTCGTTACACTCCAGGAAGAAGGAAATTTTTTTATAAATATTTGACCACACTTGAGTATTGCTTTCATCTAATAAGTAATTAGCATGGTTCATGTATACTTACACAGACTTCAAACTTTGATACACTTCATCATCCTCGTCACTGCGCTCCAATTGAGCAGTGAATCCTTCGATATTATGCTGTTGTGCTTTTGGGCATCTTGATAATGCAGAGAGTGTGATCAGGACTTGATGAAAGTTCATAAAGTGAAATAACATTTGATGCTCAAACAGTTCACTTTCCTTCAGACCAAAATTAACTCTGCATGTTTTCAAGAACAATTCAGTATTCCTTGAGCATAAAAACTGCAACAGAACGTTTATTATTATTACATTTTCAATCATTTTTATAACTTATATAGCAAAATTATAATCCAACCAATCTTTAAATATACCAAGGTTCAATTTAATTTTAAATATTCTCCTAAAAACAATTTATTATAATGTTTATGTATAAATTAAAACATTTGACATAAAAATGTGTTGCATTGAATTTTTAAACATGTAAATGTAAATGTGATTAAACAAGCTTCACGAATTGAATAATTATCGTAACATTTTCGGGTAATTAACTAACAAAATATGCAAATGCTGTCGATCTACCCTAGTATTCGAGTCGTAGTTTGGGTTGCATACCTTTAAGGATGATTATAAATAAAACATGCGTAGTGCAATGATAACAATTCATACATAAACGCAGCGAAACACCGTTAATTCTTCAAGTTTTGTATTAAATTACGCACATACTAATCCATTCATTCTTTGAATGAATGCACATGTCATCATTTTTTATTATTAAGAATATCATTATGTATGTAAGATGTATCTATTATAACGCGGTTAATATAAAGAATAACGGTCTACAACGCCCAAATGTACCTGTGCAAGTTGTGGCTTTTGATTGATATCCTTGACATCAATGCACCCCGGATCAATCTTGTTGAGCAAGTTGCACAGCAACACACCATCTCGCAGCGTGGTGGCTAGATCTGAAAGGGTGGCTGTCTCCAGGTTCGCCCTGTGGTCTGGCCGGAGCATGTTGAATCTGGTTAACCAACTGGCGCATTCTCGCCACAGATCATCGTTGCCTATGAATGCGGCTGCCATCGCTGCTAATCACTTGGGTATTTCTTGCTGATGTTACTAAATCATCACAAGTACTGTTGAGCCGTCCCGACTATCACTTGTTCCGCACAATAAACAAAAGCATGACGATGCTATTCACTTTATCGCCAGTGTTCCACCGTCGTGGAAACACAGTTTTTCGATAGAATTTGATTACGCGTTCCCGGAAACGATATTCGCTGATAAGCCGCTGTTAATAAGGTAATTTTCGCTCCGAGCCCGCGTTTCCAAGTGGTTCCGCCTGATACTAATGATATCAAATGATATGAATGCGTTTGACAAGTATCGACCTTGACGCGTGACCTTGTGATTGCGTTATGCAGCATCCGCCACTGGAGTTTCTATGATGCTAACTTCTCGTTACTGACTACTTAAGAAAATGCCAATTGCATGATACGTTTTCATTAATTGCTTCAAAACATTATCAGTAATACAATATGTGTCTTGAGTTGACAATATTTAGTACATAGTCAAGTTTGTTTACTGCAAAATATTTTTGAAATATTTTGAAATACTTTATTTATTTTTTGCCCTTTTTCTTCTTTTTCTGTGCTTCTGGCCATGGAAAACCTCTGCGGAAAAGTAGATCCTGCACGTTGTGACATGTGGAGTAGGCGTTTTCCATAGCCGCTTCAGTGAATATATCCACGCTGCATTTCGAACTTTTGAGGCGGCCCCCTTTTCTTACCGACTTTTTAGATTTTCCGGTTGATTTTCCTTTTTTATTATCGGCAGGCGCTTTGGATGCTTTCGATTTTGCCTTTTTCTTTTTACCACCCATCGTAATCACGGATATTACAATTATATTTGTAAATATCGATCTAACAACTCAGCATTGATTAACAAGGCAACAAAGATGGTCGTAAAACAAAGATTTAATAAATTTTATTTCTGCCCCAATCTAGTTATTGTATATTCATAATTAACGTTGTTTAACAATAAATTGGAGTTTGTTCTAAAATATTTGTTACAATCAAAACTTCGTGCAAAACAACAAATGAATTCTGTTGTTGTAGGCAATCCAACATACACCAACGTAAGCAAAACTTTGTCCAACAATTTTAAATCCAATTGAGAAGCATTGCCCATCCAACCTCACCGTCACACCGCAATTCCAAACCGAATTTTCCGCAATTAGAATACCGCGAGAAATCAGAATAAGTCACGTTTATCAAAAGTTGTGTTTCTTCCTTGCACATTTTGCCTCCACATTCTGCATTCTGCACAAGTTGTCAACCGAAAAGCATGTGCTAAAAATTAGACTGTTTGGCTCCCGGGCTGTTTTCTACGATCGCTGATAGTCTGATAGTGCTGATATTACGCTCGGTAACAACGTGTGAATAGCCTCAACGCATTTCTATCCGTTCGCGCTCGCAGTTCCTAATCACATCGAGATCATTCTCTGCTCGAGCGGCAAGCGAATTTCATTTTAAATAAGTGAGGTTAACATTAATACACAATCTATGATTCAGTAAGTGCACATTTCTACATTTTTGCCATTAATTATGTATTTTCAATTGTTCGGCGAGTTTTCAGTTTTTGCTATATAATTTTTTGTTTTATGTGCAGGTTAGTGCTTGAAAATGGATGAGATGAAAGATAGAATTCCAGACTATCCATTTGAAGTGGGGTCTTCTATGGAAAGTCTCAAGGAGAAGCTGGAACAGTTTATCAGTTCAAATTCATTTTCAGAGAAGCAGAAAATTCTTAATGAAGTAAGTGTTGTTTTAATATATAAAAAATAATATTTTTTTAAATTATTGACACATGTTGCCATAACCAGGAAAATTTTTATTTTATGAATTAAATTTCTTTAAGTTTTCATATTTAAATTTTTATTTAATTATGTACAAAATGATGAAAAGTGATGGTAGGATATTTACATAAGAAAAGCTTTAGTTACTCATTATTTATGTATTTGCAATTAAAACAGTGTATAGTAATATGTTAGTCATATTACTATAAATAGAAAATGATTTATTTTCCAAAAGCACTGAGACAATTGGATCCGAAAGTAGAATTGACATGCAAAATAAAATTAAAACATTTAAGCCTTAACATGAAATTTATTTATTTTTTAAATGAAAAGTCCTTAAAAATGGGTACAAAATTTCATGATGATTAGTTGAGTGGTTTCCGCGTGAAAGCGTAGCAAACAAACAATCCCACTTCCGGATTAATAATATTAATAAGGATGTAATTTTGCAGTTAGCTGAGCGCTTAAAAACCCCTGAAGAGGTAGAATGTGTGGTGATGATGATATGCCACATATACCTGTGGACAACATCGAAACATCCAATAAAGAAGACATGTGCTCGAATACTGTCATCCCTGGATCCTGAGTTGGTAAAAGATAAGTTGTCAATTCAGATAAAGCATTTTATCGCCAAGCTGGACAGGCTTGAGGAGGACGTTGATGAAGATGACAATGACATGTTGGATTTTGAGACTGAGAAGCGCAGGAATACTTTTCTTATTATTCTACAAGGTTTATTCGGCACTTTTCCGCCTGGCGTTGAGGCTCTCAATAAAATCATCGACATCGTCTTTTTATTCGCGTATGACGTGTTTTTAAGCATTTTTTCTTTTTTTGAGTAAGTTATCGACAATATTATTAACAGATATGTGTTTTAATTCTGATTCTTTCTTGTTTATCTTTTGTTTTAGATCGGGAACAGTTCCGCTGGAACTTGCGCAGCAGCTGATGTACAGCACGGTTAAATTTCTCGATACTCTGCTGCACAATTGTGATACTAGTATTCATCTTTCGAAGGAAAGTCAGACGCTGCTGGTGAAGTGCTACAAGGCGATTCGTAATGAGAAACTCGCGTTCAACACGAAGGCACATTGCGGCGCGTTATTAGTGATGGCTGTTGTTCAATTCCCTGATAATATAGAACAAGTAGGTTGAGTTTGTTTCTACGCATGCGCAAGTTGAGTATGTTTGTTTTATAGGAAGAACTGAATAATTTAGCGTCTTCCTTAAATATTCCGTCCATCAAACCGGAGGATAATCTACTGACAGTGATGCTGCAGTCATGCGAAGATTGTTACACCACGCGTATCTGCATCTTTTCTGGAATTGTGCATACTTGTCCTTTGCACGTAATGTCAAAATATATGGTGGATGAAACGCCGGTGGCGATCTATATCTTCAAAAAAATGTTGGAAATCGCCATGGTGTAAGTAAACATATAACCAAATTTGTTTTCTGTGCTTAAATTAACATAGGCAACCATATGATCAATATAATACTTAGTTTTTTTTGTTTTTTATCTAGACGAACCAGCATCGCACCAGAAATACTTGAAATCAGTCGCACGCTAATTTCGCTCTCGCCGCTCATCTCTAAAATAAAGATTGAACATCTCACTGATATAATTCAAGGCTGCTGGGACTACATTTCTGTGCACTGGGATCACTTTGTCGACGCTGTTCGCAGTGATGCACAAAAACTTCTTAAGACTGTTATTACCCTCACGCTGGATTCAAACGACAGCGATAATATCGCGCATTCGGTAGAAGCCCAGCCTGCTGCATTCAATGAATACCAACAGATGTTTGCTAGTGCTATTTCGGAGATCATCCATGGGCAGAATCCTAACTACAAAGCATTGCCGCATATAGCTTCAACGATTAAGGTACAAATTCTTATGAAATCTTTTCCGAACCTACCGCAGAGTTTGTTGAATGCGTTGGATAATCCCAGTGTTGCCCAAGATGTAAGTTGCTCAAGTCTTACGAACTCATAAACCGTAAGTCACCGTTTAATTTTGTTAGGTCTGTGTAGCGTATGAGAGATTAATGGAACAACACAAAAAAGAAATGGGAGAGTCGTGGATCCACGTTTGGGTGGAACCACTATTGCCTTTCAAGCATCCGGAAGCTGTTCTTGTATATATTTTAAAGATTTTTAACAGTGCTTTCAAGTTGAATCCGTCGGTGTTGTTACTAATGGATCGTGAAACGTTTACCGATGCCGAATACCGCGCTGTGTTGAGTTGTATTATCAAAGCAAGGAAAACTAATGTCAAACTGGAGAATATTTTAAATGTGCTGACTAGCAAATCATGCAATGGGGCAAACATTTTGAGTAAAAAACACATTCAGATGTTGACCTGTCATCAATCGGCTGAGGTAAACCTAATTGAATCACATAAACATCATAGAACTAATGTTGAAATTGTTATAGATTCGAATATTAGTTTTAACTTTACTAGTTGAATGCCAAAAGTCAACGGAAATGTTCCTTCCTGAAGACTTCAAATTATTGATGATATTCTTCCGTTTCCATGCATCGTCATCCCTACCGAATTTTCGACAAAACATGCTTGCTCTATATAAAAAAGCGTTCAATCGATTTAAGGACTCCTTCTATGTAATTCAAAGATCAATTCGCAATGAAGAAGCACGTGGTGAGAACGCGGACGCTGATAAGTTAACGCCACTCAAGGAAAACGAAAATCAGTACAAAGATTTTATCGTTACATTTTTTCATCAGCAACTCATACGAGGATTGTTTAATCAAGTTGATTTCGGAAAGCGGGCGATGTGCTTGGAGCTCCTGCTACATCTGAAAACTTGTCTGAGTGAGGAACTATACAAAGCTCAATGGTATCCAGATTATATGTACATGTTATTTGCCGCGTTCAATGACACCTACGAATCGAACTTGGTAATGTTGAAGAATCTACTTTTGGGATTGCCTCCAGAAATTGTTTTTCGGAAAGTATGTGCAGCAATTGATTCATATTATTCGTGCCTTTTTATTGAAATATTTTTGTTTATGGTCATTTTGAGGATTTGGAACCAGTTTTTATCAAACCATTCACCCAAGTTGGCTTCGATGTCAAATCCAACGTGACGACGTCAGCAACATACGCCATCTTAGTTCATATTCGATCACCAAACGCGTTAGAAATAATCAAAAAGGCGTATAACATTGAGGGGGAAGAAACAGATGAGTGTCCGGCCTTATTGGTATATCGGCAACTATCGAAACAGATTAGCAATGAGCTTCGTACTGTCAGGAAGGATGTAAATATGGCCGCTAAGTACGCACCAGTATACGGAATTTTGTTTGTCATGCGACACCTAATCCGCGAGGAAGAACTTGAGTGAGTGATAATGACAATGAAATTGTTTATATTGTTATTTACATATTTATGCTTTACGAAATTAGCACACAGCACCCCGAGATCCTTCCGAAGTTGGTCACTCAGTGCTTGACCATTGTGGAAATGGCTCTACCGGTAGTTAACTCTGCAGCGCCAGAGGGTTACAATCCGAGCAATGAGGACTATGAACGTGCGGATGTAACACCGCAACTTGTGCTTCACTACGCGTGGAGAACCATCAAGGAGGTCTCTCTGTTGTTTGGCGAGCTGCGCATCAATAGTCCAAATATTAAAGATATACTAGTTAAAGAAAATATTCTATTGAAAATGACAAAGTATTTTATGAATTTATTCGAGTTTGCCAAGCATCGAGGGGCGTACGAACAAGGTTATGTAGGTTTCTCTAAATTCACCGAAAAACTGTGGAAGTAAGTCTTTTTTATCTCCAAAATTGAAACTGTTTAATTAATATTTTATTCTTACTACTCTTAGTTCGAAATGTCGATGGTGTGAATTCCCAGAACGATGGCTAGAGAAAGCAATGGAATTGATTACATCAAATAGTTCAAAATTATGCGCAACTAGACGCAGCGCTGGTTTCCCCTTTTTGATTCAAAGCATTCTTGTGACTGAACCAAAACGTAGGGCGAACGAAAGTTTCCACTACTGTATGCAATATCTCCTTAAAGTGGCTGAAAATTACGCAGAGGATAATCAAACTTCATCGCTTCATAGTATGAATATTCTGCGGGCGCTGTATAGACATAATCAATTGGGGAGGTGGTCGCGTCGTATGTGAGCAAAGGTGTAATGATTTCTATCACACGATTTAGTCATTCGGAATGGGCGGTGAGTAAAAATCCGCAAAAATAAATAAATTAGAAATCATTTTATATTTACTTGATATATAGATACGAAATTCAGCGACACTGATGTTTGGCGCACTAATAATGCGCATATTTGGCGTGCAGCGTCTTAAGGATTATGAGGACGTCAGTATCAAGAATCGCCTGCCGTTTAAAGTCTTCAAGTCGCGTTATCCGGACTTGTACAAGTTTCTTTTTGAGAAGTTGGAGGAGTACGTGGCGGATGGAAAAGAGAATGTTTCAATGTATCCTGTCCTTGTGATTTTAGGTAGACTTTATTTAACTTTTGATAGTAAACAGGACGATAAGGTAAGTTTATTTCTACTCTTTCAATAAATCTTCAAGTTTTAAATACAAAACTTGTTTGCGATTTTCCAGTTAGCACAACATTTAGAAACATTGATCAAAGCCACTACACGAACAATTTATAAAATCCGCGAGTTGGCTGTTTCAGCAACTGTAACATTTGAGTCATTCTTGAATCGAAATATTCGCGCGGATAAAACTACGAATAATGAAATCCACGCCTACCTCTTGCGCCTGAAATACCACGTCAGGACACCGAATATTTTCGTTAACAAACTCAGCCTCAGTTACTTTAAACCGCTGTTGATATTGATTAGCGATGCTGGACGAGGCATATCACAAACTTGTAGCACGACGCTGATGGATATTCTCATAGAATTCCTTAAAACCTATGAATATAAGGATGAAGATCTCGAAACGTACAAAGAACTTCTCGGGCATTTACACTATAAGGTTGAAACTACGATTTCGACGTGTTGCCGATTTCAACAGACGAAGTTCACGCTTTATTTACATGTGATAATGAAAATTCCACAAGGTCAATGGTACTCGCGGACTTTCATCGCGAAAGCACTACTGCAAGCGCTATCAAGTCGAAATGAAGATTTGAACATCTTCGCGTTAAACTGTATTCGCTACATCAGCACCGATAAGATCCAGGAGCCCGAATCAAAAGAGTTGGAGTATGAGTTTGTTAAATCGTTATCGCCGCAGACGAAGAGTTTATTAAATTGTATCATCAGAGTGCATCTGATTAAACGACGCACGTTTATGGATTTGTTTGATATTTTACGAAGCAGAAGTCGGCTGTATGGACTAAAGGTGTGCCAAGTGTTGTATAATTATCCGTCGATTGTTTGTACTATAAGACCACTAGCGGTGCCTGTGCGATTGAGCCATCAGATTATCTTGGATTATTTGGATCGGCAGGCGACATGTATTAATTCGGAAATGTTTGTGGCTATTATGGGGTTGATTAGCAAATTTGTTGCTGGTAGTAATGAGATACTGGATCTGGGGGATTTGATTGAACATATGATCGAGTATGGAGGTGATGATAGCACTATGGAGGAGCGACTGGCTATTGCCAACTTTTTACTTAACAATACCAACCTGTTGGTGAATACCGACGGCCTGCCAGGTAAAAAGATCAAAATTTTACATTATTGTGTTTGCTTTATTTTTTATTCGTAGAAGACCTACGATTGAAACTATGGCAGCTCTATCTCGATTTGATCCAGGATGACGAATTTGTCGTTCGGGATTTCTGCACTCAGATTACGCACCGAGTCCTCAGTGCGGTCAACAGTAAAGAAGTAAATGAGTAAGTCGGAAATTATTTTTGTATACAATGCGCTGCCATTTTGAATTTTTGCAAGGTGCTATAAGAAAAAATTTCCTGTTACGCCCGAACGTCTCCACGTGGATATGCTAGCAAAGTTGCCCTATTTTCTGGGTATTAACGAAGCGTTGAAAGTCTACGTGTCTTTATGCCTGCAATTTGATGAAGCTTATGAGTATACCGATGAGAAGACAATCTACGATAAGCAGCGCCCTCACAACTTCAAAGAATCGCGGCAGTTTGCGCCGCTTGCTAAGAATTATTTAACGGCGTATCTTTGGAAACTGGAGGAGGGTCTGAGTTACGAGGACAAGTCGATTTTCATCGAGGAACATTTTCTGTTGGTGGTCACGCGCCTCGTGAACTTTATCATCAACCAGGATGACACGGAGGATCGTTCCTTGTGTGTAGCGGTGCTCACTCGGTTCGCGCGGTACCTGGAACGTGTGAAGGTAGGAACCGTAACTGCCGAACAGATTCTAGACAATTTCGTGATTGCGTTCAAAGCAGCCGAAGCTGGGGAGCGTGAGTTAAACAAAACTATGTGTGCATGTGTCACCGAGGTGAGTCAATTCCTTTCGTTCGTGTTGTTCTCGCGACATGTTAATCCAATCCGCAGGGATCTGGACGAATGCAAGTGTGATAATTTGTAAAGTTTACCGGTGCAAAATTTCTATTCGTTAAAAAATGTTAACAGTTTTTTGCAAACGCATTATTGAGAAACAATAAACTTTTTATATGTTTCAATACGCAACTGTTAACCTAATGTCCTAACCTAACCAAGATGGCGTCGGTTTATTTTCATAACACAGTCCATCTTTATTCTCGCACATACACAGATCATTGGTTTGGTATCAAAAACAAAAATCGACATATACTTAATTAAAATTAAAGTACAAAGATTGTGATAAGTATGTAGCTACCTGATTATTACAGTAATTTAAAATTTGCTGACTAAAAACCTTTTTTACGTTGCGTCGGCAAAATGGATGTCTTCGCGTAGTCAAAGAGCGTTAGCAACCCGTACTTCTTTCCCTTCTTTGAGAAGTAATTAGTGACAACATCTCCATCTCTAGTTTCTGTTGTCGTTGGTAATACGTATTCATTGGCAGAGAGGGAAACAAATAGTGCGAACGGTACAATCCACAGACACATGGTAAAATAAGCCATTACCTAAAAAATAGTTTTGAAGCTTTCTGCTACATGTACTTATTGTTAAATTAAAGACTTACTTCAGAAAATGAAAAGTACACCTCTGCAAAGAACTGAAATGCTATATAATGGTTTGCTATAATAAATAATATGCCTAATAGAAAAGTCGGCGACGTGAATGTCACGTATGGGTAACTTTGAAGTATTGCTAGGTGGTTGAGTTGACTTAACATGCCACAAAAACATAATGTATTGCCAAATCCTTCAAACAACCATAAAAGGAGGTAAGTACCCAATGTTCCCTAAAATCAAAATATGCTTTGGTTTATTCCTGTTAGCAATATGCTATAAATCTAATACTGCTCAAGTATTTTCAAATTACTCTCAACTAAATTATACTCTTATTAGCTTGCTTGATAACAAATACATACATAAACAATCATTATTATAATACCACACTATTTTTAAATCATAATTGACAAGCAGAAACAAGAAAGTTGCTTACCATGGCTATCCATGTGATAATTTTCTTACTGTAAACTGAATATTCTTCAACAAGTTCTGCCAAATAGTATAAGCCAGCAGCTGAAACAAAACATTTCTATATTATTTATGTAATTTTATAACCTGTTACTCACCAAGTGATATTGTTATGAAGCATATCTGGCAAAATATTGCCAGCCACGTTAGAAGCGTTAAGAATATCATAGCTACTAGATTAATCTGGTCGCTATTATTGCAATATTTGATCAGTGCGGTTCCCGGGATGGCATTATTTCGGCTGCTGGGTAATTTAAAATGTTGATGTCATTTTGGTTATCACTAACTAGACAAATCACAACTTACAACCCGCAAATTGGGTAGGGACCAAGTTAGACAACTCACATTGCACAAATACTAACAAAAAATAAAATATTGATTAATTAATAGATTGGTACATGGATTATTCTTGTTTGATAGATTTGATATAATAGAGTATTGTAATCATTAATATCATATTTATCAATACTTCGTATTATTTATATATTTTCTGAAAACATGTAAATGAGAAAGTATAGTACCTAGGCAACTAAGCACTCACTGCTCATATTTGTTTTCGCTCTATGATATGCCTTGATAATGTTCTTTCTCTAAGTTTAATGTAGTAAGAACATTTTAAATTTAATTATAATTTGCTTCAGTATTAAACAATGGACGACGATGCCGTTGCTACATTAAAGGAGTACAATGAACAGGTATTAGTTAAATTTAAAAGTTGTAACCTCAAATATACAAAGTTTTATTAACTTTTAGTTAAGAAAAGTAAATGAAGCATTAAGTGTCACAGAAAACACCGATGACCGAAACAATTTAATATCACTAAAGAATGACCTACAGCAATTAATTGCACTCACAAATTCCACAAATGATAACTCTGATGATAACAGTGATAGCAATGATAATGAAGCTAAAATCAATGATGAATATGCAATGTTTATGGCTGAAATGGAAAAGGAAGGAGCCTACAAAGGCAGCACATCCACTCAGGATGTACATGTTAAAAAAGATTTGACTTCACTAGAAGGAACAAAATGTAAAGCTCCACACTGTCACAGTTGGGGCTCAACTATTCATCACAATGCTTTAATTACAACAGTATTACCTCAACAGGATGATGATGATAAAATAAGAGTAAAAATATTGTTTATTAATCCAACTCACAAGGAGATGTTGCCTTGTCCTTATTACTTTGAGACTGAATGTAGATTTTCTGAAGAGAAATGTAGGTTTTCTCATGGTGAGATTGTCAATTTTGAAGATCTGCAAGAGTATGTGGAACCTGATTTTGCTGGTTTATCGGTGGGTTCCATTGTCTTAGTGAAACAAGATGATAAATTATGGCATAAAGCAATGGTGAGAAGAATATTGAAAGAAAAAGAGATGTGCATTGTTAAATTAGAGAAAAGTAGAAAAGAGGTTGAAGTGGATTTTGTTGATTTAATGCCAATCAATGATGATGAAAAAGGAGATGGTGATGATGATAGCAGTGATAGTGGAAGTGGTGAAGGGGATGCAATGGATGAAGAAACCAGAGATGATTTTATTAATATTAGTTTGTTAATTAAACCAAGTGATGATAAACTTGGAAGTTGGGAAAAATATACCAAGGTATGCATATGCATTTATTTTAATTAAAACAATATGTATTCATGCATTATGTACGTTTTTAGGGAATTGGCTCAAAATTAATGGAAAAAATGGGATACATAATTGGAACTGGTTTAGGAAGAAGAGGCGAAGGTAGAATTGATCCAGTGACAGCCGTTGCACTTCCTGCAGGAAAGTCTTTAGGTAAATAAAATATTTTAAATCCTTTTTATTAAAATTTAAAAAATTATTTATTTTAAACCTAGATCATTGCATGGAACTACGTGAGAAGTCCGGAGGCGATAAAAACCTTTTTAATGTTGAACGTAAATTAAAACGACAAGCGCGCCGTCAAGAAGCTAAAAACCAAAAGAATTACGAACGCGAGAAGAATAAAGTGGACGTATTTAATTTCCTCAATGACACGCTGGCGACCAAGTCATCAGAGAAAGATACCATTCAGTTAGCAAAGTCACAGCACCGGAAAGAAATAAAAGCTGAGACTAGTCGAAATTTGGACGTGGAGTCCTTTAAAATTGAACAGAGACTTAAAGAAATTCATCTTGAGTTGGTAAAAATTCGACAAGCTATGCAACGACAATCGGCTGCTCAAGGCCTACTGCACAAACAACTTCAGGATAAATATAAAGCGAAGCAGGAGGAGTTAAAATTATTTGAGAATAAGGCTTTAAATATTAAGAATGAACAATCGTTGAGAAATACTACGAGGCAATTGACGAAATTTTAATTTACCATGTTTAATTATTTGGGTTGCATACGTTTGTAGGGTTAATCTGCACAATTCTACCAAAAATGTGATGATAGAAACGGTATTTAATTTTAAAGATTTATCTACACTTGTATTTAAGTATATGACTACTTAATACTTGTTAAAACTTGTTTGGTTTTAATTTTGCATACTATGCATCAAATGAACGAACTTGTTGATAATGTCAAATTTGTATCATGGCGGTGGCTCTTTTCTTAGGTTAAGAGTAACCATTACTGTCGCAGTCAAATTAAAATTAGTCTTTGGAATGAGTAATTTTAACAACAGGATAATTATTATATACAAGTGAAATGAAAACATTTGTAACACTCACAGGGGATTTAAATGATAGTTTATAAAACAATTGTAAATTCAAGGCATTGGGTTTGATGAACACTTGCATTGAGGGTTGCAGGTGTTTTAATTCCATTTATATCTAAAATTAGTCCTGTGGTCATAATGAAAATAGTGAAAATGTAAACGTAAACAAAGTTTTTTGGACAATCACGACTATTGTTTCACTTCAAGAGTCTTAGATCCATTTGTATGTATCTATATAATAAGGAGTACACTAACACAATCCAATAAATAATTAAGTCAAGTCGATTTATTTCTCTATTGCAAAATACAGAGAATCAATACAGTTTTAAAACTATTTCTGTTTTAAGTCAAAGCTATTATCATCTAGTTCCGCCTCCGGTGATACCAACCAGAATTCAGGTTCACAACATAAAACTTATAAATTATCAATATACTAGGTGCGAGCGCTGGCGGCGTAATAAGTATTTCGTTCGTTTCCAATCTCGTATCGGGACGCGCGCCAGTGTCCGCGATTATAATGCACAATACAAAACGAATAATTAGTATACATAGTATTGGTATACGTGCTGCCAGTATACATGCGTATTTCTTATTGTATAAAGTTTCCTTGTTTAAGTAGGCGGCGCTCAGGGCGACAGCTCCTGGTTGTGCATGGGGTCGTAGCCGCAGCTGCTGGCATCATAGCCGGAGCTCTCGTATGCCGAGCCCATCGAATAGCCCATTGAGTCTTGCGGTGGCGCCGGCGACATCATCGGCGTCGGTGTGCCACTGTATGGCGACGCACCTGCTGCCTTCTTGGCTGCATACAAGTTGGCCTCCTCCTGCGCCTTGCCGATGTTCTTCTTGTAACGAATGCGTTTGTTTCCGAACCAATTCGAGACCTGTGAGACGGTGATGCCACATTTGCGTGCCAGCTCCTCCTTTGCCTCTTCACTCGGATAGGGGTTTGAGAGGTGTGAGTAGAAGTACTCGTTGAGAATCTCCGATGCCTGTTTGCTGAAATTGCGACGTTTGCGGCGTGCGTCGAGGAATCTCGAGCGTAAGATCATCACCGCCTCGCATGTTGATTGCTTCAGCTGCATTTGAATAGAACTGAACTTCTTGTGAATGATCTGCACCATGCGCTCGATTTCCTTGGGGGTGATGGGACGAGTGCGTGATTGCTCGCGCAGCAAGTTCATCACGTGGGTGGTGAATTCGTTGCACGCCTGCTCGTATTTCTCCAGTTCTTGGTGATAGATTTGGCGAATCTGCGCCAGTTTGGCGCGATAGTCAGAGTGCTCGATGGCATTATCGGGCTGGCCCGCTTGTGCGGCCGCAGATCCAGATGCTGCTGCGCCAGCACCGCCACCTTTCTCCGGTCCAGCGACTCCCTCAGCGATGAGCATATTGTCCAGGCGCATCAGCTGCGGATCTGGGGGCTCCTCCTCCTGCGTGTTGCGTAGCGACAACACAGTCTTCTCCTTAATTTCACACAGCACTGAAAAGAGCGCTGGCTTCATGCGATGGCAGTTGAGCGTGTGTTTCCTCGCCTGCGCCTCGTCGAGACTCTGGTCGGTGATATTCATGATCTGTTGGAGGATCTCGCCGATGTCCTGCTTGCGCGGCTCGGAGTCGCCGCCGGCGGGCGCGTCACCCTGGCCCATGCCGTACGGTTGTGGCGGCATGAGGCCACCGGAATGCCCCATCATTCTGGCGGGGTCGTCCATAGCGCGCGAGCCGCCGCCGCGAACCAAAACTGAAGGAGGTGACAAACAAGTAAACAAAGCACGACGCGCACGGCACGGGTGGCGATATGGCTAAACGGAGCGGAGCGATGCCAACAGAGATTGCGCTTGCCCGAGCTCACAATGCACCGCGCATGCGCCACGTTTTATGGATCTGCCAAGGACGGCCGACGCGAGCGCAGCAGGCAGCAGAAAAGTTGCTGGCGAGCGCGATGAACTTGTTCATTACATTCCAGATTCCAGTCAGTGCACCTTCTTTGTTCAACACAACTATGACATCTGCTCGCTTCTTCTTGCACATTTTCAGGTGAGTCAAGTTTAATGTTATTGGCTTCGGTAGGCAACTACATATACACCAAACATACACGCGGAAAGTAAATTGAAAAAAGTAAATATTTCGATTTTGTATTTATTATGGCAAACAAAACCAAAATATAAACAAACATTACCTCTTCTTTTAATAATATTTAATTCTAAAAGGATTAACACATAGGTTAAGAGATGAAATAAGAAGCAAATCTACAATTCACATTTTTATTGCATTTAAAACATGAAGGAAAGAAATAAAATTTACGTAAAGCTTATTTTCTTCAATATAAATTACTCTCTGTCAGTCACTAACATAGTGATAATTAAAACTATAATTGAAATTCAATCATATCTAGAGATTCTTTAAATAAATAACGGTCAAATTTAAATCTCATTCCCCTCCTGGATGATTATTCTTCAGGTGTGAAGTCAAATTGCCTGATTGAGTAAAACTTTTGTCACAAAAATGACACTTGAACGGTTTTAAATCCAGGTGCAATCGAATATGATTTGACAAATTTCCCGATTGTGTAAAACTTCGCTCGCAATGCGGACATTTGAATGGTCGTTCGCCGGTGTGTATTCGTTTGTGATTAGTGAGATTGCAGGACTGAGTGAATGCCTTTGCACATACTTCACAAACATATGGCTTTGTGTTGGTGTGGGTTCTAAGATGGATCTGTAGGTTACCTAAGTTAGAGAACTGCTTGTAACAGAATTTGCATGTCAGTGCAGTTAACTCCATGTTCTGATCGGCATGCTTCTGTAGGTGGGTTTGTATCCTCCTGAAGTATCTCTTGCAAATGGGGCACTTCTCCAATGGATGAGATTTTCTCTTGCAGTGAGGATTCTCTGGGTCTATATTGGGTTTTGTGTCCATATTGGGGATGCCATTAAATGCACTAAATGGAAGCAGTGGCATGCTTGAGTAGAATGATGCCTTTATTTTATGAACATCTTCCTCAGATGGTTCTGGCTGTGGGATCAACATACATCAGTGAAAGCAATTGTTAGAGATTTTACTTGTTGGGGTTAACATGTAGCAGCAATCAATAACTGAAGCAAGATCCACAGAAATACTCACGTTTTCGAGTTTTATTGGCATCGGAAAGTTGGGATAACCCTTCTGCGAATCCATTCTTACATTTTTAATTAGAATGAGTACATTTTAAATATTTCGAGGTGATTGGGACGTTTCATTTGTTTTGATTTCCGATTACTGTTGTGTTTGGTGTGTCTTTAAGCAACACCCACATATACCCTCATATCAGAAATAAAAAAAAGGACACAGTATTGACCCTGCTACGGTTTGAAGAAAGACGTACAATACAATTAATAGTAGTAGGGATGGTAACTAGACAGTTCCGCCAACATTATATAATTGGCATTTGAAATTAAGTTTATTTCTGATGTCAAGTAAAATTTAAACTATAACTATTAGTATTTCTAGTTATACTCATAATATCTTAATATTTTATTTATATTTATTTAGTAGGTTTTATTTTTTACTTGTAAATTGTAGTTTTACGCCACATAGATGTCACTAGATTGTTTCCCCTACTACTTTGGTTTGTAACCGTTAGGGACATGCGGGGTTATAGAGTTGTCAGTACCAAACCTTCCTTTTCCGGTCCTGTTACTGAACCGTCAACATGGGTGAGTAAAGTGTTCGCTGAGAAGTCGTGTTTTGTCAACTTTACAATAATATTTTCTTCACACAAAGGTGTACGTATTTTGCACCAGTTGTTTATACATATTGTGTTCCACGGCTTGTGATAATAGCAGTGGAAATTGATTGAAAAAATTGGCTGTTTTAAACTTAACCTGTAAGTTACAGTCTGTCAACTGACCTGCGGATTTTACCAGGAGCTTACAAAATAAATCCAATCAATCCGATGTTGTAGAGTTGATAAAATATAGTGACAATAGTAAAACAAAATGTGCAATAACTTATTGTTGTGGTATTTGAGGATATTTTTAAGTAATAAGTGATCGATTCCAGGCAAACCCCGTGGTTTACGCACCGCTAGGAAGCACGTCAATCATCGCAGAGAACAGCGATGGGCCGACAACGACTACAAAAAAGCCCATTTGGGAACCCGCTGGAAGGCCAATCCATTTGGTGGAGCTTCCCACGCTAAAGGAATTGTTTTGGAAAAAGTGTGAGTTTATGGACGTGTATTTTATTTTGTCAACAATTGTGCATCTTTGGACCACCAAGTTATCTTAAATATATCTTAGGTGTTTTAATATAAAGGTGCTAAATTGAATGTGAGCTCTGAACCATTGGGTAGTCCTTTTGATGGATTATGCGCTCTGATATGTGCTGCACAATTTTCTAAAACTTTAAAGTTTTTGTTTTAATGTAGTAATGTAGACTTTCTTTAATTATAAATTTGTTTACAGTGGTGTTGAAGCCAAACAGCCCAACTCCGCTATTCGCAAGTGTGTGAGAGTGCAACTGATCAAGAACGGCAAAAAGATCACCGCGTTCGTACCTCGTGATGGTTGCTTGAACCACATCGAAGAAAACGACGAAGTCCTGGTGGCTGGTTTCGGTCGTAAGGGTCACGCCGTAGGTGATATTCCCGGCGTTCGTTTCAAGGTAAGCACATGTTATGAATATGCAGCTATTACTTCCCAATGATGACTTATAATTAGAGCCAATCCAATGAGAGACTTTGATTACTTTCTATTTAAGACTGATTAACTTTATTTACCTTATAAATCTTGATATTTTTACCTTCAGTATGACAAACGTTTGTTTTTTATTTGCAGGTGGTCAAAGTAGCCAATGTCTCCCTCTTAGCTTTGTACAAGGAAAAGAAGGAACGTCCGAGGTCGTAAGGGATTAAGTTTTGTAAGATTAAACAATAAAAATGAAAAATAAGTTTTGTATACTTGATTGTAAATGCAGAATTTAAACCAATAATTGTTTCTTTTTGATTCTTTACCCGAGTGTAGTTAAACCAGTAGTTTTGAACATATTTCTCTGCTACTTCCTCAGCGTAACGTAGGTCTTTACGTTGCTGGGGTGCAGCCCATTTCGAGTTTCTCCATGTCCCATTAAAGCTCATGAGACCCTATATGTCGCATGTCCTTTCAGGTCTTTGGGAAATATCCATTAAAAATACGTTTTTATCCGAAAACTAAGTCGAAACAATTATTACCAGTTCGTTTTCGTTGTAAGCAGGCGCATTTTATTGAAAAAATATATTTTCGGCTAAAAAACTATAATTTTACTAAAGACCGATCAAAATCTATGAAAACGCGGCGCCTCCACCAAGTTTAGGCCGCGACTATCTTGGAACCTAAGAGCAAGATGCAGAAAATGACATTAAATCCTTCTTACTTAAGGATTCTATACAAAATTTATGGTCTAACGACCAAATTTGAAAAAATTAAAGATTTCGTTGCGTAAAAGTCATTTTTTTTCAATTTTTTAGATTCATAATTAAAGGTTTGAATTTGAAATTTATGTTTGATTAGTCTAATAAAATTATTGATTTGTAATAATAAATGTTACTCTGATCATGCTTTGGTAGTTCGTAGATTACATCTAATTTTAAATTATTTCAACATTTATTGTTCTGTATGATTACAATTACACACGTAATAAAATAAATATACTATGTAATTGTGTCCTTTAATGAGCAGGCTTATTTTTGAATATGCTGAAAATTGCAACTAATTTAAATAAATATGGCGGAAGCGCCTGACATTTATTTAATGTTAGCATTATAAATGAAAAATGTTTTACCATAATGTTCCTAAGAAATCAATCTGATAACAAAATGATGAAGATCAAGTATTCCGAATCGTAATTTTAATATCTTAATTATTTCTTTAGTATGCACGTAAGGTGCACTATAATATTTTGACTATTTTTTCAATGCTAGGTAAGGTAGAATGATATCAAATTAATCTTAATGTTTTCAATTTTGTTTTACCTTTTTTGTTGTGTTTTTACCTCAAGGTAAAACCTGTGGAATGCGTCACTTGCCTTAGCGCTAGCATAATGCAAGAAAAAAGCACAATATTATTGAAGCACATTATAATTGAAGAATATCTCACTATAAAATGTGGTTAATCTACAAAAAATTATCTGATAACAAAATATATTCAAATTGACGTTTTTTTTTTGATGAATGAAAAGTTAAAGTTTTAATTTTTTACGTTTATTTAAGGAATTATTCAAACCGGTAAGTGGTATTCAGATTCGTCTTTAAAACAAATGAATTATGTAGCGCTTAAGAATTTTTAATTTACTTTACTTTCGTAATATATGAAAAACTAATTAATACACCAAAACAAAAATTGAAATAGTGATTTCAAAACCTTATTGATTGTTTTTTATTTTATTAAAACAGGAATAATATTAAGCCAGTATTAGTGAAGTGAATAATTTTTCATGATTTTTGGTCAGATTCAAGTCATGGCATGAACCAAAGGAAAAAAATTTCTATAACATTCAAACACAACAAAATCTATGTAATTTTAAATTTATTATCTAGCGTTTATTATTGAACATAAGTGACCTCGGTTTTTGTTTACCACGTTTACTTCCTGAGATGATTAATAATTGAATAATTGCTGTAGTACATGATGCACTTAAAAACATCCAGAGTAAGCAAACAGTCAACAGTTATTTGAATACGGCATTTAAAAGCCTCTCTGCGAAGACGTATAATTGGCTTTTAATAATTAATGCATTACTAATTAAAATATCGGGCGCCTCCACCAAATTTGTGTTAATTATTTGTACACTTTTAAGGATGCTGAAAAACGTAAATTTTTTGCTTATTATCAAATGATACAATTTAATTGTGTTATTAAATTAATACATTATTGTAAGTTGACTTAAAATTTACAAAATACCTGTCAATAACTTTCAGTTTGATTTCACTTTAATAGCAATATTTACAAATTATTAAGCTCAAACCAAAGCATGATAGAACTTTTTGTTTGAAATATTTATTCAAAATTCATAACTTTTAGAACCTGCAATTTTTAAATATTCAACATTTTTAAATTAGATGTATACACTACACTGATACGTTTTGACTTTTTATAACAAAACATTTCTCTTTATACAGATTTGCTCTTTTGGCCAAAAATGTGCTCTATATAATCCCTGTAATTTCTGGCAATTTGGCAATTTGGCAATTAAGGTGCGATAGTGGAGGCGCGACTTCTACAGGTGCCAAACAAAAATAATTTTACAAAAAGTTTGGCCTCTATGCACAGGAAGGCTCCAAGAGAGAATAATTTATAAAACTGAGATTGTACTGATTGACCACTCAGGCAAGACTCATCCAGACACATTAGTCGCTGCGGGCTGTTTTTTAAACCTGTAGTCTACCCGCCAAAAGTAATGGGAGAAGGTACGTCGATGTAATTATGTAGTTGATTGCGTCGGCATGAGGGGTGGCACTTTGAGTTGCCAGAGCAAATGTGATTGATAAATGTGTGTAAACCAAAGTGAATAGCTTTTTCATTTTGCTATTACCTAAATCTAGGAAGGACTAGGAAAGGAAAACATCAGATTATTCGAGGTTCAAAAATGTAAAACTGACTATGTTTTCAGTTAAATATGGTTTAAGACTTCAGATTCTGAAATCATTTCTTGTCACTTTCTTTTCGATAGTTTACAAATTCGTTTTTGTAAATTCTAATACTCCTTTCTTTGATAATTTTCCTTGCAGCTTAATTTTTCCTTTGGAGACATCAGAAACAATTGAAAATACAAAACTAAATTTTCTGTCTTCTCAAATGTGAGATACGTAGTATTTTGAGATGGCAGATTTCTTTATCCAAAAATTATAATAACATGATAAACAAATATTTTTAAAAGCCTCAATAGATGCACCAGAAGCCCATATAAAAGCTATAAAGCAAATGCAAGAGCTAAAATTAAATTTTTTCATTGCTTATTTATACAAGTAAATTTATTTTACAGCAAAATTTGCTATGTGAATATTATTCAGAATCCTGTTAATTTTCCCCGAACACTAACAAAATTTAATTTCCTATTTTTGTTCCATTCGGGAAAGTTTTGCGGGTTTACATGTTCCCATGAAAATTGTACCTCTCAAATTAAATTAACTTTTTGCTATCTGCTGGCTTTTTAAATATCTCGTTCAATTTAATAAAAATTCGACATCTATGAGGACGTTGGAGGCATGCGGAATTTTGGCGCAGCGTAAAACAGGTGCGGGCGGACGGACGTATCGACCGTCGCGCGGTGGAAGGGAGCGCGATTCCGCCGCCGGCATCAACGGCGGCAGCAGAAGCGGAATGCGCCAGTCTTCAGTCGGCGGTCGCGGGCGGCTGGCGGGATGCAGTTCGCACCGCACGCACCACTCAGCACATGGAGTTACCGCGCAACGCGTCGCAGGTCTCGCTGCTGGTGCCGGCGGCAGCTGGGTCGTCAAACGGCGTAGGACGCGTCAGCCAGCGTCTTCTTAGCGTACAGCCTCAGCCACCGCCGCCGAACGAACCCCAGTTTGTGCAGCTTCCGTCCTCCGCGAATTATCAGCCAAGCCGCAAACGTGAGGAAGCACGTGCGCTTCAAAATCTCCGCCGACGCGTCCAGCAATTACGCATTGTTGAAGCAAACGAAAGTCTAAATCGACGCTCGCCGCCTCCGCGTGATCAACAATCTCTCGACAATCGACCGAATCTTCTGCAAAAGGTAAATATTAATTAAATTTTCATTTAAATTACTTGTTTGTTTTTAATTTATCAAAATCACGCAATGCGGTAGTGGCACGCTGCCAAAATGGTCCGCTCTTTTACTACATCCATCTATATGATATATTTTTGTAGATAGATATCAATACATATAGTTTTATTACTCCTATTAATTGAAGTAATAAATTCTGAACAAATATAAATTATTAACTGCAAGGGTAGAAAAACAAATAGTTTTAATAAAATTTAATATAGTCATAACTTACAACCTGACATTTTGAAAGGTTCAAAGGTTGCTAGTGATGTGGGTATGAATTGTTCTAACTGCTCACAGTTCACCTTTTAACGTAGTTTCAGCAAGTTGCTAAAACGAATTGCGCGCAAAACTAAAAAGTAATTAATTTTCACAGCGGTAACAAAGAAAATATACTTTATAATGTGTATACATAAATATTGTTAATCGCGAAATGTTCATATATTTCTTTTAATTAACTGATTTTTAGATTAATTGTACCAAGCTCGTAATTCACGCAAACCACGTGCACTATACAAGTCGTGCGCATCTAATCAGGAATCTGCTAAAAGTGAATTACGAGCGTAATAGCGTGCAATTTAGTTAGCCGTCCATTGCGACTCAGAAACTGCCTGAAGGGTCAGCCGTAACGAAATAAAAGCTAACTAAATGTTAGCTACATAGTAAATTAAATCATTAATAGTGTTCTTGCACGATTGCAAGAACTACATGGAGAATTATAAAATTTTTAACAATCAATTATATGATACACTAGCTGTTGCCCGCGACTTCGTTCCGGCAGTGTTTAATAAAAATGTAATTCGTTTTTACTCTCTTGTTCTAGACATATTCGTAGTAAGAGTCAATTCTATCAATAAGATTAGCAATTTTTAATTTAAAGAAATTAATTTTATAAAGTTTTGTCAATAATGCACTTCAGTGCGCCATCTCGAATTCAACTATTTAACTATAACTATGATTGAATGTCAATGTCAAATTTTATTCTATAGAAAAGAGCTGTTTTGAGGATTTTCTCGGCAATTATTCGAATATTTCTCACCTTTTAAACCTTCCCTAGACCTCCACGAATAATTCAAGACCAAGATAAGATAAATCCGTTCAGCCGTTCTCGAGTTTTAGCGAGACTAACGAACAGCAATTCATTTATATATATATATATATAGATTGATTATTTAAACTAAATTTTTGATGAGTTTTGATGATATAATTGCAATTTGCATTCCCGGTAAATTGTTTTCCGTGCGTTAAGAGTTGGAAGCACACGTTTTGTCGATATTGCGTGCATGAATTTCCCTTCAATTTATTCCCCTAATGCGAAAAGCATTCGATTCTTTTCGCACCGCTAGCAATCATATATAACAACACGCATTTCATTCAACGTCTTGGTGAAATTTTCATCCGGAATGATTCCAGCTCGGGCTTCTCCAATGATTTATCACGCAAATGTTAATGCCCACGTCAGCAATTTTCTATTACCATTAAGAAACATAATCGACCAGTGTTGGGAATGTATTCTACATGTTTACGTTACCCAGCAAAACGGGGATAAATCAGGATGGTCGAGATGGAAGTGATTTTCAGGTCAAGTAGAAGCACACCTGATTGTTATCTTCCGGTTTCCTCGTTGTGTGTTGTTTTATTTCTGCTCGTTTACGTTTGATAGAGTGTTTTTCTTGTGGTTGAGTGGACGTGTGTTGCACGTGAAAATGTCAAGGACAATACGGTGGGAAGTACAACGCGGAAGAAAAGGAGGCGAAGGGTCGTCTGACCGGTTCGCAATCGTATATCTTCGTTGAGTGGAAGGTGACAGGTTATCTTGCCAATCTAAATCGACCATTTTCTTTCTACCTTGTTGGTTTAAATCCACCCACAACGCAAAAACTTACATTACCAGAATAACATTGTGCTGTCGAAATGGATTTTTATTATAAAACTTTGAAAAGAAATGCTGTACGCTATAGAAATATAGGAATAACTTTAGGAATATCATTTTCTTTGTTGAATGAGATCAAGGACTTGGCACATTAAGAATTCCGTGCGCGATTTCACAGTATTCTTAGATGTGTGGGTGGAGAAAGAAAAAAAGACACGAACGAGATATGATTTTCAGTCTAGACAAGGTTCATTTGCACTGTTTTCATCTAAAAACTCGTAAAAGTTTTGTAAAAATAATAAAAATACTTTTGGATGTCGCAAATATTTCCTTGACTTTCTTTTATTTTATTTGTGAATTCAGAATTTTATTGCAGAAATTGCACAAATTGCAGAACAATAAATGTTGCAATTACTTTTTATTAGAACAGGAAATATTTCATTGCAGATACTCTCGAATCGTCCTGTAAGCATGGTGCTCGATTTATCCGAATGCCGCACCGCTTGGCAAGACAGCGACTTCATCACTGACAGCCTCTGCTGGCACAATGTCTACCGCCAACGACACACGTCGCCACCCCTCACCATGTCGCCGGAGGTACACACATTTATTTTATATTCATTTATCTTCTAAATGTGCCGTTTTGAACAAATGCAAGTACTTGCGTGTTAGTTTGAGTGGCGATAATATACACCCTATCAAATTGTGATTAAATTAGAGGCGGTCATTAGACCTCGCGTGTTAATTAAAATCGAATTTGCAGCTGTGTCATTTGGCGCAAACGTGGGCGAATCATTTGGCGCACACGAACCGATTCTACTACAGGAACGACAAAGATATCGGGCAGAATCTTTTCTGCCGCCCGGACAGCGGTCTCCAGAGCGATTTGACCGGTACGTGCGTCATACAACTTTGTGAAATAAAACCAAAACACGAAACGGATATTTATTTTAGAGAAATGTATGTCAATAAAATAAGATTTAATTGTTTTATAAATGACTTAGAATTTTTATCTTTTTATGTTGTTGTATTCCTGAAAAAAGTAATTTTTTTTCTTTATAGGGCAAGAAGTTACGATTTATTGGTATAGCGCTGTTAAGCAATACGATTACGGAAAGGAACCAGATGTTCTACATGCAAATGTGAATGCAGGTAAGCATATGAAACTTTTTGTGCAAATTTAAACAGGAATTGAATGTTTTTTCTCTTCTTTTGGTTTAGGACATTTTACACAATTAATCTGGGCCAGTTCGAGGCATTTCGGTATTGGTAGGGCGCGTTCTCGTTCCGGAAAGATTGTCGTTGTGGCACATTATGCGCCCATCGGGAATATCTCTGGTCTTTTCGAAAATAACGTTCTACCACCGGTACTAGAATTGGAGGCGGCGCAACAACTGCAGCAGCTACAGAATCAGCGTTTCCTCGCTGACGGCACTGACTCTGAGACTAACAGCAGTACCAATCAGAGTCAAAGCACTTGATAATCACACGTTAATATCGTCCAGAACATCCTCAACGAAATCATACAACAGGTAAACGAATGAATCAAAACCGGATTCAGAGTCACGGTCACCACATTTTCTTCTTCAGCTGAAAATCAATATAACACCGAATTGGAGCCGAGTTATTTTTAGATGATTAAACAGAATTATTCGGGAGGAATAGACGTAAGATGGAATTTAATTAAGTTAAACGCGAGTTATTTTAAGGTTTCCTGACTGTGATTCTGAATTTTGGTAAAAGTAAAGTTTATTAGTACAGAATACACGGTATTGTCAGTATAATTGCATTAGATACAGTGAATTGTACTGAAAGCAGATGTTGGAAGGTGGCAGGCATCGTGAACTGACGCAATTATCGGGTTAATTGCAAATGAGAGCAAGATGCCGAACTAATTGTGTCGGTTAACAAAGTTCGCAAACACCAACGAAACGTCTGGCGAGTTTTCCCGCAAAACTCTTCAGATTCCTGTGCAAAGGTGTATGATTGCGATGTGGGATGTTCTGTAGGACGATATTAGCGTAAAACCGAAACAATCAACAATCGAACGAATAACGAGACAACAATCCACAACATTGACGACTACTATAAAACAACACATCTTAAACAAACAACGATTAAAAAATCACGAATAAAGACAGATACAATTAATTTTATATGAAAGCTTAGAAGCATAATTAGAAACATGCTATCATAATCTCATGTCGTGAATTTGAAAAAGTTTAAATCCAGTATTAACCAAAGGTTTATATTTTGACAAAATTGTCGAAAATTACAAAGTATTTGGAAATTTTTAATCAATTTGCCAAACTGAAACAGAGTATGCAGCCAAATTGACATCAATCATAAAATCATTAAAATTCACGGCTACTCGTAACTAAAGCGACGCTTATAAATTAAAGCAACTAATGCAATCATAAATATAATAAACATTAATGCGCAGAATCAATCTGCTTTGGCACTGAATGAAAAACTATACGAAATACATGAGTGTCTCGGAACAACTCGTAATAATTTATGTTAAACTTTTAAAATGTTTGCGAAATACTTATTTAACACCTACTAATACCTAACAATCACGCAAACACGTAAACAAACATATACGTCCATTTTAGGCTATAATAATTAAATTAATAATTTTAGTAATTTAATAGGCTTATCAAGCTCACCAACGAATTACCTATATGATTAAAGTATGCGTCATACAAAGTTTGGTATTTGTACGCTAACAAAGAATCGCGTGCCGTTTGGCACGAAAATGTTGCAAAATGAGCTACAACATGGCAATAAATGGCGTTTATCGAGATTGTGATCAGCGAAGCGTGCGTATGACGTCTGTGGCTTCGTCATAATCCAAACGAAATTAAACACGTCATGGAAAGTTTGTCAGAAATGCAAATACGACGAAATCAAGTATTAATCAATATAAAATAAAAGTTAGCATATTAAACTTGAATTAAAATCATCCAGGTATGCAATCATAAGCTTACAACGTTGTTTAAACAATTAGCACATGTTACACGCACGCAAAAACAATGTAATTATAAACAACGTGCCTTTTTGTTGTGTGATTTTAAGACAGTTTTTAAACAAAGAAATGACATGCTTCCGTTAGTTATATATCGATGAGCTTACGATGGTATCGGAAAATGGAATATAAATCGAAATCATATCATTATACTGCGTTATATACATTTTATAGTGATGAAAGTGGTTAAAATTGGTTATAAATCAATGTAGGCAATCAACAGTATAGCGAAATGTAATGTAATTGCAATCAATGTTGCTCATAACATTTCGTTTTATTATACTCTCACGTAACGTGCCTAATTAATTGTTGTTAATCATGCTTGGCTGATTGTTGTTGAATTTTGACAGTTAAAGAGTATTTTTAACAGTGGAAACACAAGAAACACACAAATTTTGTATTTTTAACGATCATATATAGCAATATGCTTGTTGAACCCGCCAATGTTAAACACCAATTGATATTTTTACAGCTTCCATTGTTTACTTATTGTTAGTTAACTAGTATATACGTAGATTAAGCTAGTTGTACGGCTGTGACAAATCCATGTTAACGTTAGAGTAATATTTTTAACTTTCCTACTATGTATTCCAGAATTTCTCTAATCAATGTGTATGTAAATGGTTCAATCATAAATTGAGCTCTAACTAAATATCTTTACATATAACTTTTTAACTTCAGCTATAATGTAATCTTAATTTAGTTGTATTCATCTTATATATGTACTTCATTTTAGATTTGTAAATATAATCATTATGTTAAACATTAACAAGTGTCACTATATGCAACCAAATGTTAATTTTCTTCCATATAAGTTAATGCAATATAAAAAAACGTTGAATATTATTTTATTGTGCTGGATATAAATTGAAATTCACAACCTGCGCGTTATTGTAACGATCGTTGTACACGTTAACCACTGTTGTGTTTGTTGCATAACCAGCTTTACCAACAACAATTTCATATGTTCCATCCGTTAAGAGACGATAATAGTCACCGTGCTTATCTAGAATAAAATTTATGAACCCAAAATGATTTACAAAAATAATTTCATTGATAACTTACTTGTAGTAATATCATGCCAAATATCGTTATATCTGTTGTTGATCAATTTTCTCACATGAATAATAGCATCTTTGATTGGTTTATTTGTCCTTATGTCCATAACCAAGCCTTTAATCCCGATGTGCACCTTGTAGGTCATAAAAAGTCATAAAGTTAATCAAAAATAACAAATACCTAATCTCACCATCCACATAAAGTTGAAAAGAGAGTGTTTATGGTCTTTCCACAATTCATCAAGTTCATTCGCATTGGGATACTTCGTACATCCTACTTCAAATGTGATCTCGAAACAATTCGTCGCTAGATAGTTGTAGTCCTGCATGCCGCCAACAAGAGAATACCATTCGGCGCCATTTGTGATACCATTTGGAAACAGAGTATCGCGCTTGTGGCATTGGGAGTTGGTCATTTTGAGATTAGCATTCGCATAGACCAATGATACAAGTCTATCTAATTCAAGTTTTAATTATAAATGTGTGTTTATCAAACCTTCATATGAACTAAGTAAGTAATAAAGCATACCGGAAAACATCGTCGTCTGGCGACTCGGTGTATTCAAATCTATTTTACCACTGCGAGACGAATCATAAGGGTAATTGGCAACTAATGCGCCACCGTGCAAAGAACCCGAAAGCACAAATGGAATACTACTTATCCACTTCATTATGGCCTTTGTTTCTGGTTGTATCTATAATCAAAGAAGTACTAAATTAAATTGTGTCGCTATTGTTACAACTACGTCTGCGACACGGTTAAACAATACTTTACTTTGTCGCTCATGGTACCAAAGTGTGCCAAATGATTATTGGTCCAATTGTCAGTTTTTTCAAACTGAAACATCGCATTATTCATATTGGGAAAATTACGATTCAAGTCGATACCGTGAAAGTTAGTTCTTCCGGTAATTATATTCCTATCACGATACTAAAACACAAGTAACGAATGTTTTTGATATTTTTGATGTTTGTTAATATATGTCCAAATATTACATTAGAGGCAGTAGCTTTATCCCAACCATCGGGATTGAGAATTGGCACAAGGTGAATTCTAGTTGTTTCCAAAAGATTGTTCACAAATTCATTGCCCTGTAGTGACTCTTGGCACATGGTTTCAGCCAGTTGCAAAAGTAGTTCCTTGCCGACAACTTCGTTACCGTGAATGGTGCTGACATACTTAAATTCCGGTATCACTAAAACAGTCATCTGTAATTATAATGTAATATTGGTTTTAAGTTAAAGTTACATGGAACATGTTTATTCGGCGTATTGCCCATAATAATGCCCCACATGGTTTGACCCATCACAGATTTGCCCGGCAATTTAAATAGTTTTGTAATGCGAGGGCATTTACGATGGATTCCTTGTAATATCAGCAAAACTTCTCTATTGTTGTGGTGTTTCAGACCATGGACGTTTAAGCTACATACAACCAGCACACACATTAAATTTATCCACGCAATACCAAATCTGGCCCACTTCATTTTTTCTGTTTGTAGTTCAATTGTTCACCTGCCAATGAGCATTAACACACAGACGCCAATGCTTTTAACTTTTTCAATGGCACGTACCAATAAATCAAGTAATCGCTCAATCGATGTATAAAAGCCAATCATTGTTACAATTTGTAAGACGATAAAAATAAAATAAACTGTAATAATGTATTGTTGTTTTAAAAAATGATTAGTTTTGTGGATTGCATATTTGTTGAAGCACTTAATTGTAACATTATCGGAATTATGAACGGTTGTTGCAACTTTAAATTATTGGTATATTAATCAAGCCTACACTGAGGTACATTGTATTTTTACTACATATCTGTAATTGTATTTTATTGCTTCACTTTTGAATCAAAAATTTGGTTAAAAACGCTATTTTGGGAGAAAATATTTACAAAAACTACTCCCGCTACTCTAGTAATGGTAAAAAAGTTTACTAAAATACTCAGAAAAAATGATTTCTAATACAACCTTTTAAAGTCATAGAAGGAAAACGCTATGTACCTTGTGAATTCTAAATCATCAATCTTAAATGTCTTGCCATTATATAATAATTTCAGAGTTCAACTTTGAAAACTTTCTACAAGTGCCTAAAATTGCTAGCAACAATGGTTACAAAAAAAAAACAATTTTTAAAAATTATATTACTTTTGATCAAAGGATCTGGCGGAACTTGTAAACTTATTTTTGAGCACGACCCATTGCAATCCGTTGAAAGGCATGGTTGAATATTATCAAATTCAAATATTTCGAAAATTAAAATAGATTGGCAAAGATGCAGTCAAAAATAAGAAATAAAATGTCACACAAAAGAAATTTTGATTTTTTAAAATAGCCTTATAGAGAATTCTTCCAGGATTAAAAATTCGAAGTCTGGTTTGTCCACGTGCTTCCAGTTTAGGAGTAATTTGCTTCGAAAGTTTTCAACTGCAGTTCGAAAACTACAAACGAAAAGCAGAAGAAAAAATTTAAATCCTTATTTCTTTAAGAATTCTCTTAGCCGCATTTTTTATCCAACTGCTAAATTTGAATAATAAAGAAAAGGTTTGATTGAAAAAGTGAATTCTTTTTACGATTTTTAATTCGTCTATATGCTTAAATTTCTGTTTGCGGATCCTTAAAGTGTTTGGTGTATTGAACAACGCTTAGCAACTGTAAGAAAACATTAATAATATTTTATTTACAAAACTATATATATTACAATAAATGCTTTAACGTAATGATATCTTTGATAATTTGTGGTACTTTAAGACGTTGGACTTTGTTATAATATGAAAATATATATTGAGAAGTATTTTCTGGCCGAGCGTAACCTATACATTTCCTAATAGCATTCCGACTATAATATTTCAAGCTCTGAACTGTAGATTCACGTTTCCTCCATACACCAGAAGGATAACAAATCTCCATAATTAAGCGTTCATCTTCACTCATAGCATTCTTGTCAGTTGGTATCAGATTATGGCAACAAGTACTTGAGACCAAAGGATCAAGTTTCAGTATTATTTCAAAATAATTACTAAATTGTCCATGAGAAAATGTTTTCAAAATGGCGGCCAAACAAAACTCCTCTATATATAGGAACATGTGACATAAAATATTTGCCATATCATCAAAGTGAAGATCTAGATTGGTTCTGTTGATTTCAAACAAACACGACACACTGTCAAAAATACTGTGTGGTGACCATAATCCACCAAACTCTTCATTGAAAAGCATGTCAACTGCTGTAATAAAGTCGTTTTTTGACAAACTGTTATTCGTAAAGAAATTTACAACAGACTTCTCATATCCAATTTTATGAACGCTTTGTAATCGTTTATATATGTAATGAAACAAAACTAGATCTTGATATAGTGTTGTTGAATAATCTATTAGAATATCAAGCATTGTAGGAACATCCACTTTTAATTTTGATAAGATTGTCAAAGTTGTGTCCATATCCATTTTCCAAAACACACAACAGATAGCACAGTTATTATTAATACCTTCATCATCATCACCAGTGAAAAAAGACTCTGTACAATAGTTTATAAGTGAATACACACCAACATCATATCCTTTCATTAAACTCAAGAGTAATGGATGGCCTTTAAATGGATAGTTGACATCAATATTATAATAAAGCAACATTTCAAGCATTTCTTTGCACTCATCGCCTGAATTCATGTGTAAATCAGACAATAGTTGTAAGAGTAGTGTAAAATTAGAAAAGTTGGTTTGGTCAATGTCAGCACCCTGCTCCAAGAGATATGATGCTAGTCTTGTATTTGTGTTTTTCACACAGAGGAAAAGGGCAGTAGGGTATTCAATATCATTGGATTCTGCATCTATATCAAGTCCTGCTTGTAGTAATAACTGACAACATTCTTTAGCTTTCTCAAAATGATTACAACTTGCTGCATAATGTAATGGAGTTCGTTGCATATGATCTTTTAGGTCTATTCGTGTGATGTCATGTTGAAGAAAAATTTTTAATGCTTTAGTGCTGCAATATGAAATGCTACTTAAATATAATTTTAAAAAAATTCCTGTGCTGTGTTACCATCCAGCTTTAGCAACTCGATGCAATGTGGTAGCTCCATCGTTGTCGTAATAATTAGGATCAAAACCCCTATCAAGTGCTGCCTTTACTCTGGTTGGGTCATCATCAATCCATACTATATTGGTAGATACACAAATACAGTTTCGCAATTACGGCAGCATCAGATTAGCATGTTCGGAAGTTTATAATTACCTGCCTTGCCCATTGATTGACAAAATTCTTCTTCTGTATCCATTTTAATTATTTAAAAATATTGAAATAATTTCACAATTAACGGCAAAATGAAAGAGGTTAAAAACGCTACAATGTTGGGTCTTCGTTTAAATCCTCGGCCGTACTCGGATGTAACGTACTCTACGAAGTTTTTTGTTGTTCCGTGAACGGTTCTTGCAAGTCGTTATGTTTGTTACCATAATGGTTTCGAAAATCATATTATACTAGTTAACCGGGCAAACGTTGTTTTGCCATATAAGTTATTTCAAGTTTCTAGATAAATTTTAGTGTAGACAAAAAGTAACTTACTTATTATAAAAAATAGGGGTTGGTGATAAGAAACCAAAAATTTAGGGTTGTATGTATATTTTAATGCCACATTAAAAAAATAAAAACAAAAAATTTCGACCAAAATTAAAAAAAAATTAAGGGTGAACAACCCTTATCACTTAAAGATATGAAGTTACCGATTCTCAGACCTACTGAATACGCATATAAAAATTTTCTTTGAGCGGGATGAAAAATGATTAAATTACTAAAATGGCTATAAAGAAATATAGTACAGGATCCGGGGCCTATTTTGTCACTTGATTACTATCAAGCTAATTTTCCGTGAGTAGCTTCATTTTGATAAGACGCCCAACAATTTCCTGTGCGAAAATTTTTGATTGTGGTAGTTAACAGAGGTAGAAATGATAAAATATGTCGATTTGATGATTCTCAAATATTAATTACTAACTGGATTGTTTTTTATTAAATCTTAAGATAATTATCTAAATTATTTGAAAAAATATTTGTCCTACAAAATCTATGGTTTCATCAAAGAGTCCTCCCCCTCCAACATGTATTGATAACGAGATCACCAAAAAATATTACTAACCAGCTGATTTTTTTTTTATTACTTAGTTAATATATATATAATGTCACGGTCATATTGTCCTACAAATTCCGTGGTATGTTATCCCGGTCCTACGGTCAAAAGTAGTAGTACAGATCATTGATGTAAAAATAATTACTATCAAGCTGAATCTTCGTGAATAGCATCGTTTTGATGAGACGCCCAACAATTTCCTGTGCGAAAATTCTCGATATTGGTAGCTAACAGAGGTAGCAATAATAAAATATGTCGATTTGATGATTCTCAAATATTAATTACTAACTGGATTGTTTTTTATTAAATCTTAAGATAATTATCTAAATTATTTGAAAAAATATTTGTCCTACAAAATCTATGGTTTCATCAAAGAGTCCTCCCCCTCCAACATGTATTGATAACGAGATCACCAAAAATTATTACTAACCAGCTGATTTTTTTTTTATTACTTAGTTAATATATATATATATATGTCACGGTCATATTGTCCTACAAATTCCGTGGTACGTTGTCCCGGTCCTACGGTCGAAAGTAGTAGTACAGATTATAAAAGTAAAAATAGCGTGGTACGCTATTGCGGTGCTCCAATTGAATATAGGTATATTGGAAAGTCATGAAATTAAAAATCAATTTATTTCTCAAGCGTGAGAAAAAAAAATCTTGACTTTTCGGTAGATTTCACTTAACAATAAGTTAAAAAATTACTGAACGCCAACTGAAATTAAACAAAACAATAACAAAGAAAACTTTGTGCCGCTTGGGTTTCTGTATTTTTCTACAACAGCTGATTCACGCCGTTACGCGTGCGCAGAGCATTTTTACTCCGTCGTAGTAGGTATCTCACGTTTGTTTGAAAACAAATGAAGATGACAGCGATGTTAGTAGCGAAGATTATGATTCATCGGATGAATATGATGAAGATTAATTTTTGTTATCTATAAATACACCAATACACCAATTTTTGTACCTCATTTTTCAAAAAAATAAACTTATTTAAATTTTAAAAAAGATTTTCTCACTGTATCTTATGTTAGAAATCGGAAAACGAAAAAATGACAATTTTTGTCGGACTAGTGATACATACCTGTTTTTTTGTAGGACATTGTTTTATTTGGGCACTGAACACACTAACCTATTATGTAATATTTTTGTCCTACAGTTAGTAATGAGAAAAATGGTCTTATGGTATTAACAATTTCTGAGCGTAGGACCGGGATAACATACCACGGAATTTGTAGGACAATATGACCGTGACATTATATATATATTAACTAAGTAATAAAAAAAAAATCAGCTGGTTAGTAATAATTTTTGGTGATCTCGTTATCAATACATGTTGGAGGGGGAGGACTCTTTGATGAAACCATAGATTTTGTAGGACAAATATTTTTTCAAATAATTTAGATAATTATCTTAAGATTTAATAAAAAACAATCCAGTTAGTAATTAATATTTGAGAATCATCAAATCGACATATTTTATCATTGCTACCTCTGTTAACTACCACAATCAAAAATTTTCGCACAGGAAATTGTTGGGCGTCTTATCAAAATGAAGCTACTCACGGAAAATTAGCTTGATAGTAATCAAGTGACAAAATAGGCCCCGGATCCTGTACTAATAGGGGTTGGTGATAAAAAAACTAAATATTTAGGGTTGTATGTATTTTTTAATTCCACATTATAAAAAAAATAAAAACAAAAGAATTTGTCCAAAAATTTAAAAAAAAAGTTAATGGTGAACAACCCTTATCACTTAGGGGTATGAAAAATAGATGTTAGCCGATTCTCAGACCTACTGAATACGCATATAAAATTTGGTAAAAATCGGTAAAGCCGTTTCGGAGGAGTATGGAAACAAACACTGTGACACGCAAATTTTATATATATAGATTAACTGGTTGATAAACTTCCAAATTGATAGTGTAAATTTAGATTTGCATTTTTCAAGTTGGATGAAGCCTGCAGGCAGCTGTCCGCCCTTCCTACGGTTCAGCCTCGGTTTTTCTTCAGCCCCAGTTCTATTTAGCGAAATGCTAACGATTTATTTTTTGAGTAGAAACGAAATTGGATGGTGTTTCTGTGTTTTCGTACTTTATGAATCGTAGAACAAAGGTACATACTCCTTTACATTAAGTAAAAATGTACATGTGTTTAACTTTTTTAGTTTTACGGGAACAATCGTGTTTCTTATTATATAAAAAATTTATTTACATGTGTGGCGTATCATTATCGCACACATAATGTTATTTAATCAGTACACTCGCATCACAGCCATTACATATTGAAATAATAAATTGAATTTCTGATCTTTAACACAACACATTAACTGCAATACGAGCACATGAAGTGAACGAATTCACTTCAGTCAGTATCAATGGACTCCTCTGTTTCCACCAGGGTGCTGTCCTCGGAGTCTTCGCTGACTTCGGGACTCTCGCCCCTATCCTGCATAACTGTAAATCTGCGAACATAGTTTAAATGTTTTGTTAATCTATCGTGTTCAACGCTTGCATATTATAAACAATACTTTGTTAATACGTCTTGTAGTTTTGTGCGACCCAATTTCTTATTTGCTCGCAACTTTTGATCCAACTCGGAGTCTTCTTTTGCTGGATCTTTGAGATCTGTGAGATATAAGCTGTGTATGGATTCCAGATCCTTCTGCCGTCTTTTTTTTAGAAGTTTGGCTAATTCTTTAAAGCAAATCTCTACTGCAAACATTATAAACAAAATTACAAAATATCCGTAATCATTTGCATAAAATCAACTCACTTTCAGCTTTCAGTTCAGCTTCACGAATTGTTATATTCTTCTTCTTGACACATTTCCTTAAGCACTTATTAACATCGTAAAATGTTGGAAAGGAATGATCCTCGCGATTTCGATACTTTTTAGTCAGAGCTAAATTGAATTCGTTATACTTTGAGCGTGTGAAGTCCAAACGATTAAAGTAAGCCATACCCGCGTGCGGACTATGTTTTTCCAGTTTAGCGATGGCAAATAGAATCTCCGCGGCTTTTTCATTATATCTTTGATATCTTATATAAGAAGAATTATCCTCTGCCTCAAAGTCAACTTCCTCGTTTCCTAATTCCGCAATCACTCCTTTGACTTTCTCTAATTTTTCGTACAAACTGTCCAACATTAAGGTACGCTTTACATCATTTTTGTCATTAGTATTTACTACATTTGTTGCTGGATTTGCATTATCTACTAATAACTTGTACAATTTAACGAAAAGATCTGCAGATTTGTTTGGTGTTTTGCTAATTTCTTGATGTAAGCATTCCAGTTCTTTCAGAAACTCTTCTGATTTAAGATAATCTGAAGCATTACCTGCTGATTTTTCAATAGTTCTAACTTTCCTGTGCACTTGTTGCTTGGACATCTTTGTTTGGCAAAAGTTCCTTTTACATAATTTTATAAATTCTTTCAATTTTGGTGGTAATTTTAATCCTAATGAATTTTCTCCTGCAACCTTGGTTTCAGATTCTGCTGATTCTGTTGTAGATTCTGGAACAACACTTGGTATGTCTTGGTCACTGTCTGTTACACAAACTGGTTGAGAACACTCTGTTACATCATGCACTGAATTCACAGATGTTTTATTATCACTGGTACTAATAATAAGCTTCTCTTGGTTTTTGTCCTGTTCACACACTTCTGAAGACATGACTGGCAGAGTATATCCATTTAATTCTGTGATGATTTCTCTTTCAGATTGTGCAATAGCTTCTTCAATCATATTTGAATTGGTTTTCTTGATTTCAACTGCTTGTGGAGTTTGTGGATCTATCACTAAACTGTTGGAAGTGGGAAGTTTCTCTGATTCAAATGTAGTCCCAGAACCAACATTTTCTTCAGTTTTGATTTCTTTTGTTGCTTGCATATCAGCACCATGCTGCTCATCATCTACGGAAAGATCAATGTGATCTAGTAGAGATAATCTTGGTTTCTGGAAAGTATCCACATTAGATGACAACATAAGGATATTTATTTTTTTCTGAGTAGCTAAACAAAAAGTTTTAGTTTAAAAAATGTTAGAAATTACTTTACCTTTGCACGTTGGTAGTCCGAATTTTCACCCTCGCTCCCTGATGATAAAGCTATTATATCGGCGTCCATCGAATGTACTTTATGTGTGTACCTACTTGTAATGATATTTGAATCAAACACTTCTGTTGAGCTAACCTAACAAAACTAGAACCTCGCATTCACTGACACCATCAAACAATTGCACCATAAACTGCATTTACACAAACAGACCACTATTTAACAATATAAGAGCATTCTAGTGCCATCTAAATGAAAAATATATAACTATTATGACTTAAATCTATAAATTTGCAAGAAAAATTATATTATATATTTATTTCAATAAAAATACATAGGTAAATAAATCGTATATAGATTGATAGCTAACAAATACTTTAAATTTAAACAATTTTAGTATATGTTCTATTGTGCTGCTCTCACATAATCGCAAAACGAACTAAATTCACCTTCGGTTGTTCAGCAGTACAGCAAGAGCGGACGGCGCAATGACAAACCGTTCGCATTTCAAACGTAAAACTAGTATTGCTCGTGTACTAGAACTGGTGGCTGGAATTGGTTGAAACACTAGTTCACCTTGTGATACCTATTTAACGGGTCTAACTAAAGCCTCTATTGAATTTAATAGCGTCCACAACGTCGAAAAGCACGGCCGAAATATGTCGAACGCAGGAAAGAAGCTCCTGCAATATGTTGCTAGTAAAGATTTCCGTACCTACTTAATGAGGTAAGTGTTACACTGTCTACTCTTGTGTAACCACCTGTTACATCTAAGGTTTAATTTGTAGCACACACTTTTGGGGTCCAGTGGCTAATTGGGGTATACCAATTGCTGCCCTTGCAGACATAAAAAAGGATCCAAAGTTTATTAGTGGCAACATGACTGTTGGTAATTGGACATTAATATTTACACTAATAATGGATGAATAACACTAATATTTAATGTTCTAGCCCTCTGCTTATATTCAGCAATATTCATGAGGTTTGCCTGGAAGGTTCAACCACGAAATATGCTTCTTTTTGCCTGCCATGTCACCAACGAAACAACACAGTTGATTCAGCTTGGTAGATATGTCAATTACAATCTTAGAAACAAGGAGGAAAAGGTTGCTCTCACATAACACAAGTTAAATATTCCAAAATAGCATGAAAAAGTTTTAAAAAGACTTATCTAAATAATGTTCATTGTTTGCACAGTTATTGTGTGCATGTTGTAGATCTGAGCAAATAGGGCTTTATATATAAAATGAATATGTGATTAGCTGATTAACATATCACGTTATTATGCTGAATTATGTTAACTTCAAGGTTAGTTAGTTTATAACATTTGGTGCAATCTCACATGGAAAGCTATTCCAACCTGTTTTATCACATTTGTTTCATGTGCTGATAAAAAAAAGAAATTTGATAACAGTCACAATCTGTTACATCACGCGCACGTCTCAAAGACTTACGCAAAGACATTTTTGAAAAATATTTTGATAAGGATTATTTGGGGGCCAAAATTATATTACATTCTATAAAATGTAAATAAGAATCTTATACGTTGATAAATATATTCATTTATTGTTGTTAATTTGTGTGCGTGAATTATTTTGTCAGTAAAAAGCGCACATTGAACTTTACTGCAAACGAGATGTGTTGTGATATTATACGCATCAGAGATCAAGTTCAAAGCGTCGTCAACGCCAACTAGCTTCTATTGCTATTGCTATTTTTATTATATTCTACCGTGTTTATCTGTCCGCGTGCTCGTTGAAGGTTTCTTTTCGATTTAACTTTCAACGGAAACGCATTGTTGATTTTTACAAAAAAGAACATAGAAAGATGAATTTATCAATTAAAAGAATTGTTAATCAGTTGAATAAGAAAGAAACTAAGGAATATATTACCAGGTAATTGATATACTCACAACGTTGTTTGTATGATGAAGTAAAAAACACGTTGTAGCACGCACTTTTGGGGACCGCTCTTTAATTGGACCATTCCTATCGCTGCTCTGGCGGATACACAAAAGGATCCGAAATTTATCAGTGGCAATATGACCTTTGGTAAGTTTACTGACTCCTTAAATATAATATAACTATAGAATAAGCATCCGTAAATCTTTTTTTTTACACTTACAAAAATATAACTTTTACATCCTACCAAAGGACTGAAGTGTCATACTAATTTAAACAAGTTTTATTACTTTCATTAATAAAGTAAAGTGATCCAGTAAAAATCACGTAGAAATTTAATAAATAAATATTTTAAAACTAATTTAAACAAGTATTGAATATCAGCTTTTTCCTGCTCGTGCCTTATTGATACCATTAAATAACGTTTTAGTTGGTTCTATTCAAGTCCAAAATATTTTTCCTGTGTTGGAACATAACGTAATTCTGTTTAAATTTTAGCATTGTGTGTATATTCTGGCATCTTCATGCGTTTCGCTGTGAAAGTGTCACCCAGAAATAACTTATTGCTGGCGTGTCATATGGCGAATTTTTCAGCGCAACTCATTCAACTTGGTCGATACATCAAGCACAATCATCTACAAAAAAATGTTACCCCACAACTCGCGTAAATAAAACACTTTTGTCTCAAAAAAGTTTCTTGCTTTTGTTTTGCAGTGGCCATTTTGATTGATTCAATTTGATAATCAAAATAATTAAATGTTTGTTGCACTAGCAACTTTGCAAGCAACATCTAGTGTGATGTGCACTCGCGCGATTGTTTTGTCAGCGAAAACAAAAAAAATTCAAGCGTCAAATTCGCTTACATTGTTTCGCAGCGGTGTTGTGAAAGCAACGAAAATTCCAAAAGTGTAATTCTGATTTCGAACATCCTCTATTTCGAGATATGGTCGTTTACTGTAAGTACCATTATTTTCTTTAACAATCTCGCAAAAAACACTCACATCGCATAAGGTAAAATTTGATTTAATGTCAAAATACAAAAAGTACATAATAGTATGTTTAAAATTGCTTAAATTTTACAAATAAAAACAACTTGGACGGAGATATATAAATGTAACATGGTCGCTTTAACAGTTTCAACCGCAATTCACCGCTAAAAACAGCTTGATCGTTGTGAGATTCTAGTCGAATGCGTTAGAATGAATAGAAAATCTAAATTGCACACGATTTGCTCCGAGTTTCCATCGATTATACATGCTAATAATATAAAAATAATGCTATATTAACGTACATGCTGTGCGTTTCATTATTGCTAATCTTCGATTGAGTACAATTAAGAATATCTTCTCCAAAAATGGTGAAAGACATCAAAATCGTTATGTACATTACATCGTTTCAGGCACTCTGTTTTATACAACATAAAAAAAACTCCTGGACGGATTACGTGAAATTTGTATATGCATAAAAGAACAATACTCTGCCGAATGATTTGTATGTGCATTAAAATATTATGTTAATTAGCTCTACGGTATCCTAAAAACAAGGCAATCAACATCGTGATCATCGTCAAGGCACTCAATTCTATACTCGATGCGCCGGCAATACGGCATTTGAACATGTTGAATCTGGTGACGTTATTGTCCACCAAATTACTAAATTCAGCTTCGACTAGCTGTCCATCATAATAAGTGATTAAATCTTCGAAAGGATATTCGTATCCTTGTTTACATTCGCATTTGTAACCGCCTGTTTCAAATCCACGGCCTAGGATAGGCACACACTGCAAAAATTTAAAATTAAAAAAAAATTTTGGTTAGAAAAATATATTATCTTACATAGGACGTTTTTTCATCGCATTTATGGGTACCCTTGAATGCATTAGGGACGTAATATTTATCGGGACATTGATTAATGTCCAGTTTTAACAGATCCATTGTGACAGCTACGACTCCCCTAAAAATAATAGACTTTTAGTCATTTTATTCGATAAAATCAAGAATAAATCTTACTTGAATTCTAATTTTGCTTTCAAACTATCCCATCCAAAGAAAGGCACTGCATACTTAACCTTCCACATGGGTACCTTTCCATAACAATCGAAGTACGGTGCGGTCCAATGACCGTGATCTAATTTTGCTGCTCGGTAGAAAGTAGGGTACCTTTCGAATTTCCTAAACGTTTCACCTGTTTCGTTGAATCTAATCTTTAGCTTCAGATAGTACTTCTCCAGGCTATCAAAATTAGTACTCCAGCGTTGCTTTAAGAACTGGAACCAGTCTTTGTTGGTGTAAACTTCTTCAGGTTTGGTTAACCTAGCTAAATCTTCCAATTTAAAACGCCTAGTATTTAATTCAGTTTTATACGCGTATGGCGCAAAATGTGTTCTGTTCGTAAACTTGTTTCTCTCCCAATATGTGCCCGCACTCCAGACTCGGCTATTGCCCAATACAATGGCCAATGTTTCGCCCATCATTTGGTCTTCGGTGAGTGGTTTATCTGCCACACGCTTACCAGAGTAAACTTCTTTCGGATCAGAAACTTGTAAGAAAGCGCTGATGAAGTTAGCAAGACGTACAGCCATCTTGGCTTCGTTATCAAAATATTCTTTAGCACCAAAGTTAATGTCGCCTTGGAGTATCAAATGTTCTGGTTTATATTTACGGCAGTTATCTTTATTGACACCGAGAATGAAATCTAGTGCTTTGTGAATATTAAGTCGCTTTTGATTAAGTGAGGCTGGGCCACTGGTATAGTTTTTGTATTCTGAGTATTGGTCGAGGTAGTGTTCTCTGACAAGAGGTTCGGCTTTTTCCCACTGCACAGGCATCTTTTGAACCCCTAAATTAGACATAAAATAAATTTTACTAGTATTTAACAAAATAAAAGCAAATTAAATGCTTACAGCCAATTTTTAAGCAGTCAAATCCATTGTAATATTGTTCGGCTGTGGCTCTCTCGACCAATTCACCTAAGAAAGGTCGCCGTGTAAAGAATGGAAGTCGCCAACCAGGTTTACATCGACATTGATATCCGCCTCGTCGGAAACCCCATCCATGTATAGGTTCACACTAAATAAATTGGAAGTTATTAGAATACTGAAGTTGAAAAAGTGATATTTATTACCTCTGTGGTTTCCTTTTTACATCTTGCAGTATCTGCATATCTGTTTGGTCCATTATTACCCATCCCCATTGGACACTGATTAATATCCACCCTGTCAAAGTCCATTTCAATAACTGAGACGGCAGTGTATTTTGGAAACTCAACGTGTCTGAAACCTGTATGTCTAGGATAAATATCCGCAATGGGTACAACAGCAGCCACAAGCCATCTATTCGACCTTCCGCAATCAAAATATGGTCGCGTCCATTTCACCGGTCCTTGGTCTTCGTCCGCCCCTGGCGGTCCGTGGAATGTAAATGTTTCGTTCGTATTATTCGCGTATCTAATCTCAACTTGATAAGTTGTTTTGGTGTCATGTCTACCAACAATGTCTGGCAGATTCCATAATTTGTACCATTCATTAATTCGATAGTAATCTGAGGTGTAATCGTTGCTTGTGTTGGGAGTAACAGCACCCAAGTCAAACAAAGTAAAGGTATTTAATGTTGAGATTCTTTCTAAATGAATCGGATCGTTGAAATCGTCTGTACGGAATGTACGGGGTGCAAATCGCGGAAAAGTCTTATTGAAAAGCCCAGATAAGATGGTGAATAAGATGTGTTTGGTGAGAAATAAATTGCAGAAGCATTGATGTGTGGATTGGCTGAAACATCAGCAAGAGTTGAAAGGAAGTAGTACATCATGCCAGGATCATATGTGTCGTTGATTGCTGGTCGGATAAATCTGCTCTGCAGAATGTAACTCCAGAAAAAGGATCTACTCAGAGCCATGTTGTGTAGTTGCAACAGTTGGGTGCGATTCGGGAACACTGGATTGATGTTGATTTCTTTGATTTCTGGCAAATGTGAGACTGAATCTTCAGGCAAGTACAGATCACCAACATGTTGAATGGGGCAGTTGTCTTTGGTCACCTTGTCCATCTTCATGCGCACCTCATCGAAGGCGTCTCGTGCTTGCCATTCGTATTGCGCGTACACGCCCAATGCGAGGGCAATCAGCCAGGCGAGGATGACTCGTTGCCACATGATGACTTCTTTTGTTTCTTCACGCTTGTTTGTGTATGTAGCGTGTTACAGCATAGTTTGATCGATTTTCGCACAACGCACTGGTGGAAAACAATTGTGTAAGTTTAAATAGTCGAGGAAAACAAGTTGTTTAGGTTACGTTGTGGTGCCCAGCCCACTTTATTTACTGAAGTTACTCACGTTACTCATCTACCACCACTATTTCTACTTAATAGACGCGACGGAAGGACGCCAAACCAACAATTATTAAGAATGCGTCGGTTTCGGTGGGACCCCACCTGTGTTGTGCTTGTGTGGGACGCTTTCCAACAAGTGGTAGATTGTATCTAACAGAGTTGTATTAGACTAGAACAAAAGTACGAAACATTAGTTACCAATAACTTTGATTCTATTAGTTTGGCTTAAGATAATTTTAATTAACATTTAAATTGTGTCCTCATTTTATAACATTTTTTCTAATGGTGAAATTAGATCCCGACCTGGTTTTTAATGTTTGTTTGGTTGCATAAGTCAAGGCGTATATTTTCTCTGTTTACGTCTGTTCGTCATCCTAAATTTTTTGAGTTTTTTATTGCTGAATTCCTGAAATTTGAAGTGATGTTCAATTTTATAAAATAACTTTTATTTAATGCCAAACGATGCTGCATACTCAAACAAAACTGTGTAATTTAAATTATTTAAGGAATATGAGTCATAATTATGACTATTTTGTTTACTTACTACTGCTGCAGTGGATAAAGCAAGATTTTAGAAAATAAATTCAGTTTATTACTACTAGTAAGGTAACAACTCTTGAATGACTGTAATCAGTGCGGTTACCTGCCAAGAATTAGGATGCGAAATCATAAAGGAGCTTTTATGTACAGAAAACACATTAAAACGTCTAGACTGAAGCTCAAGAATGAATGCTTTGTTCATAGATTAATATGAGTAATATAATACCTACTTCAGATGAAAATGGACATGTGTTATACTATTTAATCACAAATGTGCCCATTGCTACATCATTTAAATTTGCTCTCGGTGAACTTGATGATAAATAAACGTAAACATGCAAATGTGTGTGTGCGTGTTGTGCGAGAAGAAAAAGTAACGAAAAACGTAAGCGAACGGTTGACGACGTGCATTTACATGACCATTACAATACTCGTTTCTATTGAGTCGGAATGTGAACGTGTAAATTTGCATGAAAACCTACGATCGAACAAAGGGCATGTGTCTTCGCATCGGCTAGAAGGGTAAATTACTCCCTGACAAATGACGCCGGGAGCGAGCGCGATGACCAGCCTGTGTTGCTGCTGCTGCTGCTGCTGCTTGCACGCTCAACAGTTGGTGCGGTGCGCGTATTTTTGCCAATGCGTGCGGTGCACACCCCAAATGGTGCGTGTAGGTTCTTTTGCAAGTTATTTGCGCAACGTGCAAATGCAGTGAGAACGGGGATGCAGAAGGGTCGCAGACTAGGTTTTTCAATTTCAAATTCTGCAAACTGGACTAGAGTTTATTTTGTGTTTAGTGCAAAATCACCAACTGTATCAAAATTACTAGATGAATAACATAGGATTCATTTTAGTATAAATAGTTTGCACGCTGCGCTGGTTTTTGAAATATGTATGTACATTATCATGACCATGACCGTGGACAAAAATGCCGTTAAAAATAGACACGTACTGTACGTGAATACCGCAGTCGCGGCTGGTGCGCAATGAATTGCTTCTTTGACAATGACAGCAAAACTCAAAACTAGTTTGACCTTTAACTTTGCTTATTTCGCAAGTGACGCGTTGTAGAAACTTTTATGATCGCCTAGTTTTTTATTTTTTGCATTCACTGCTCTTGAAGAATAAAATGTGTGTGTGTGTGTATGTAAATTACAGCAGATGAAAGGAAATGTGCAAAATGCAAAAATGCATTTTGACGGTTGGACAACGCGTTGTGTCGTTGAACACACGGCGCGCGCAAAATGCATGTGCAATGTGCACACACGCACATGAAGGTGCGTGTGCGGCAAGCGCAATGTGTGTGCATTTGTGCATTGTCGCATGTAGGTACGCACTTGCGCTGGCTGCACATGTGCGTTGCATGTGTGCGCCCGTCGTCGGTTTGAAAGAGCGCAAATATATGTATTGCGGGGCAATGAACGGAACGGCGCGGCGGCCGGCCCTGTGTGTGCAACCACGGCGAACGCAATTGCGATGCACAGTGTAATTATACAATGCGCCATTATTTTTATTTTTAACTTGGTGCGGTTTTAATTTTGTCAACGCTGTGTGTTTTCACAAACGGCGCAAATGCACGCGTGTATTGGCGGCTATTGTCTGTCGTGCGCGCATCATTTTCTTCGCCGACTGGTTTTTGGCGAGAAGAATAAGATCTAGCAGCGCCCTGTTGGCATTAAAAAGCGGCCGTTATTCCTCTTGCACACGTATGTAGATGTGTGTATGGTGAGTACATTTAGGGAGCGCGCGGCGAGGAGGAAAAATTGAAGCGAGTTTTGCGCTTCTTTGTTCTTGCGGCGCGCAAGTGCGCGCTGCGCTGCCTTGCTTGGCGAAATCGGCGCGCCGCGAACGAGTTGTGTGTGCAAGGGGATCTTGTTTCTTGTTGGGGAGATTTTTGCACACGCCAATGCGCGAAAAGCAGATGTTGACCCAGCTCTCTAGTGCGCCCAAGAGCAGCGCACTTTTCTAGAAAAACAAGCGTGTGAAAATTCATCATTTAAAAAATCACCAAATTTTATCTTTTACCACTCATAGTAATAAAATTTAGGTGAAGAATAGCATAATAGTCTAAATATTTTTCTCCATCCCAACTTACATCAGTCCTTTTCTATTTGAATTAAAATGTCCAGCAACAGATTAATCGTAGAGATAAATATATGTTGAAAGAAGACGCGGTGCCGCCTGGATGCTTCATCTTGACATTCTCCTTGGTGAGTCTGTGTGTGTGTGTGGTTTTTTCGTTTTGCCCTCCTCCTCGCGGTGTCTGTGCGCGCCTCACATATCGTGTGACTGTTCGTTTGGCGAGAGGAGAGCCTCGCGAACGCCGCGAAACCGGTCCCCGGCGGTGCCGGATTGTTCTTTTATTCCTCTTCGCTTTTGCTTTTTCAATTTGAGGCTCTTTCATAGCCGCCTCCGCCCCTTTTTGGATGCCCGCGTGTATTGTGCACACACGGCATCATCTTTGCATCTCTCGGCTCTGCGCGCAAGCGAAGGGATTCGGATTCAATTCACGGCGGGAACCTGTTTGCGCGATCTTTCGGCGGGAACGGACTGACCGAAGGAGAGCGCGAATTCGTATGCAATAAAATTTGCAAAATTTTTCATGTTGGAGCCTGGCTAGTTTTACCCAACATCATCCTGCTACTAGTTTAAACTTGTTGCCGCTTTATTTTTGGCATCTGCATCATTATTTGCGCTTTAACCCCACGGGCACAATGCAACCTTGAGGAATTGTTTGTTGTTTGGTCAGTTTTAGTTTTTTTTTTTTCATTTCTGACGAAATTCCAAACTAAAATTAATATTTTTTGTAATACGTGTTTTATTTTATTTTTTATCAAAACAATTGCACGCATAATGATGTCTGCAAGTACGGAAATGAAGTAATTGTGATAGTGGAACAATGCGGTTATGTCTTGAAGAAATCGCGGAAAGGACTCTTGTTGCACTGAGGTAGAGGAAACGAAGCAGACGCTCGCGAAGCTTAATGATCCTGCCATTCTTCGGCCGCGTCTTTCCCTCGCGTTTAAATGCCTTGGCGTACCAAGTATGTTGAATTAAAAAACGAAAAAGGCATACGCCGCGCGTCGGTTATAAAAAGTGTCTGCAGACTGGTTTCGCGCACCGCTCGGTGTGGGCCCTAGTCCTGGCGCGCGCGACGAGTGCAATGAAAGATGGGCGCCTGGTGTAGGACTGAGGGAGCGCGCTGATGGTGCGCATGCGTGGCCACGCCGTGCGAGCCGCGAACCTGAATGCAAGCGCGCGACGCGCCGGCCAGACGGGGCTTGCAAAACTACCGATTGCTGCAGAGTGCACATTGCATTGCAGCCGCGGGAGTCGGTACTACACCAAAAACGTAACTCTAAATTTTCGCTCACATGACTACTTCAACATCAATTCGATCCGATTCAAACACGCTGATTGCGCGCCCGGCACCTGGACACTTCATGTAACTCGCCAAGCACGCACACAAATCGTCGAAAAGAAGAACAGTGAACAGTGAAATTGTTTAAAAAATATATAGTGCAACACTACTCACATATACAACATACACAAATACAAAAATTGGACGGACAACATCTCGCAACTGAATATTACTACCAACAAATGTACATCGACGCAGCAACAACCTAAGGATTTAAATTACAACAATACAATTTGAACCGACACTGAAAGATCGCGCATATTTAAATCAATTAAGTTTGTGTTTTTAAGTTTATTAGTTATATCATATTGCAATTATTGATCGTTTGTTGATGATAGAAAAGTATATTTTATATTTTAACGAAACGAAAATGTTTGTTGTGTTTGTTAAAGTGCATTAAGTGTTTCTAAAGGAGATTATTACTGATTTGGTACGTACTCACACTCACACAAGATTCTAGCTCTAAGTACGTAGATTGTTGCATGTAATGCATTCTGATCGATTCGCGCCGGCAGACACGACGATAGACTGGACCCACCTGCATTGTCTCGATTTTGAATTTGCCGCGCTAGCGGCGAGAGGTCAGACTTGCATTGTGTGCTCGACGCGCCGGCCGTGCCGGAGTGTCCCGCGACGCTAGTAGTAGAGTTATGGCTTATTTATCACCGACGCAGTATTGTCTTTGGCTGTGCACCGGGAGCGGATCGCATTACATTATCTATAGGCTAATTAAAATCGAATGCAAGTTTGCGTTTCGCGAAACACGAACCGGTCGACGCGCCGGTCGTGTGCTCTCGCTCTGACTCGCATGTGCATGCTGTGCCCTTGCGCGTCGCTGCGTGAACCCCGGTGCCTCCTAGCGGTCACGTTGACGTTAGCGACGGCAGTTCAGCGCTGGCCGCCATTTTTAATGCTGAATTATACATCTCGCCGGGGCTTCTGATCCAGGTACGTACGGCAAAAACGGCCGAAATTTGCGTGATGTCATCGTGCATTCGATGTGCGCGCGTACGTGTCGTGTGCGTGGCTTCGCGCAAAATGTGTTTAGTTTGCCGGCGTTTCGCTGCAATTCACTCGCCGATGCAAAAGTGCGCGTGTGTGAGTGCGCGCACTGCATTTGACCTGCACACTGTGTGCGAAATTGCATCGGCAGTTCACACGCCCGCCGGTGTATCGTGTTACCAACCCGATGCCAACTTCGCCCGGTCGCCGTGTGCACGATTGTCGACGTTCGCTTTTGGATATTGCGCGCTGTCTGCTCGGCTGAGCTGTCTGCCGCTTTTGAGGTTCGGTCGGTGTGTTGTTCTTTGTGCTGCTGCATCGGCTGTGTTTTTCGCGACGAATGCAACCGAGGTGGGATGATGGCCGCGACACGCCACTTATTGTAAATCACACGCAAGTCTGACCGTCGCACGTGCAAAAAATCGAAGAAAATATTTCGGGCGGGAACCTGTTTGTTTTTGTTTTCGTATTTGGCGGTCTGGCCCGGCTGACAACAATCACAACAGACGGTTTGTTTGAACTCACACTTGAACTTTGCGCGGCTATATCTGTACATACACACACGCGCGTGTCAACATGTTTGTTGTGTGTTTGTCTAAACCTAAACCGAATTGTGTTTTTGTTTGTTTACGATATAATTCGCGCAATTTTAACGTTCCGTTGCGGTTTGCAGCTATGGCAGAAGGTAATGGTGAGCTATTACTGGAAGAATCAATGAAGATCGATTTGGAAGCAGAACGCACCGAAGATTATCAAAAACTTTTGGAATATGGCCTCGACGAGAAGGTGGCGGCGAAGCTGGACGAGATCTATAAGACTGGCAAACTGGCGCATGTCGATCTGGACGAGCGCGCGCTCGATGCGTTGAAGGAGTTCCCCGTCGACGGCGCGCTCAACGTGCTCGGCCAGTTCCTCGACTCGAATCTCGAGCATGTGTCCAACAAATCCGCCTACCTATGCGGCGTGATGAAGACCTATCGGCAAAAGAGCCGCGCCGGATCTAGCCAGGGCAGCGCTACGCCCGCTCCCGCGCCTGTCAAGGGCCCGGACGAAGAAAAAATTAAATTAATACTCGACAGAACTGGATACACCCTAGATGTAACGACAGGTATATATTATTGTATAGAATCAACATCGATTGTGATATATATATATTCACACTATGTTGATGTAACTTACCTAGGCCAACGAAAGTATGGAGGTCCACCGCCAGGTTGGGATGGCAACACACCAGGCGCAGGTTGTGAGGTGTTTTGCGGCAAGATCCCGAAGGATATGTACGAGGATGAGTTGATTCCACTCTTCGAGGAGTGCGGCACCATTTGGGATCTGCGCTTGATGATGGATCCGATGACTGGCACAAATCGCGGCTATGCTTTCGTCACATTTACCACCCGCGACGCGGCACAGATTGCCGTGCAAAAGGTAACTAGGTGGTGGGAACCCATAAGCTGCTGTTGTGTTTGCTTAGTATATTTGCGAGCGAACGAGCGTATGGCGCGAGTGGCGATGGATGAATTGATGGTATTGTGTAGATCTCTTGGAAATAAAGTTGGGGTGTGAGTGGAATGGTAACTTGAACGTGGGGTGTTTAGAAAGAGTTGATACGTTTTGCAAGGTTCCCACTGGTAGCTAGACATTTAATCATTCATATGTGAACTGAAAATTTAATATCGAACGTTGGCGCGAGCGGCAGCATTGACGAGCGCTCGCGGAACGTTCGGGCGGAATGGTGAGACTTTGATTTACACGTGTTGTTGTTGTGTTCGACCAGTGTCGCTTGGTAACAGATTCTCACCACCTCCGAACCGTTGCACTCTAATTGGCATTCTCTATTATAGTGATGTGTGCCTACTGTAAGTCACAGCCGGCAAATTGAGAGTTGCCTTTTGTTGCAGCGGCTCTGACCACGGAGCATTATCTTTTCCCTTTAGCATGTCCCTGACGAGAGAGAGCCCCATTGGTTCTGAGATACGAAATTGTTTCGCACGCGAGCCGTGCGGCGCATGATTTGACGCACTCTGTGTGTGTCGCAATTGGCTCTAACGTGGACGCACCTACTGATGGTGTTTTCGTTTGGCTGTGGTGGTTTGAAAATTTTGTTTTGCAGGTCTCCTCTTTGCACCTTTGCAAGCATCGAGCAAATGGGGCAAAATTAGCTACATGGGCGGCGCAAGTTGCGTGTTGTTTTGATTTTCGAAATTCGAGTTTTGATTGTTTTTATTTTGGTGTACTATTTGACGTAGCGCAGGTGGTTGGGGTGTGTTGTGTGTTCCGGATGATGAGAGCTGGCCCACGTGCTGGGCAGATTACTTAGCGAGCATGCGAATTCACACGTAGACTATTGTTGGCAGCAAAATTACTATTTTCTAATCGATCGGGAAGCGTTCACTTCCAAAATTGTTTTCATCGTACTTACACAAGTGTCACGCATTTGGAATTTAGCGTTACTTTGACTTTATGTTGTTACACGAAACAAGTTGTTTTGGCAAAATTGTGGCAATCTTTCTTTTTCTTGACCCACAGCTCGATAATCACGAAATCAAACCCGGCAAGACACTGAAAATTAACGTTAGCGTTCCGAACCTTCGGCTATTCGTGGGCAACATACCAAAGTCTAAAGGCAAAGAGGAGATACTGGACGAGTTTGGTAAATTAACAGGTAAAGTGGCAAAAATACAAAAACAAACAAGAAATCAGGCATCAGTAGATAGAGTGGCGGCCGGCTGCCAGGCTCAGTCCTATCGCGCGTGCTCACTCACGAATCCTGCGCCCTGTCCTCGCCCCTTGCCCGCCAATACTTAATCCAAATCACCCTTTCGAAAGGCAAGAAAATTGGCTACCCTTCCACTGTTCTTGCAGCTCAATGATTATGAGATACGGAAAGGCAAAAAGATTGGCGTTACCATATCTTATAACAATCACCGATTATTTGTCGGCTATATTCCAAAGAACCGGGATAGAGACGATCTCTTCGAAGAGTTTTCCAAACATGCACGTAAGTTGAGTACCAAACCCCCAATTTCAAAACTGAAATTTGAGTCCCTGGAATATATTTGTCAGCGCCTGAGCAATGGGTAGGGCAGGGCCGCTACGAGCATGGGAAGGGTAGCAAGGTCCAATGCGAGTAGCGCTTTTTTCTTCATCGTTTTTTTTTTCTTTTTAATAATCACCACTTCACTTGTTACACGACACATCACTCATTTTCACGCACACACACACACATATATATGCATTCATTCATTTGTGTATTTCTTTTGTTTCTTGTGACATTCGAACATTTCTCTCGTGGACCTGCTGTCATGCATTCCAAATTTTCAATCATTCACCCACTACTTTCAACACACGAGTGTGCAGTGGACTTTGGTGCCTTCTCTCCAGCAACCGACCGACAAAATATCACCGCGCTCTTCTTGTATTGTGTGCTTCCGAGGCACGGTTTTGATTAATTTGAATTCTCTTCGCGCGTTTAGCTGGCCTCATGGAAGTCATCATCTACAGCTCGCCGGACGACAAGAAGAAGAATCGCGGCTTCTGCTTTCTGGAGTACGAGTCGCACAAGGCGGCGTCTTTGGCGAAGCGCCGTCTTGGCACTGGGCGCATCAAGGTGTGGGGCTGCGACATCATTGTTGACTGGGCCGATCCGCAGGAGGAGCCTGACGAACAGACGATGTCGAAGGTGAAGGTGCTGTATGTGCGCAATCTCACCCAAGATATTTCCGAAGAGAAGCTTAAGGAGTCATTCGAGGCGTTCGGCAAGGTGGAGCGAGTCAAGAAAATTAAAGATTATGCTTTTATACACTTTGAAGACCGGGACAATGCAGTTAAAGTGAGTTTTGAACTTTTTTAAATTACGCACAGCTAAATGACTGTAATATTATTATAGGCAATGGAAGAATTAGATGGCAAAGAAATGGGTGGATCGAATATAGAAGTCTCCTTAGCCAAACCTCCGTCCGACAAAAAGAAGAAAGAAGAGATTCTACGTGCAAGGGAGAGGCGAATGATGCAAATGATGCAAGTTCGAGGAGGGTAAGTGTTAAATTAACAAACTCCACATTGAGTTTTTCTTTAAAAATTTATTACTAATCATATTTATGTATCTCTAGAATGGTGCCAAGTAGTATGCCAATGCGCGGACCGCCAGGACAGGGCGGCGGTGGCGGCGGAGGTGGGCCTCGGACGGGAACCTCAATGCGCGCTCCGATGGGTCGTGGCGACTACGGTAAGCGCGCATTCTCTCTTCATTTATCATTTCCGCGAGGAGTCTTAATTCTATTTGTCACATTTATTAATAAGCAACGTGAACCTTGGTCTGTGAGCTTGTTTGGTCAAGTAACAATTCTATCACGCAGAATCTCGCCGATTTTGATTGTGTCGCGCGCGTATGTGTCTAGGATGTTCTCGCCGCCGTCAATGGCTGCACACACGTGATTGTAGCAGCAAGTAGACAAAATGTAACCGCTAACATATCGCACAGGCACTAGTATCTGATCCTGGGGGCAACGACTTGATTGGTGATGGTTACGAAGTAATAATTTACTTAGAAACTGAATATCTGATAACGTATGAATGGGCTGTGTGCAGTCCTTGACGGTTGCATCTAGGACGAGAACACAATCAGAATTATCTTTATATAGTGCGACGTGGATGGAGATTTATTTTTTCCCGATTGGTTTGAACTAAAATTGCACAATTAACAACTTGTGTTTCAAGTGTATGTTGCGTTGATGACTGAGCTCACGATTGCTTTAATTCATTGTCTCATTGTCAGTTTATTTCAGGTGAAGAGCTCTTGGCTTTCTTGTTTTTGAATAACCATTATTTGTCACTAACAGAGAGTGGTGTTCGGGGACGAAAGTTGCAAGAGTCTTTGGTTGAATTGTGTGCATTGACATTTATAAACACGCGATGCACACACACACACACACACATAAGCATTGGTTGCGAATCCTGGACGAATGTTATTCGAATGAACGTAGCTGCATGCGGCATCGCCGCCCGCACTCGCGTGAGGTTGCTGCCGCATGGTTTGGGCATATTTTTGTACGCATTTTGCACGCTGCTGTAAACATTTATCTCGTCCAACAATTTCCAAGAGCGTTTTCACCACTCTTATAACTTTGCATGCGAGATTTATATTTGTACGATATTTTGTGTGATATGTTTGACGCTTCCAGGAGCTGGTAAGTACTTAAACGTACATATGGGGGCTGCGGTGATGGGTGGAATTTTGTTGAGATTAATTTGTAAATGAACACTGTGTAGTAGACTGTTCTGGTGCGATTACGATTAGGGACGATTACACTGGCAATTGCGAGTGTAAATGGGACACGACTGGCGAGAATCGTTACTTGACTCTTTTCCCGGCATGCCTTAATTATTAATTAATTATTTGATTATATAATACTAGTAGATGAGAAGTAATTGATTTTGTTGGAAGATGAGAAGTTGGCATACGTCCAAATTGGATTTATCAGTTGGCTAAAATTGGGACTATTATTGTGTGTTTTATAGATTATGATTACGACTATTACGGTTACGGGGATTATCGAGGCGGCTACAGTGACCCCTATTATGATGACTTTTACCGGTATGAGGAATACTATTACGATTACCCGCCGGCACCACCGCAAGCTCGAGGGAGAGGCAGACAGCCACAACCGGTGGGTGGCCTAATTTATTGCAAAAAGCAGAACAAAGACTCGTTTTTAAGGCAAAATTTTGAAACCAAATCGAAAATTTTATTCATAAATTCGCTAATTGTGTGCGGATGTCATTGTTTGACTGTGGCAATGTGTCGACAAGCTCAGCCACTAACAACTTTCTTACTAATCGAACTAACGTCTTGCAATCGTCACTTGAATGCATATTATTTCACCCTTTGTCGCTATTTTCTACGCGCTTCCATTGGTTTTGTCATGTTGAAAATTTTACTCATATAACACTCGGGCGGTCTTCGCATGATTTAACTAACTGTTTCCCTCTGAGTTTAAAATTTGAGATATTGAGACATGCTTGTGACACTTGCCACAATCAAATATCATATCTGAGTCCGCCGGCCCAGCGCGATGTCTGCCAAATTATGTCGAAAACATTTTTGCCGGGAAGAGTCAGGACGCCAACGGCCACGATGCGTGCTAGCTTGCATATATTGGCGATGTGGGCCGCTCGAAACGAGCCGCTTGGCTCAGATATGATGTGCTCTTAGTTGCAGGGTTATCCAAATAGTGCGTGTTGGGCGATGGGGAGACAGACGCCGCCGCAGCGACGACTAACATTTTCGCTTTGCAGTGTTTATTTTTTGTTCATATTTTATTTGCTCATTATGTTTCTCTTTTATTTATCTCTTTGTTTTTATTTAGACATCGCTCCCCCATCGGTGTACCGGGTGACGAATCAAACCATAACAGCGACGTTATTTTTTGTTATCGCAGTCACAACTTCAGATTCAGTTCATCACATTTTAAAGATTATCGCCGTTTGTTATCGCTTTCTTTAATTTTTTTGCTTTAGTGCTTTTTTAGTGGCTTTGCTTTTATGTTACGTGCTTTTATTATTGCTTTATTGGCCGTAGTGAACAAGTTGCACATTTTTTGAGAGTGGCAAAAATGTTCGTAGCCGCGCCTGTAATTTACTTTGGATAACCCTTTGTCTAGAGCTGACACGATGAATTCGGCATTCTCAGTGTGCTGAACTGCTTGGCACTTCAAAAGCGATGCATTACCGCAACTAGAAACATGTTCGTTCTGCTATTGTTTGGTTGCTGCAATGCTGAAACTGGAAGTGTTTTGCAGATTTGCCATAACGAGGAATTGTACATAACAGGTGAAGTTGAAAACAAAAGATAAACAATTGCTGTGTTATTTTCAATTCAACATACTTACTCCTGATTTGGAAGTTGCTTATCTTTTGGCTTCAATTTCAAATTTTAGTTTTTAAGTATAAAATTTTAAGCATTGTACATTTGCCCAGTGCCAAGTGTTTGCATAAGAGCTGCAGGTCAAATCGATTTACTGATATGATTTTATGTTGAACACTTAGGACCTGGATGAAACGAATGCATTGAATTCTACAAGTGTGTACTACGAAGTGAACAGTGGGACACAGGTTTGTTCCGGCCCTTTCTACTAACCTACCTTAAGCGTTACGCCGCCGCCTCTCAAAACACATCTATTTTCGACCAGAAATTTTGCTCCAAAACCAAACTTGAAGTGTTTGAATGGCATTGGCGCGGGCAGAATTTCATAGTTTTCGTTGCTTTGTTTTACATCACATCATTTCAGTTTGGATTTAATTTTGAGTTGCGATGCAGATTTATTTCGTTTGACATTTCTGTGTAAATTCTGCTTTGATGTAACCAATCCAGTTAGCTTGATACGTGTTAAACAAATGCCATTCATACCTTCAACTCCCATCAATATCCTGTCATCTCTATTTCGTCCTTTCCAAAAAAACAACAATGGACAAAAGTAGAAAGGGTAGAGCAGAGATTTTGATGTAGTTGATGTTTATTGTATGGGAGAACTTAAATGACTAACGGTGCCATCGAATTTATTTTGTGTACAGGATGTCGCTGTCGATTTTTTGTAAATATCGCGTTTAACTAGCACAGTTAGTCAGGTTTGGTTTCCGGAACGAATTATGATTTTATTTTCTAATTTTGTATGCGCTGTAGAGATGTTCACATGTCAGAGCGTGCCTAATATTGCTTCTGTTTCTTTTATTTAGGCTGGCCGTGGGCGTGGGGTGGTGGCACGTGGCCGGGCCGGTGGCCCCCCAGCCCGTGGGGCAGCGGCCAACAGAGCGGGGGGCCGGGGCGCAGCAGCAGGGGCGCGTGGAGCAACGCGCCAAGCCGCTCGTGGGGGGGCCCGCGCCAAGGGAAGTTTACCAGGTAAATATTTACCAGAATTCTTAAATGTACGCATTATGAGCGCACGCACCCCGCTCCATCCGTAACCCTATTTTTCATTTCAGCTGTTTTGTTAGCGACAGCTTAATTTTGATTTTGTGGAGTTCCTCTTACCGCCTGTATGTATATCCTTAATAACCCATCCCAATCGGCATGTAAATATGCCGCGCGGCAGGTCTGTTCAAGCAACCCAGGAGTTGCTGGTAGCTGGCAAAACAGCTCGATTGAAAATTTCATTTGCAACACCGCTGTGACCTGTTGCTCGGTTTTCTTTTTATTTTTTGGCCTGTTTATATAATCAGCACCATCCTGGGTGTTGCTTGAGTTTTTCCTTCCACTCTACGATTATAATACTTTAATGATTTGTGCGTGGTTTCTTGTAGCAGGTAAGCGGAAATTCGACGGGGGTCACCAGAACCAGGGGGAGTCAAAGCGCAGATACCAGAGCAATTGGGGTAGCCAGCCCTTGGCGCAACAGCCGCTGGGTGCAGCAAACGGCGATCAGTGGTATCAGGACTCATTTCCAACTTGGAGTTAAGTATTTTTTAGTTGTGTGGTCAAAAATTTTGCTATAAAAACTGTGTACACCCAACTTGGGGAGGGACTGAAAATTCGGAGAAGAAGAGGAAGACTTGCCCTGCGCCCGGGGGCAAAGTTTCAAAAATAAAAAATGGTCGGCGGCTCGCGTACACACTCGAAAGTGTGCGGACTTTTGGTTCGCGAAAAGATTCTTGTGATTTATTTGGAATTGGATTTACAAAAGCGCATTATCTCTATGGATGAGGCGTCGGCCAGCGACTTTCGGAGAGCAAAACGTCGAAAACGAAACGCATTCGAAGTATACAAACATATTTGAATATTGAAAACGCGATGGTGTCCCCATATTCTGCAAACCAGTTTTGTAATTGTTACTGATTATTTTTTTCAATCATTTCATTTGCTCGTATACTATATTGTTATGTTAAGCGTTGGGATTTACAAAATTTCTATCTTGATGAATTGTATGTCAGGATCAGATTAGACTTTCGCCGTCTATTTTTACAATTTCAAAATGACGCTGCATTTTTATAAATTCAAGACGATGTTTCGGCTGAACAAAAAACAGTAGCAGATGCAAGAAAATTGTATAAGTTATTTGAATATTATTAGAATATTATTGATTGTTTTTTATTAATCTTATAATTGTTAAATGAGCGTGGAGCCTGAAAATGGGCGAGAGAGGGAGAGAAAGAGAAAAGTTATAAAAATGATGGAAATTTCTGCAAAAGAAACTGCGATCAAGCGCGCCCCTTAGTTCTGGAGACCTACACCGCAGGGGCGCAGCGCCTGCACAATGTTATTAGTCCCGATGTGGTTCGATGTTGTTTTAATTGTGTTTTAATCTTTATTAGTTTTCTTGCTCTATTAATTATTACACTTGCGTTCATTCACTTTATACGTTCATTTTTGTAAAACAAGCTGTTATATGACGACGACGACGACGAAAACGCGAAGAAAGGGAAAAAATTACTAAAATATATCTCCAGCTGCCTAAAAATAAAACGCCAAATCATACCCGATCGTATGATGCTGTTGCACAGCTGATGGGGTGCGTGTTGACCGAGCGGGAGTGCGCCTGGGCTCTCTTTACACACACACGTGTGCGGACTTAAAAAACTATGTAATAATGAAAATATTTTGTGAGAATTGTATAAAAGTATGCGAAAGTCCGACCTAGTGACACACACCCGCCCTGTATATCTGTATTAATTAGGTAGCCCGCTCGGCAACAATAAAAATAAAACGAACTATACCAAGAGGAGGGAACGAAATGGGGAACTGTGCACTCGGAACAAAAGATGTGTGTCCTAATTGTTTATATTTCGATGATATCGATCGAAACGATACCCAAGAGCGGCTCACCGACTTTACGAGTGATTTTTTTATTAATATTATATGTATAATATAAATATTATATTCTATTCCTGCAAATGCATTTTGCATTGTGATGTATTTTAGCGGTAATTTAAGGAGTGGCATACTTCTGTTTCCGTCATTAATTAATGTATTACGAAACAAGATTCGAAGAGGAAAGGCATGAGTCAAAGTTTACACGGCGTATATGATACGAGTGTAAATGCTAACGCACCATAACATAAAAACTACTCTAAGAGAAACCAACAAAAGATGAACGAAAACGAAAACAAAACTCTGACTAGCTCCGACACAGCAACAAAAAAAAAACACGACATGTTCACAAAAAGCAACAACAGAATTACAGCTAAAAGTTTCATCATCATTTGCAATTAAATAATTTACATAATCTATTATTAGTACTACTACTACTTCTACTATTCTGTCTAATTATCAGTAATGTTTTTAATTATTCATATTTAATTAATTTTTGCTTTCGCTTCCCCTTCAATACGAACAGCAAACATGTTTTTAATTACGAATTACAATTTTTGTCGATTAACGAATTCAACTGTTGTAATGATTATTTTTATTTTGTCTTAATTACTTTTAGTGTGATGTAGTTAATTATAAATTTTTCTATTGACGATACTATTAGCGAAGGACAAGCAAACAAGCAAAAGCAACCACACAAATAACTATTAGCCGCCAATACATATTATTACATATTATTTTGATAGCGGAGCTATAAAGGAGCTTCGATTGGATTTGTTATAATAATCAATCATTCATGAGAGGACTGATTTATATGTCTCAATAAACAGTTGTATGTGTATTACATTTGATATCCGGCCGACTTGTCATTGACGATGCACCCGAGTTTGTCTCTTTGCAGGCGCAGCAGTATCCCTAGTTGGCGAATCGCGCGAGAGGGTGCGCGCCCGACTGTCGCCGCCGCCCCCACCTTGCCGGCGCTGGTGGCTGCGGGAGAAGGCGCGCGCCGCCGCCGCCCCGGTCGCGGAGCGCGCGACCGCTCCCATTCCGTCGGTGCGCGTTGGGACGGCTGCATGTCGGAGAAGAGCTGGCGGCCGTCTTGCGATGTCACGGGACTGGGCGGGGCGGGCCGTCGCCCGTCGGGTGTCCTGACAGGACAAGTCGTTGCGCGCGTGCTGTAATGAGTGCCCCGTCGCCGTCGACGAGCGGAGTGACTGCCCGATTCGCCGCTGTTTGCAACAGTAAACGCCGTTCGAATTTTCGCACTTGTGCCCATTGCCAACGGATAAGATGGCTGCCGATGCGGCGCCCGGCGCTCAAGGGTAAGTCATTCCTCCGCTCACCGCCTCCGCCGTTCATCCCGTCGCCGCGCGCCCGGTGCGTTTCTCGTTTCTCGGAAAACGCGCAAGGCTTGTGCGCTGGCGTTTGTCGCATTCGCACAAAACATCATTTTCAAAACATCTGCACTGTGCCATACAACGAGACTCACACAGATAAACGCATACGCATCTTGTACGCATTCGCCCTAATCGCACTTGATGTTATATAAACATTGCTGGTAAAGTTAAAATCATCTATTGAATGCGTGTCCGCATTGTACACACCCCACCAGTGATTTCACGTAACACCTCACACCATCCACCGCTAGCGCACAGCAACACCGCTTCGAAAACATTCGCATTCGAAGCAATTGTCTTATCACAACTAAAGCGATTTTTAGCAAGAAAAATAAGATTGCGATGCGAATTTCGTGCATCGAGCCGAACAACGGGTATTGATTAGCGCGTGTTTACATGTGCCACACGGTTCTTGCTCGTGCTCTCGCGACCGCCCGAAGAGCGCGGCTGTAAATCCTTTTTCGGATGAGGGGCGTGGTGTTAATCTTTGCTCCTGCCGCCCCATATATATCTATGCAGCTATCTTCCGCCTAATTCCGCGCGCCACATTTCATTATGTTGCAGTGTGCACACGGATTATTCATTGTGTGAATATTCAGCTCTACGAGGCGCAAAAACTGTCCGTCTGTTTGTGACTTGTCGCGGACAATGGTACGAGTCGCGAACACTGTCGGCGACACAAAACGGATGATTTATTTTGCAATTTGTGATCTGCTTTACGCTTTTTCCGCCAATTTTATCCCGACGGGCGCGTATTTTACTCCTGATTGACAGCGGGCGCGCGTTTCTTGTTTTGCTACGTGTTACATAAACAACGCTGTAACAGAGAGGTGAGAAGCATTGTTGTTGTTGTTGTTGTGGTGGTGGTGGCGAGAGGTGTAACTTGTAATTTAGACATTTGGGGGGTGGCAAGAGCGTTACACCTACAACATATATAGGTGTTTGCTGCGCTGAAAGTGGTTGTAGGTTAGGGATGGTTACGCCCTTTTTCTAGTACTAGACCTTACACTTTGGCGCGCACTTTGTTCCAATATCTATTGATTTATTTAAACTATTAAATTAATAATAAATTCAATCCTCAAAAAATAATTTAACTATTACATTAGCACTTATATTAATCTAAACTAGTAAATACAATTAAAAGAAATCATATTATCAACAAATAATTATTATATTTGTGTTATCTTATAAATCCCAGTAATTTTTTGCAATTTATTTATATCACTTTATAATACCGATTATAAGTTATCCGGATTTATGTTTGTTTGTTTGTTTGTTGGTTAGTTGTGTTGGTGCGCAATTAACCCGATGTTAATTATGATTTCTCGTTGTTGCTCTCGGGGAATAACAAATTCTTTGCTGTTTTTGGGGGTGCGGTGGGCTATTGATCCGCACAGCACACAACCGCTTGCAGCACACGTACGTGCGGTGGCAAAGTTGGCCGTTCCGTGCCTTCATTCTTCGCGCGGACGCGTATACACACCGAATTGTGCGCGTCCCCCTTCGGGCCGAAGAACAGCTGTTTGCCCGTGTTCGACTAGCCGCCCCCGTGACACTTTATTAAGTATTTACCAGTATTTTCCTTAGTTGCCATCTTTCTTCCCCTGCTTTCTGTAGAGCTTCTAGGTCTAAACTTTATGGTGGAGGCGCCGACCGTATAAAATTTAACATTTTAATTTTTAACTATCAATAAAAAAATGTGCAACAAAAATTAGTTCTTTCGAATGATATTATAGTATTTTATTCTTATTACAACAGTTTTCGGAAATATTTATTATTCATTTATTAGTGTATTATTTTATTCTAGTTGAATTTTAACTTTTGTTAGGTATGCACACGTGTGTAAAAGGTGGGCGTGGTCAATATGCACTTTGACATTTACTTTTGCGCTGCAAAAAGGTTCAAGGATATCAGGAATGCCACATGCCCACGTTCAACATTTAGGAATTCCCAAAATGCATGTTAAGAAAATTTGTGTCGTGAAAATCACGTTCAGCTTTTAACAACCACCTAAAACTAAAAAAAAATCAAGTTACTTAATGTGTTCCTTCGTCTATTAAATACTGTTTAATATTGCGGATAAATGGCGGCGTGCGCTTTGAGCTGTTAAGGGTGCTAGGCGACGTTCCTGCCTGTGAACACACCGCGCATTCGCTAACGAGATAAATTGCAAGTTTCCCGGTCAAATATTGACACATTAAGAAGCAAGTCTCTGCCGTCTCTGAAGCAAATGCACGCTCACGAGTTTGAATTAAACGAGTTTGCTTTTTTCGTATTTTGCGTGGGCGTGTGCAGTCGAATAGCATCATAAATCGATAATAAAACCAATTAAAAATCACTGAAGCTTGGTAATTAATTAATCGGATAAATTGTCCTTCTGTGCGCCGCGCCACGCGCTTAATTTGCATTGATTAGAGTTACAGCTTTCGTGGAAGAACTATGCTGGGCTTGATTAATTGCATGCGGATTTAATAAGCGTGCCGGCGAGCGAAAACTAAACCAAAACCATCCCAAAAAAGTTACGTTATCTTAAAGTTTTTGGGGTTTTGTGAAGCGATCATTAATTAATAACGCGGGGGCGACTTTCGTTTGTTTCACGTGCTTGTCCGCTCGACTGGCCGCCGGTTAAAAACGTGAGAAATCGTCGAAATGTGCGCCGCTCGGACCGGAGAGGAGAACGAGGAGCCTCCTCTGCAGGCACCAGACGGGCACACTCGTACAAACATATCGTATCGATTTACATCGTTGCTCTGCGTTTCTCTGCGTCTCCGCTTTCATCTCTTATCCTTGGGACGTACGACGACGCGGGGCCGCCGCCTGCCGTCGCCGCCGCCCGCTCAACGTGTGCGAAGGCATCTAGCTATTCGCTGTCCTTTCTCTGGATGGCTGGTGCGTGTGCGAGCGTGGGCACGCATGTGTAGGGGGTCTCTTGAGGAGTGTGCGAAAGGAGTGTGCAAAAATGCGATTGGCATTTGGCATCGGAGAGCAGCCTTTCCGGATAAACTACGATGTCCGACAAACTAATCTCGCTACTCAATAAAACTTGTTTGGTGGAACGGGTTTTCTTGCCTTTTGTAGTGCGAGACGATGTATGTTTTCGTTTCGTGTTTTTTTCGGCCTTTTAAATCCGAAGAATCTAGCACTAAACAAAGCCAATCTGAATTTTTATAAATCCAAAATTTGCTTTCTTTTACAGGTGATATAGGAGGTTCGGGCATATCATTCACCTCCCGCCCTTGCTTCCGACTCTGACGATATGGTAAGTGTTAATAAATAACTTTAAGTTACAATTATATAATAATTAATGCAGCTTGGTATTGGTTTTATGCTAAAAAACATTTTTTTCAATAAATATCTGCAAAAGTTTGCAGAATAAAAAGTTTATTATTGAATTCACTGCACAAAGCAAAATGTTGTATGTAATATATCTAGTTTCATCGTCTTGGCCATAATTTATTTCTAAAAGTAATAGAACTTAAAGCTAACCTTACAAATCGCGGCAAATAAAATAAGTAAAAAGAAAAAACAACAAAGCGTCGGCTACGCGACGTCGAAACCTAAATAGGTGTATTCGGCACGTTGCTATGCGCCAAAACCTCGTACGAAATACGAGTTTACCGCATCGCATCCGCCACCAAGGGGGCGGCGCCGCTCCGAAGCGCGCAGGCGAGGTGCGTTATTAATGCGATGCAATCACGGACCAAAAGCGTTTCCCACCCGAAACTTGTACGTCGAACTTGCTATCCTAAGAAATACTTCACGGTGATGATAGTTGTTATCTCGGAACAGATTTTTACATATTTGGGTGAATCGATTAGTCATCAACGATCTCAGCTCATCAAGGAATAATCTACTTTCCGGTCCCAAAATATTGGATACACCTGCACACCCACATCGGAGATGACGACGTTTAACGATTATATTTAGAGCTCTTAAAAAGCACGTCGCGTTTCATCATAATCACAACTGAAGAGGTGACAACTTCGTCGTGTAAAATTTTCATCTACTTGGTAATTGTAGTTAATGTAGATGTCAGTTATGTAGCGCAAAAGGAAAAAGAAGCGAGTAAAAATGACAATATTGATTTCGTGCTTCCGATTGAATTAAAATACAGACGCGACCCGTTTTCTTAATGCTGAAAATTAACTTTGAACGGTCTCGTTGGCGAGTATCTTGTCCGTTCATGTGCTCTAGTTGTACTCGTCGTGTTTTTCATTTTCCTGTCTGTCGCTCGTCCCCCCAATCGTTGCATGTAGTAGCTGTCGTTTATAATCTCGTTGCCGATATTGCATTTTCCGTTTGGAAATTCACAATGCCTGACTTATATACAGGCTGTGCTTGATTCATCACGTATTCCGTTCGTTTCCTCTGGCTTCCAGGAAAGATGCATCAATTGGGAACGTTCGGTGTTGTGGCAACGCCGACAATGGCTTCTTCTCGCTTCCTTTCTCGCAGTCTGCCGTGCGGATTGGTTCCTTTTTGTTGATTTCTGATTGAATGAATTTTAATGACTTTCCACACCCGCCACGTGCATGACCAACAACGGAATGCGTCACAGGCTTTTTCCTCTCAGACTCCATCTAGGCTTCGGTGAAAATTAAAACTTGATTGATAATTTCGAATCGAGCAGCGCGGGTTTGATTAGGGGATTTGGATACGAAACTTTGAGTCGGTTTTCGATTAGGAAATGATTTGTCTGTCGCTGATATGCCATGTGCACGACCACCATCATCATCAGATAAAGGTTATCAGTTTGGCATGGCTGTCAAGGGAACGTAAATTATTTCTTTTACATTTGTGGTTAGTGTTACCCTTATCATTAACCTCAAAATCAACAATACTTTAAATTACGGTTAGATTCTGTTAAATTGTGGTTATGTATGTGTGCATATTTCGTCAGGTTGCATAGAGCGTGTGCTAGGTAATGCGAGTTAATTGTATCGCGCTGAGTTTCGAGTATCAAGTGCGAACGTGAATTACAATTACGATTCCGCACGAGGAGAAACACACGAGCCAAGTATACTCGCATTGTCAAATTGTATTTCGATAATGCAACGCCTGCCTTTGCTCGAAATACAACGCATAATCAACTTAGTTTTCAATTGTTTGCATTCGGTCGACAAGTCTACAACAGCGCCTTGCTTAGTTTCACTTAGACTTAGATGAAGTCTTTGTCTGGCGATGATTGAGTTTTGAAAATGTTGATGGATGTGCTGTTGAAATTAATTAAAATCTGTTTTTTTCAAATTTATTTGCCACACCCACTTTGAGAAATGGTTAAAAATCTTGTTTAAATGATAATCGTTATTCATTTATGATTCTGTTTGGGATGTTGACCCTGAGTGCGGGAGTTTTATTCCACGTTGTCAATGTTTCCCCTCGGCGTTGAGAGCGCGCCGCTGTTGTTGTCCTCGTGTGTTAATGCATGATTAGTGGGTCGAGAGAGCGTATCCTTTGTCTAGTGTGCGCTCGCCGCGACGCCGGCGCCCGAGACGCGATGCGCCACGCCCGCTTCTCGCAGGATCGCACGGCGGCGGCGGCGGCGGCAGCACCTTTTTGCCGCAATAGATAGTTAACCAGATTCGACCTAGAAACATTACGCCGCTTCTAAATCATTAATATTTATGGAATTTAACGAATTGAAGCGAAAAATCACCACGGGTAGAATCAGCCATTTTTGTGTTCACTTGTTTTACTTGCGTATTTGCTTTCACTCAAAAAGAACTCGTCGAGGTCTAAAGAGTTTTCAAAATTTTACACAAACACAAGTACCGCATTAGAAGCACTTCTATCTTTTCTTTACCTTTCTTACAATATTTTTCTTGTCTCTAGAGTTTGTTTTGTTTCCCATGAGGTGTAATAGAAGTAAATTGTTTTTTTATAGCTTAGTTTCTCAGAATTCTCTGGATAGTACCTAGAATAATATCTACACCAGGAATTTCACTATAAATTTAGGTACAGAGAGGATGAACTTTAAAAAATTGCCAATTGGAATTTAAAGCAAAATTAATTGGCAAGCGGGGCAAACATTTGAAATATTTCAAGTTTCTCAATTAAGCTCGTTTTTGCGTCACATCTGATAGCAACTTTTTGTTGCGCCTCTCGAAAGAGTTGCGTTTTTTAGCAGTCTAGTCGGGCAGACCAAATGGGTGGCGGCGTAGCGAGCCGCCACCGAAACAAGGCGAGACGAGACACACCATCGATCGAGGGCGGCCTGCAAAAATAGCCCATTCGTGGGGGGCGGGCTCTTCTCTCGTTTTTGATTGCATGGCAAATGAAATAACGTTTAACATACCCACCGCACACTCAATGCACTCAATTGCCACCAGTTTAATTTAAACTAAAAACTTTAGTTCAGGAAGCGTGAATGATTTTTAATTATTCAAGTTTTTTTTTGTTTCTTTACCAAGTATATGTTTTCTGGTTATATTTTGAACACATGGCTTATGCGTTATATGAACGATGCATTATTCAAGTGGCGTTTTGTTTCGGGGGTTATCGCTTCTTATTTTTCATGATGCGGACGCGGGACTCCGATAAGTAGCGTCAACGCCAACACACACTCGACGATGCACGGCGAGGCGATCTTCGCCGTTTCATATTGCGCCACTGCCACGACCACCGCCTCCGTCGGGTGTGGTATTACCGTCAGTATAACGTTCGAATTATGCGACAAATCACCGCGGCTTACAATCACCCGCTTCGCTCTAATAGCTTAGATTCGTTCCCTCCGCTGCGCTCTGTTTGTGTAACCCTGTTCGCCGGGCGTCCAAAAAGGGGGGCGTTGCCCCCAGCACACAGGATCGTCGATAAGCTCAACATATACTGATAAAACCTATCTACTGCTGGTTGCTGGATTTCCAGATAAAATATGAAATATGTGTATGAAAGTCCTGAATTTTAAGTTTAAATTTCGCATTCAAATCGACTGTGCTTGTGCTGTAGGGATCATGTCTAAATCGATCGCATTCATCACGCGCACAGTTTGCTTAAACCATTGGAGGGCACGAGGTCACTACGGGAAGAAAATGATACTCCATCGCACTATCTGGCCCATCTTGGTGTCTAAATTAAGCGAGTTTAATTTTCCACGCTTGTATTTGCGGATAACGTGTGAAAATCGCATTTTGAAAAGTTGGATGAGATATCCTCGGCGGCAGAGGTAGAGGTGGGTTAAGGGGTCGGCTGCATTGTTCGCACTTTTAAAATCCATATAGGAAAAGGTTCTCGGCGCGCTCGCCTTTCATCAGACGAAGCTATTGTGCATTGTGCTGAGGGGCTAACTGCCTGCCTCTGCCTGCCTGCGATGGCATCGGCGGTTAAGAGTATAAGCGTTTGCCGCCTCCGGTGTAGTGGACGGGGGAGGAGTGGCGCGCGCGCTCCCTCGTGCTGCGGCTGCGTTTTTAGTTCACGAATGATATAACTATAACTACCCGAAAGCGAGATACCACACACACACACAGAAATAATTCCATGGATTTTGATTTCAGATCGTAATCTGTAATAAAATGATTCCCGTTAGGGAATAACAACCGTTGCTAATTAGCGCGGTTTTACCTTGCGGAATAAAATAATTGTGAGCGCATTATTTCGATTTGGTTTCGAAAAATCATTACTTACGCGTATCGCGTCTAGAGTTGATGCAGCAGAAAGTAAGCTCCGCAAAGTTGTGTAAGCTTCCCAAGCACGCAAAGTTGCTCGTTGCGGCACGATGTGGAAGAGAGGTGTGGCACTTGAACGCGCTCGTGTAGTGTCGACGCACGGCGGGAGATGGCGCCGGCTGCGTCTTGCGCTCAGGATAGCGAGGCGTCGAGGACGAAAGGATTACGCGACCGCATGCGCCACCTAACGGCCGCACGCTTGGACCATCCGCGATCGCCCCGAAAGGCCCGAAATATCTTACAACGCATATTGATCTCCATCCGAGCTGCTCTTTTCGACCGCCACAAGATCTGCGCACGTTTAATTATTTACTGTTTTATCGCTATTTGAATAAATATATTCATAGTCGTTACGCAGCATGTATGCCTTGTGGGGATCTCATTCATGCGAAACTTTGATGCATCAAAGTTTCGAAATTGAGGCTGAGGTTTAGCCCAAACCAGAAAACCGAGACCCAAGGAAGTTAGAACTTGCTGCCCGCATTTGAGGACTGTGAATGCCGAGCGGAAGTTAGAGTTTACATGCCAATACTAAATCTGACTTTGTGACATGTTGTCTACTCATACAAACTTGAGTTCTTTTCATGACTCGATTGTAATTAAATTTTAAAAATTTGAAGCTGCTTTTTGTAGAATTCTTGCATGTTAATCACAAACGTCGTTTTCATTGTCTGCGAATTTTTCTCGTCCGTTATGTCGGGCGTGAAAAAGAAATGAATTGTTGCGTTGCATTCGAGCGTAAATACATTGTTCTCGTTAGGAAAAGTATTTTCGCTGAGGTTTTGCATTCATCTGCATAGAAATACAAATTTACACTTGGTTAGTAAGATCTAATAATTTTTAAAACATTATTTATTTATTTTCAGGACACAGTATGGCCCCAGCACACCGGCACACCTCAGGGAGAAGTCTTGTTCTGTCGATCCTCTGCCTACAAGCCATATGTCTTCAAGTCACCAGTGGTAAGCGTCGAAAACACACAATACCTAATTATAATTTTTACGCAAATTTTTGTGGTTTAATATGTTTACGGTTTTGTACGCCGCGTTTGGGGTACAATTTAATTAACCCCTAAGCGCAGACTATTTTCGGCATTCGCTTATGCCATTTTGGTTGTTTAATGACATTCTACATCGTTTTATGTCGCTGAAAGCGTCGCGCTGAGCGATTTATTGCTTAAATCGCTTTTTTACGCTAGTATTTTGCGATACTGATTTGAAGCACATGTTGTATTGTGTTCAATCTAGTGTGTAAAGTCGGTGATATGCGGAGCATGAATGCAATTAGCGCGTTTGTCGAGAATAGAATGCGCGGCCATTATCGTGACCAAACAAAACAGCAAATAATTTAACTGATTTTATTTTGCCTTTAACGTATCGTTTTATTCTATAACGCGTGAAACGACGTTTAACTTTACTTTACCTCGTTATTCTTTTATTGGTCTTTTAATGTAGTTTTTTACGTGGCGAAAATGTTTGTTAATCTTTTTATCATGCTTATCATTCTTCTGGTGGTAGCGATGATAAGTTATGCCCGTGTTAGCTTGTCCGGAATGTTGTAAAGTCAAGGGAGTGAACGCCGGCTGAAATTCCTGAATGTACCAGCTACCAGCTACGGATAGCTAGGATAGCGAGGAGCTCGAAGTGTTATCTGTCTTTTAACGAGATGCTTACGATGCAATATAGGCGTATATCGATTTTCTACGTCTACGGTATGACATTAAATATACGGTATTCGTAGTAGTCGTTATTTTTACGTTTGCCAACATTTGATAACACAAAAAATAATTATCAATATAATATTTTCTCTGTAACAAAATAGCTTATCTTCTAGGGTTCATAAAATTTTGTTTATTAAGTTTTGTCTGTAATAATTCTCTTTTTTTAAATATATTGTTTCATTAATAAATCTTGGCTTAAATAAGGATTTCGTTCTTCTTAAAATGTTTTTTGGTAATATTGAAATTCATGTCAATGCTGAAAAAAATGTTATATAATTCTCGGAAAAGTATATTAGTTACAAAGAAACGCATCAAAACAACATTAAAGTAGAGCTGACAAAACGGAAAATTTGATGCTTATTCGTGAAAACAAACTTCAATCATAACAAAATAAATATGGCATCTCTTTCCATATGACTAGGCGTGATGAGTTGTTCAGTCTGTTATTAAAATAATAACCTTCCACGTTATTAAATAATAAAGTTGTGGTTTATAATTATTGCCAAAAAGTTTTATTAAAAAAATATGTAGTTTTGGTGGTTTTCATTTTCAGTCATCAATTCATTTACAATCGACAATGATAAAAGGACTGGCTGATTTGAATTGTTGAGGTTTTTACTTAATGAAATTCCATAATTTACAAGTTTTTAAGGATTTCACTACTTTAATTTAACACCAAAAATATGTCGACATGCTGAAGTATTGTCGCAGTGTTTAATAAAAGTAACGAAATCCATAAAAACCTGTTTTTTATTAATAAGGGAATACTGATTGGTTTATAGTTGTTTCTAAAAAATAATCAACAATGTAAAAATTAATAAAATTAATAGCATTCTGTAACATTTTCTAGACATATAATACATATATCATATCAAAAATGTACCTTACGGGCTTTAAGGGAAATTAAATTGACCCGTTTTATGCGTTATTCGCATCGTATCAGAGGTATAAGCGGCGTGCTAACGCACGTCCTGCTTTTACGACTCCCGTACAAATTTATCAAATTTATCACGAATGAAATGTTTTACGCAGCCGAAAAACACGTCGGTCTAAATATAGAAATGTCTTTTAATGTACCTGCATTAGGGTTTGGATGTTGGTGAGGTTGGCGGATACCTGAAAACCATGCGTGATGGAAATTGATTGGAATGTTAATAAAAATCCGGTGGGCAATTAAATTTCTATTTTTCGACGCAGTTTATTGGGTGCGAAACAATCAATTCAAACTCGGAATTGAATTGAAATGGAACGAAATTGCATTATGTTATTTTGAGCATTTTCGATTAAGCTCCGCTTGCAAATGATGACGAAAGCGATCATAAAAACAGAAATATTAATATTGTCATCAGAAAAATAAAAAATAAAATAAAATAAAAAATCGTAAATGTAACAATTTTTGTCATATTTCTAGGAGACTATTAGGAATTTATGTGTTCATTGATTTCCGAAATTTGCAAATTTCAATTACTTAGAACAGCTTGAATCACTAGTTGGTGATTGGCATGAGTCACATCGTAATTTATTTTATTTTAAACAAGCTGTCTCGCTAAACTCTGTACTTTCTCATCAATAAGTCTCGCTTTAAATCAATTTTATAAGGTAAATTTAATTCGGTTTAATTCGGTGCTTTTAAAGTATTTATATAAAATACTAGCTTTTGCTTGTCTTTGTTTATGTACTTTTTAGTAAAAATGTTATTAATTTTTAGTTTCTTGTTCAAAACGTAGTATGTGTTAATTTTGGCAATAAGATTCGCAATTTTAATTTAAAAAAATAATAAATTCCAATATTGCTCTTTAGCGCCTTCTTCGATTCACTTATTTAGCTATAACTATAATTGAATGTCTACAGTAATTGTCATTTCTTATTTAAAACTCTTCAGGTCGGAGATGAATTCAACAAATTCATAGATCATGTAAATCTGTCTAGAAGTTTTTGCGTTATGAATGCTGTAAAGAACGAGTTTACGAGTTTATTTCAGATTAAAATTCATTTAGATCTTTTATTATTTCTATTATTTCTTTATTAATTAATTTTTTTCTACATGTTTTCCAATATTTTAAGAGCTATTCTTTAATCCCATTTAGAATATTGTGAGTCTTTGCAACAATGCGAAGATGATCTGTGGAAGTAAATATATGCGCAAAAAATCGTTCCCTTGTTGCCACTCAGGCAGTAGAGTAACATTTGCGAATTGTGTAGGTGTGTCAATCGATGAATCAGTTCCGGAATCGTTCAGTTTCCGCGCCGAAGGGCAGCGTTTGCGTCTGGTACACACATGCGTGTGTGTATTTCGATGTGTGTGCGAAAAGCTTTCATACTTTTATTCGTTCGCGAGTGATATTTTTAGCTCGACTCGAACAAGCAAATCCCTCCCGGAAGCGTAATTTACATTTTGTTTATGAAGATGGAAATCTTGGCTACGGTTTTAACGATGATTGCTCTAATTGAGCGCATAATTAGAGCGTCCCTGTAGGTGGAATAAAATTTCCATTTAATGAAGAATGCTTAAGGTTGATTGTCGAAGTGATTAAAGGTGGTGATTAATTTTTGCATGACCTATTTGTGCGCTCGTAGTCGTGGTCGTGTATAAGAAAGCGAATTCTGGCTTCAACGTTCAGGGTCGTGTTTCCGGAGGGCTTGGCACAGCTGCACGTATTGTTGTGGAGGATTCAATCAGCAGATTCAATTTCCGGCATTGCGGTGGTCATCCATATTGAAGTCGTTCGTAATATTCAAAAAGTTATTACAGTCTTTATTTGCTTTTGGTCAATTTCTCAACGTTTGTTGATTTGCAAAAAATGGCGGCCACGATGGCTTCCTGGTAGGCAACGCAACTTACAAATTTAATTTGCAAGGTATACAAAACTTTATGATTGTTAGTGTCTTTTTGGTACTGAACTGTATTGGCATGGCTTCGTTTGTGGGTCGGTGGGTCTTTGGCGCGCCGTCCTTCGTCCTACGCTCGAGGTCGCCAGTCAGCAGCTGTGGGTGTGAGGAGAGGCGGTTAGCAATGAAGGGCCGCGTCGCAACATGCCGAATCAATATTTCATCCCTGCGCCCGCTTGTCGCTTCTTCTCTCTTGCGTCTCGCTCGCGCGCCGGCAGTCCGTTGTCGCCGTTGAGCGGCGGCGTGTTTCGTACATTCCACGCGCCTGCTGCTACCACCGCCGCCGCCGCCACCACCCGCAGGCCTAGGTCTGAAAAGCGCGCGCGGGCCGCAAACTGACTCCTCCGCGACGCGGCTCAGAATCCCTCGTCAGTCGCTACAGTCGGCGAGAACGAATTCGGCGCGCATCACGCACATTTCGCATCACACGCGGCCGCAACCTCTCGTTCGCGACGTGTCCGTCTATTTGGGAGCACGACGGGGGCGCTCCTCCACAAGCGCGCCAGGCGCCGCTTCCGATCGCACTTGACGCCATGGTCGCCGTCGCCATCTGCTGCATCCTGGTGCTCCTTGCCGTTTTCATTGTGCTCATCATCGTCGTGGGACAGTCAATGGGCGATCCACGCTGACGCGCGTAGTTGCGGTGCGCTACCGCTCGTCCTGCTCATGCATCGGAAATTTCGTAAACGGACCAAAACAAACAGGGTACTCAAATCGACTGAAAATCACAACGGCCAAATTATGCGAACATATCGACCCGTGATATGAAACCAACGCTATACGATAAACAAAAGTAATTGACGCCAGGGGAGGAGAGAAGAAAAGTTTTTGTGCGCGACAGCAAAGCTGAAAAAGTTTTCCTTTTTTATTAAACCTGATGGTGCTCGCGTTAGGAGGGTTGGCGAGAATAAAACTTGTCGCAAAAATTACCACATCTGCAAAACGCAAGTGTCTTCTTCATCTCATCCCGCGGAAAAATGTGCAGCGCATATCCTTCAGAGATAAGTGTGATGCGGTGGGTGGCAGCACACGCGAAGGTGGAACGAGCGAGGAAATATTGCTTTGAGTTTCTTGCCAACTCTCAGCAGCTCCTGCCAGGACGACACGTTTTTCCAACAAGAAATGGAATCATGCGGCACTCACTCAGCTCACACTCAAGGACCAGCCACTCGCAATTAATGCGCGTCAAGCGGCTAGCCATTGCACACTTTCGACTTAAACGTTCAACGTTTGGCATTCCTTTTGAAATTTACTCATATCTGTGAGTGCTGGCGGGGTCGCAGGTCGCAATCGCATGTAATGTTCTATTTCTAGATTTTTATGTGCGCGCAATGTATACGCCTAAGTGTTTTCCATGTAAATTTAGCTAGAAACATGATGTAAACATCAATAATGTAAATTTTCAAAACCAGGACATACGCCGTCAGTGCACAACTGTCGATATTTTTATTTTATATTTCATCATAAGGTTTTCAATTAGTGCCAATTAAACTACGACAAAAGCAAAACAGCAACACACCTATAATTAACTGTTGTATCGAGCAATAAATACATTGTAAGGAATTTAAAAATTGTTATCCATAGTTGTCTATGTCGATGGTACTAAATATAATTGTGTAAAATGGAACATATATCACCTAGATGAGTGGCTTAAAAGTTTTTAGACGATGTTATATTTGTATATGTCTATTTAAATTGATACAATATACACTGGTAGGTTAATCTAGAACTTAGATAGTAATCAAAATGTTGTGAGAATATGTTTAGTGAAAGATCAATTACGTTTCGGTACTATTTTGGATCAAAGTCGAATTTTGAGATGACCACGTTTTACAGTACAACTGAATGAATTAATTTTAAGCAATGGCCGCATTAATATCATATTAATTAAAAAAGATATTAAAAATACAAAAACAAGGTTTAAATCATTTGTAAAATGTTTATATTTGTATATTACTTATAAGGATATCAAATATTGTATTGTATAAGGCATTGATTGTAAGCCGACGGTTGTCATTGCATGTACGGCAATAAGCCTGAGTTTATAATAAAAGTTTTAAAAAATTCATCAAACTTGATTAGTTGTTAAAACTCCAGCCGAAATTACTGCTTTGAGGATCTCGCGAGACAGAACGATATCGATTTGTTTATTTTTAGCTAAGTTTGCGAGGTATTTATCTGTAAGAAGTAACATAAAAATAAACCCAGACCTTATATACCTAGCCATAAACACAGAAACGGTAGTCTTATAAAAAAATAAGACTATTCAAGAAGCTTTTTAATTTTTGTGGTGAAAATCAATATCTTTATGTTCAAGTTTGCGTTATGTTATGATGTTAGAGATTGATTTATACAAAAACATATATTTATCTTTTAGAAACATGTGAATTTGGCGCTTTTACATTTTAAGATTCACTCATATTTTTGATTAAAATCACTTTGGTTTTTTCTCGGCTCGTGGCATTTATTTACGCCCAATCCATGAAATGGCCGACACATCCGACATTAATCCGCGATGGGAAATCTGTCGGACGTGTGTGTTCAATGCGTTCGATGCTTTTCCTCCGTTTATACGTGACACGTTTTGCGCGGTTTGCAACCGCATGATGTTTGTTTGCTTTCACGCTCTTTACGAGTGCGATCGAAAATCTTAAGTTGTAAGTCATAAATCTAAAAATCGCGCCAGCGCCCACGTGCCACACATCCATCCAGCTAGGTATGAAAAGTTACATCCGAAAAGCTCGATGAAATATAAGGCGACAGAGGAAAACAAACAAGCGAAATATTGCCGACGTATATATGAAAGCAATTGGTATACGAAGAAAAAAACCATAACACATCCAAAGATGCCAGCGCAATAAGCGGAATGCATTCATATATTTTCGTCGCGGAAAGTGAGTGCTCTGCAAGATATGAAACCTATACGTATTGCATGTTGTACGAAACTAAAAATAATTTTTATTGTGTTTATTCAACATGCGGTTGAGATCCGGTTGCAAATCAACATTTTAAAACTCGTACGTTGCGGATACATTCGGTATAAAATTGAAACTAGCAAAAAGACGAGGTACGCAGCCAAAAGCAATCTGAGCTTTTGAATATCTCTCTGATATTGCTTTTCGGTCATACGAAGAACAGAAATTCTGACAGTGAAAAAATTGTGAAACAACTAAAAATAGCCAAATAAGATAAAAGCAAGTTATCAGATAGAAGACGTGAAGTTGAGTCGAGTTTGAGCAGAATGAAATTGAAACTGAAGGGACTGCGGCGCGCACAACGAAGGGTGAAGGGTGAAAGGAATCGCCGCTTTATTGGGGGGCGAGCGAGCGGGGCTTACGTATATTGGGGGGTTTCCGGCGTCGCAAGCATTTCGACTTGATGGGCGGCCTAATTTTAACAGCACGTGAGCGACACACGGCCAAAATTGCTTACGTCGCGCTTATATTCGCCAGACGTCCTTCTTGTTTCCTACTGTTTCCTGCCGCTTCGATCTGTGCCTTCTCTCCGGCGGCGGTGGGCCATCACGGGTGTTCGTTCGTCTCTGAATAATTAATGCTTAGTGTGCTTAGGATTATATCGCGCATCCGTACATCCACACGTTATTGCGTGATATAATGCGAAAGGTATAAAGTGCCTTCGCAAATATTCTAGCAACGAATTGACATTGATGCTTGTACGTTTTCGCCAACGTAGAAAACTTACACACTAACATTTTCGAAATAAACTTATTGATTCTGGCCAGACTCGTGTTTTATTAACATTCAAAGTTAAACTTTTAGTCACGAACTTCATTTTTTTTTTCTTCTTTGCGACCAACTTTAATTTTAATTTGATGAAATCGTAACGGTTTTCCTTGGACGACAGAAAGTTGGTATTCATTGTATATGTATGAGGTGGAAAGCCTCGAGTAGAGCAAACCGCAATCCGGCGTCAAACTCGAGGGCACGAAATTTTGTGCGTGTGCAGTTTGCCCTGAAAATACACGAATTGTAACTCAGCCAGCCATTAAATGCCGACTGTCAAGGAACTTCCACCTACCAAACTGTAATCGTGCAATCGTATGCCTTTAGGAAATTGGTGATTTACAACATGGCGGAATTGCTGGAAATAGGCGCAAAATCGTTGATTAGGATGATCATTCATGTGTTTACCGTCGGTATGCGAGTGTGTGTGTAAATTGAGTTTGCATCTGGGGAGGAAAACTAGTTTTGAAACTAGAAGTTCATAAATAAAGCTTTCAAGACTTGTCCTCGTGTGCTCGAGATTGAGATAAAACTCCATTTAGGTACATTTTACATTTACGGTTCATTTAACTTTGATTGCAAAAAGAAACTTAATTACGCTGTGCTCCCTATCCGACTTCCGGTCTTCTCGTTGCGACAAACACATGATGCATGATTGTTTGCTTGGCTGGGCGCCATTTTCGTCGAGATTAAAAATGGCGGCTGGCACCTGGCCATGCGCGGTGTTTTCTTATCTTGCTAATTACTAATGATGCTTTTTTGTTGTTGCAGAGTGTGATCAGACATTCGTGAGTCGGCCGGGCGGTCCGCTGAACGGCACCTTCCACGCCCCGGAGTTTCAAAATCCGCGCGGCCACTCCCGCCAGTGTTTGTACACGTTCCTCGCCGGCCCCGGTCAACGCGTCGAAATTGTGTTCACAAGCTTCGGGCTGCGCGGAAGTCCACCTGAGTAAGTCATCTTGTTTCGGATTTTTAGCAAAATATATCGACGTTTAAATAATCAAGTCCGATCATTAAATGAAAAAAGAAATGTCCCCCAGTCTAGCAATGCGACAGGAATAACAGTCTACCAATTGGCTTGCAAATCATTTTATCACCATCAACATAAAAACATTAACATTGCTTTTGTTAGTCTATTTTTTTCTGGTTACGCCCGTTGTTTTTTTGTAATTTTTTAAAGAAAATTTGAAAAGGTAAATAACTTTGTAGAGTGCGTGTGCCGAAACTATTAAAGCAAAATATATCAAAATAGTATCACAACTAGGTGCCAACGCCCTGAAAATATCATGTAAATACTTTGCCAAAGAAAAAATAAGAATATATGTACATAATTGTAGTTACCTTCTATGGAAACTATTAGAGATAGAAATAGCAAAGCCCTTAAATCAATTCCCAAAATTCAAAAATGATTCAATTAGTGCCAATAAGCAAATCACATCAAAATAAAACAAAACATATTTTTGGATTGATTGTGCCGTGACTTGTGCACGAATATCTGTGTGTTAGATGAGGAATCTTAACGTTGTAAGTTATACAAACAAATTGAAACAAGGACAAGCAAAACACACTTGTGTCAAAATCTGCTACCGTAAAGCAACAACAAACAAAAAAAAAAAAGAAAACAATTTCTGACTGATTGTTCTTGTTGTGCCGCCCTTCGTCCACCTCCTCCCAGTGGATCTGCTGTGGGAGATCTCCCTGCGTGAGTACAACGATTCTCTCTCAGAATATAAACAAAATACACCCCCACATACACACGCACACGCACGCACACACATGCACACCGCACGTATTTTATATTTTTCTCGTCGTTGATGTTTGCCTCTTATTTCTACATCTTGTGTCTGTGTGTATGTGTGTGAGTCAGCTTTTTGAACTCACTTTGCACGAATATGTAAAGTGTAAACAAACGTTGGCATCGATTTATTGTTTCCACTTCGGCGTTACGTCTTGCGAGCACATTTGTTTTTCCTCAGCGGCGCATTTTTTTGATGCTCACACCGCGTCCGGAAGCGTCCTGGTGACGGAATTATCGACGCGAATATATGGAAACATCCGTTTCGTATTTATTTCGATGTTTCCTCCGGCGCGTCCGCCTATTTCGCGAATTTCCCGGCGCTGGCGTTTGATAAATTCGACACAAATGGCACAAAGCAGACAGCGTTTAAGGAAGCTTGTTCAATGAACGAAATTAAACGCGACACAAACTGAACACTATCTACTGCATGTTTACGAAATACTTTCTTTTCTCTCTCTTATTCATTTTACGAATGATGCATTTATCACCAATCGCATGATTATCGTAAGTTGTAGATTGTACGAGAACTAAGTATATGTATGTAATATTTCAAATAGAATTTGATCATTTTAATTCTTGGTAGTGTGTTGAATTGGAATGCTTAGAAGCTGCATATAAGTTCATCATGAATTGAAAGACATCATTTAATTCAATCAACTGATGACCATTTGGCCAAGAATCTATTTGAAATAATACTCTTGTATACAATTTTGGCACTTTCTTTTTCCTTCTCTTATCTCGATTTTGAGCGTATAAAATACAAGCAGAAATTTGTAGTTAGTCCTGAAAGATGTTTCAAATATTTCCACTTTTTGACTCTTTGTCACTCTACTACTTTTCTCACCTTGCGCTTGACTTCCTGTCTATTCACGCTTGACGGTGATTACTGATTGTGGACGTGATGTGTTTATAGTTGCGTGCATGAGTATATGGACGTGTACTCGGAGGTGGTGAGGCCGGAGCCGGCTGAACTGATCAACTCGCCGTTCGGCGGCCGTTACTGCGGCCCGATTCCGCCGCGACGTCGCGTCTCCCTTTACCGGGCGGTCGCGCTCGCTTTCTACACGGACAAGAACGCCTCCACGGCCGATCTCTTCACGGGCAGATTCACCTTCATCAATGACTGTAAGTGATGTAACTTGATTCGCAAGATGCTGTTACTGACGGAGCGTTTGATTGTGTCTGTCTGCAGCGGAATATCAAGTGGGCGCTCCGGTGGCCAACACGCCGTGCAGCTTCCTCGTGAACGGCTCGGTGAAGCCCAGCGGGTCGCTGTTGTCGCCGACTTACCCGGGCGCCTACCCCAAGGCGCTCGTCTGCAACTACCAGTTCCTAGGCAACGAAAACCAGAGGATCCGATTGGAATTCAGAGACTTTGATCTCTTCTACGGCGGACCGCATTGTCCGTTTGACTACGTGCGCGTCTACGACGGCGCTGACAACACGTCGGCCATCGTTGGCACCTACTGCGGCCAGCAGCGCAACTTGGTGCTGTACTCGTCCCGTTCGTCGCTGCTGGTTACATTTGTCACCCTCCCACGCACTGCCAATACTCAGAACAGGGGATTCAAAGGCATCTTCGAGTTCGCCAATTCTTTTACCAAGTTAGGTGGGTACACAACGACTGTTTAATGCTATTTCAAATTCGTTTTACATTGCAAAACTTTGCTAGCGTGTTTCCATTGCTTTGTGTTGTCAACAACTTTTGTAACATGTTGTAGTCTATCTTGATGCAAAAATAATACGTATTGTTTTCATGTTGGCGGTTGTTTGCAGACTTTATAAAAAAGAACGACGGTGAGCATATCCGCGGCTCGGAGTGCGATCAGAAGATCCTCTCAAAGAAGGAGTCCACCGGCTCCGTGTACAGCCCCAACTATCCGTTCCCGTATATGCCAAAGCTCGTCTGCCGATATTTCATCTACGGCATGCAAGATTCTCAGCACTTGGAACGTGTTCGTCTCGAGTTTGACAAATTCGAGATTCCAAAGGGTCCTAAAGGAGAGTAAGTATGGCGGTGCTTGTTTGCATTCAGTCTTCTAATTTGATTCGGACGGTAGTTGCTCCGAGGGCTATCTGAAGATTTACACAAAAGGACAAGAGACGACGGACTCCTACGACAAGTTCGATCACGAGTTGTGCGGCGAATCGAATAAGACGCAAGTGATCGTAAGCGAAGGTCCACGCATGGTGCTCGTCTTCAGCAGCGGCGAGAAGATGGGGCGCGGATTCAAAGCCAATTACACGTTCGAAACCGGTGAGCTCTTCAAACTTGCTCAATGCTAGTTGAGCGAAATTGAATTTTGTGTCCACTTCGTTTTGTGCTTTATTGGTTGCTAACTTTAACGCCGCTTGAAATATTTGATCTTGTAGAGTATCGTATTCCGGGCACGGCTGCTCCGGACGGCAGTTGCACGTTTACGTACCGGAGTGCAAGCAAAAAGAAAGGGGAGTTCAACTCTCCGCGGTATCCTTCCAATTACCCAAGCGACACCAACTGCACGTACAGCTTCCTCGCGACTCCCAACGAGCAGGTGATCTTGATCTTCGAAAACTTCAAGGTGCGCGCTGATTCTGCCAACTCGACGATTGGCTCCTATGGGTACGTTTATTATAATCAATATGCTGATGATATTGAATAGCTGACCTGATTGTCTTTTTGCAGAGCTGCTGTGTGTCAAGAGGACTGGCTCGAAATTTTCAACGTGTACCGCGACGGTACGGAACGCATCGTCGGTCGCTTCTGCGGCATGACAGCGCCCGGACCGATTGAATCAAATCGAGGTGCAACGGGCCTGAAGATTGTTTTACATGCAGACGCGGATGGTGTCTATAGCGGCTTCAAGGCACGTTACGTCTTCGAAACAGCCAAATCCATCTTTGGCGATTGCGGCGGCAACGTGAGCAGCCTCGATTATGGCGTCATCAGCAGCCCCAACTTTCCGGAGAACTACGATGGGCCGACGAAGGGCCCCTCCTCGAAAACATGCAATTGGTACATTAACGTGCGTCCTAAATACAAGATTCTGCTCGATTTCGAGAGTTTTGCAGTGGAGGGTGATCCGGTCGGTGAGTATTGGTCAAAATCAAACGTTAAACGTTGTGTATTATTAATGTTTTATCGGTTATTAGGTCGAGGATGCCCAGCTGCGGTGCTTCGGCTGTGGACGAACATGGCCAACTCACCCATCGAGCTTTGTGGAGAGAAAGCGCCTAGCGATAAGTGGCAGTATCTCTCCGATTCGAACGCAATTCGATTTAGGTAGGTACATACACTCTACCCATTTGCGGTCGCCCGCGCTATCGAGAATAGCGTAATAATGCTTTGATGTGGTTGCTTGTAGTTTTATAGCAGCGGATAAAGCGGTTGGTGCACAAGGCTTCCGAGCCGTGTGGACTGAGGTGCAGGAGGGGCCGAGCTGCGACGAGTTTCAATGCAAGAAGAGCAACTTCTGTATTCCGAACAAGCTGCGCTGCAATGGCGTGAACAATTGCGGCGCCAGCGACCGCACAGACGAAGACGACTGTGAGTGATGCCACAATGGTTACTATTTTCTATCAATATCGAAATTTTATCTTTTTCTGAATTACGAAAATCGACAAATTTCGGCCCTTTGTTATATATATATATAGAACAATTTGATTCGAAATTTTGAATATTCAACTTTTAATGGCAAAATTTCAAGTTTGAACCTGCACTTTGTACTCGTTGGATACCAATTCTAAAATAATTACTATGCATGTTGCCCGGCTTGATAAAGTTGCAAACTCAGAGTTTGGTTCAACATGACTGCACAAATCACATATGTTTCCAGTATACAGTGAACATGTGTGGCTTTCACGTTCAGTTTTACTTTGTGTTGTTAATTTTTCATTGAACTAATTAGGTTAATAGCTATACTAGCATACTGAAGTTGCATTACTTTCTGAATTAGTGCCAATGTGTAATTTCGTATTGTACGATGACGTTTTTTGTTGCGCTGAGTGGTGGCAGGCGTGCGTTGAGTGCGTGATCTCTATCTTGCATTCTTTTTGTTGTGTCGCCGTGTCCTGCGGGCACATCAGGTGGGTCGCGCGCATCGCCACGCACCGGGGGCAACCCGTCCACCACCGCCCTGCTCCTGCCACCACTTGTCTTGGTGGCGCTGTTGCTGCGGCTGGCGTGATGCCCCACAGTTGTACAAGAACAGCATGCTTCTCTCACGCTCACGTGAGTCTTTCTTCTTTTATTTATTATACCAAATCAACCGAAAACCGGCCAAGAACACGCATATAATTGGCAAACTCATTGGTAAACTCATTCGTTTTCCTTGGTTACGATTCTTCACCACTCATCTTTCATCGTAGACGAATCGCACGTTTTGCGTTTGTAATCACAGTATTCAGAGTGTGCTCTCTCATATTTCATTTTATTATATTATTGATAGTATAACGTAGTTGTCATGTGGTCACGATCAGCATCATCCCGCATCGCATCGCAGTTATCGTGCAGTTGTTAAGAATGTTTGTGGAGTGAAGATGACTTAATGTGTGTTTGGGGGTTGTAGGTTCGGTGGAGGCACCGCCGGAGGACTACTCGCTGGTGCTGGGCTGCGCGTCCGCCGTGCTGGGCGTCGTCCTGCTGACGCTGTGCGTCATCTGCCACCGCAAGCGTCGGCGGCGCCGACGCAGTGGAGGCGCCAGCGGCGGCGGCGGCGGCCGTCCGTTCCAGCTGCCCGCCCCGGGCGGGGCGTCAGCGTCATCCTCCATCCACCGTCGGCCGCCGTCCGTGCTGCAGCACCAGCACGACCTCGGCGAGCGCTACGCCAGCGTCGACAGCGTCTGATGGTTGCCGCCGCGCGCCACGCCCGCCGCCAGCAATACGCAACGCATACAGGGTCGCACGCGATTTGATTCTAATAATGTTACGCGCGTTTTTTATTACCGATCATCGTCGCCGCCAGCCCGACTAATCTTAACGAATACAAACGATACAATAAACTGTTACGCACGACGTCGCAGCAGCCGCCGAAGATAGAGACGACGAAAATGTTAACACGTGAGACGCCTAAATACTATTCTATCTACTTAATCAATGCCGGTGATCCTTTTATACATTACCACATAAACCATTAGTAACAAACCCGACGCAACTGTTGATGCCGCGTTCTCTCCACTCTTTCATACATTGATAACGTTAAATAAGAGGCCGCAGATAATTAACAATAAACTAAACCAAAGATGAAAACGACGCCAATCAATATTAATTAAACTAAATGCAGGAAGCAACAACACACAGCCCGGATAATGCAAATGTAGAATTTGTCGTTTGTTCCACAACTAAGTTTTCCATAATTAAAAAGAAAAGAAAAACAGAGACAATCTGAATCCAATCTTCCAATTATCGTAGTGACAAGTATTTAATAAATTAAAGTAAATGTAAATAAAAAGCGCGACAATTCGAATTTAGCTCAATTATTAAAACGTGACGCGTCTAATTTGGCAACCATCCTCCCAGAAACAACAACCGCATTCGCACCTGCGCATCCTCAACGTCGGTTGCAATTTGTTAAACACATGTTGAAAGTAGTAGATACATACAGTCATCGCGTGGTGGACGTGCAGGGTGCGAATGCATAAACGGGTCGGATGTAAGTCGAGGGCAAGGGTGAATTGTTGTACGTGTGCATTGTTGTTAACAATATCTCCATGTTGGGAAAAGCAAGGAGCGTTAATCTTTTGGTGTCGGAGACAATCAAGCAACAAACAAACAAATGAGGAAACAAAAGTGTATTGCTGACGGCTGGTCGCGTAACGGCTGACATCGAGAACGTAACAACCGGGTCTACCGCGCTGCGTTTACTACACAGATGGCGTCATCGCGCATCGCCGCCATCATTGAAGATCCACACATGTCCAAGCATGTGTGGGAGAGGAGCGTCGTCGTATAAAACAATGAAAAAGTGTGCAGTCAATAAAATAAAACCACTGGTGAACTATTTTAACGTAATGAAAACAAACACATGATGAGAATATAAAGAACATTGACTTTTCGTAATAATTTTTTAAAGCATAAATTAAATATGTCGATAACAAAATGAAGAATAGCATGCTGGCACCGCAATGACAGCATGTGATATGATTGATATAATAAACCTAATAATAATAATAACTGAATGAATAACGCAAGAAGAAAATTAAATATAATCTAGTAATTTTATGATGAAGAAGAGGAAAAAAAATTGTCGACGCCGGATGGAAGCGGATTTGAAAAATTTGTGACACCGATTGAAATTGCGAGGATGAAATAAATTAAACACAAAAAATGGTTATTAACAAGTTTAATAAAAAATATAAATGTTAGTGCGATGTATACGCGAGATATACCGTAGTTGAACATTTCGGCGAACGCAGGCGTGTGGCGTTCGCACATCGATTGTTTGTTATCATAGACGAATATTATAAAATTATTTCGTATGTTTCAACATAAAACGAGAAGAGAGAAATTAAAATTGAGTATAACACATACACATACACCGTGTTTACCGTGGGTTAGTTGAATTTGTAAAGCGGCGTGGAAGTTGTACTAGTTGTTTCGTATTCGAGATTTATCGGACTGTCGTTTGTGGCCGGCGTCACGAAGGCCACAAACGAGCGTCCAATAGACATGATACGCATTTCGATCATTGTATTCTGTGGCTAGTCGTTTGTAGGCGGCGCCGCATGCAACTGACTGTTATTTTGTTAAAATTTGGGAAAGCTCAGCTGGCATTGAAACGAATGAAACATTAGCGAAATCACGATGGAATTGTAGTGAACACATGTATCGCGCAGAGAGGTATATTGATTGATCGACTGAAGGAAGTTAGTGTTATACCACAGATGTTATAATACCACACGCAACACACGATTCTTTTCTACGTCGATAGCGCCGTGAAATATACGTACCCGAAGTTTACGAAATTAACGAAACACAAATGACACTCAGCAGACACATTCACCACCAGAAGCAAAATCCAAAAAAAATATTAAAAAAAACTATTCGAATTATTAATTGCAATAAGGGAAAATAAGAACTATTTAGATAGATTTGCACCGTCGCACAAAAATAAAACTAAATAAAACGAAAAACCAAAAATGTTTAAAAAATAACAATATACAGACTTGTAACATAACGTATTTAAACAAGAAAGTTTAATCAAATAATGTTTACTGTTTTATGTGAGCTTTTTTGAAAGTGAAATCTCCACTTCTATCGACAAGAAACTACAATTACAAAACCAAAAAAAAAAAAAAATAACAAATTAACAAACGAGTAAAGCAAATTCGTCAAAAGTAAAGAATGTTTATTACATTACGTACGATTACACTAACTTGCATACGAGTACATACATAAAATATTAATATGCTATATGATGAAGAAAATGAAAAAAAAACACTAATCTTAAGGCAAACAAAAAATGAATAATTCATTGAGAAAAAAAGGAGAAAATATATAAGAATCGTGACAAAACACAGGTGCTCTAGATTTTATTTTTTACAACGAATTAACCATCTTCCTGGGCGAAGCTCTGAACACCAGCGTAGGTAGAACGATACACTATAAAATTAAACAAAATGATGAACGTAAAACACTACAATTAACGGTGATAATGCACGTCTTGGTGATGATCATGAATTTTTGTGCGTTCACATCCATACATTCCCGTAACATTATGGTCGTAAGTAATGAATTAATTGTAAAACAAGCAAAGAGAAACCAAGAAGCAAATGGTGTTGGTATTGTAATATCGTAACAGTAATACGTACATATATCTGCACAATGGGAACGAGCCGAAAACCAAGTGCACAGATGGATTTTACTAATTGCCCGATTGGTTGATGTTGTCGATTCGCTTGAGTTGGTGATAGCAGCGTAAGAAGATTTAATTGGAGCCTAAACACCTACTGCCGTGTCGTGCCGTACCGTAGCGTGGCTGAAAACATACACACAATTCACAATCTTGATTAGATTCAGTGCAATCAATATTCAGTAACAGCATAAACTGCAGAGACTCGCTTTCGTCAGTTTTACATTCATTGGAATAGTCCCCAATATGATTCTCGAATTATTTGTAAGTTTCGTGCCGTTTGCTCCGATTTTTAATAATTCCAAAACGCATTAATGCATTATAAAAGAGAAAATAACAACATAATATACGATTCTTCACAGTGAATTGTTATACTTGCTGACTGATAGCGAATAATCCAATTAACGTACTCTTAAAGATTAATGAATTAAATGATAGATTTAACGATGACAAAATGATTAAAAGTGCACATGAACACACCACACCAACACGCAAAACATATTTGAAACCAAAATGTGTACGTCATATTTCAGACATAGCAAGTAAATGAGAGCCGTACCGTTATAGCAATAGAGATATAGTTTTAATTAATTAAAATTAAAGAAAATCCAAATTTTGAAAATAACGAATATTCGAAGTCTAAAAATTAATTTATCATTTCTATGCTCAGTTAAATTGTTGCCAACAATGTTTTACTTTGTCTTATAGGAAAAAAACTTGGGGCTTCCTAATCATAAATATATTCAAACATATAAACACTTAACTATAACCATTTAAACTCATCAAATAACTTGTGCATTTTCTTCTCAATAATAACTCATCAATTGCAAGGGATGATAAGCGATAAATGAAAACGAACGAACGGAAGTCAATATTTAACTGAGTATAAACATTTTTATTCTTGTTTTATTTGTTGTTTTGTCTTTGAGAGCACAATTTACAACGAAATGGTTGTTTCCCTCGCCGAATGATTAATTTCTAATGAAACGAGTAAAAAATCTAATTAAACACACTGCGAAAATAACACAAACATACCGAAATGTAAACCAGAAATAATGCGTGTAATAAAAGCGTATAAACACAATTATTATAAAGGCAAGTATAGTCGTCTATCGTCTGGGCTGAACATATAACTGTAACATAAACTAAAACGTAAATGTAAATTAAAATACAACACGCGATGTTTTTTTAGAATAAATGCAATGACTTTTTAGAAGGGTGTGAGAATTAGGAGAACATTAACGACACGTCATCCAGCTGAGCGGCTTTGCTTCGTTCATTAGCAAACGGTTAGCTTTGATTCCAGCGACAATGCCAATGCAATAAAACGACTCACTCAAGCCACTGGAGAATATTTCCGTTTTTCAAAACGAAACCAATTGCATTGCATTGGTATTGTCGTATTTGTATTTTCGGCCTTTTTTAAATCGATTTAACATAGCTTATACGTGCATAATTGAACGCAGGATGAAAACCACAAAACGTAATTAATGCGAGTGCCAAATTTTATATGTATTTCAAACGCTATTGTGTATTTCATTATACATGTACAATTATTATAGTTGTGAGCGAATGTTTAAGATATATTTATATTTTTAAGAGGAAAACGATTGTATTAAGCGCGCGCTACACAAAATGTTTCACTTCGAGCATTTCAAACAAACACCAAGTACCCCAACAACCACATCACACGCATTCTCAAATATTCAATAACGTGATTTTAAATGAGTCATTTTTAATATATTGCGTCTTCCTAGGTGATAATTATTGAGTATCTCAACTCGTTTACACGTTCAAGTAATAAAACGGGCGACAAATTCGATAGCAAAACGAAACACTGTCATTGCATTTTTTCATAACAAAGTAATAATCAATTAAAACGTTCGATTTTATCGTTTCCAATCATCGACCCAACACAAATGCCAATTTGAACAACCAGAAGTCACGGAAACCAATTTGATTCGTTTATTTTATTCACCGTCTGACATTGATTTGCAGTAGAACTATGCACTTGGCATATTAATAAAACAAAAATAAAACTAAAACATTTAAAACCACGCGGATTATTGGGTCTGCAAATAAATGAAGAAAAACAATTGTTATTTAGGATAAAACATTATTTTTAAATATTACCCACTCGCGAATATACATAGAATATTTATATTATAATGATATTTATTATTAAAATAAATCAATGAAAAAATATAATAAACGAAATGAAATGAGGAAGTACCTACTACGTGTATGTATTCGTGCATAAAACCAAACACACATAAATAAATAAACGTATAAAATATGCAGTTGTGCAAAACCTAAATAAATAATACAAAAAACGTAAAATCGTAGTGACGGTGTTAGTTAAAAAAAGAGAGGTTAGCAGAAATGTCTGGAATTTCGTGTCCTGAGACCATCTTGGGAAATGGGAATATTACAATGTTTTTAAATTAATGAGAAATTGTGGACAATCGAATAATCCGCAATAAGTGCAATAAGAGCCGGCATATGTTTGATGTATAAAAAAAAGAAGAATACTCGTAAGATTGTCTATTGAAAACGCACCACGAGGCTTCCAAAAAAAGCAAAATAAACAAAATCATCACACACATACACATTCACATACACAAGACATAAAATTAAGAGATGGTACAACTGCGACAACTAACAATTATTCACTCATTAAACGCACTTTGTTGACTTGATATATTGCTATATTAATGACTTACTAACAACATGTAGAGAACGAAATGAATATCGCCATTAATACTTGAAAAAGACATTTTAGCGCAGAACATTTGACACGCTCGTCGAGAGCATAAATGAATTGCTCATGTTTAGGAACATTTTTGGTTTAATATGTTTAAGAACTCAGTTTGCGCTCGCCGTGCGTGCCAAAATCAAACTGTGGCAAGAATTAAAGTTTGCAGACCATTCAGGTTTTTGTTGGTCATCGAAGGTACGACATGAAGTGACTGAAGCATTGTCGTGGAACGAATTTTGAAAACTGAAAGAAATTGGCATGTGACGCGTGGATACCGAAGTGTAAAAAGAATTTGTGGGCGGTTGATTGTTTTGTTTGATATAAATTTAATGCATAGTTTATTTAATTGATTTTACTTCGTTTCTACGTCATTATATTCACTTAGATTGTACTTAAATTTGGATGATTCTATATTAAGTGAAGTCAATATTTGACTCCCCTACCTGGTGTTCTGGAACTCGTTCTTTCCACAGAATTTGAGTAATAACACGTAAAACGAAACGAACAACAAACACGAAGCAAAGTGAAAAAGAAAAAACAAAGTAACTAACATAAATTTAAATTAATAAAATAAAAAATATTAAAAACATAAAAATACACAATGATTGTATTTCGAATCTCATCTACATCAATATGTTATTTGTTAACCTAAATAAAAAAGCTGTTAAGTACTGTTAAGATAAAGATTGGTCGCAAACTGTAATATATTGTATCAAAAATGCTCACAGCGACTAGAAACGAGTAAATAAACAAAAAGTGTACTCCAACTGTGGTTATTAGTTGTTTCTTTATTATATATATTGTTTTTACCAAAATTCTCCTAAAAATCCTCTTTTCTTTAGTAAACTACCCGTCACGGGCACCAGAAATGTCTATATTTCTATATTTTGAAATTTCGGAAGGAAAACACATAATTCACAACAAATTCTAATTATTTTATTGTAAACAAAGTGCTACTTCATAATATACTTTTTTTCATCCTCTTTCACCAATTTTAATTGAATTCTTTGAATTGAATATTTAAGGAAACTTTTAATGTCATACATTTAATTTATAATTTTTAAAATTTTGCAAGGCAATAGGACTTTAATATAGAATTGTTGTTATTGGTTTATAATTCAGAATTAAATGTCTTTTCAGAGTCCGAAATCCGAGTTTTTATCTTTTTATGTATGAAATTGTTGGAATGAACGTTGGAATTTTTAAATACAGAAACCTTTAACCTAACTTTGTGTAAAAGCAATATTCGCATTTAAAAACTGTTCTTGTAATTAAAATTGCAAATAGGTAAGAAAAATGATACAAAATATTCTATATGAAATTAAATTACCTATGAGAAGTCGCAATCAGAATTGAAAGATACGAATTTTTAATTTTCAACCAAAAAGCTGAACTTTTGTGACTTTTTTATGACATCTTTTTTATTTAGGTTCAGCGACATTAGTGATAATTATAATTTTTAAACATCATTGTAAAATATCAGAAACTATTATTGGAATATTAGTTTAACTTTTGGTTTTAATTGTTTATTTCTGTATGCGTGCAGCTTCTCGCTTTCGCCATTAACTGCAGTCATGCGCGGTTGTCCCATCCTAACCTGTACAAACAATAATTCAATTTATCCTTCCGTGTTGTATGTAAAAGTAAGAATACATCTTGAAATGCGAAACGAAGTGTACTTATAATATTAATATATGAATTTCAGATGCCACATGCACAAAACCAGAATCTGGAGGATGCAAAAGATACATATACAGCTGTCCAACAACTGTCGCAAATCCTTGACACAGGTTTGGATCCCGAAGTACTCTCCATTTGCATGCAGTTATGTGAAGCAGGTATTAATCCAGATGCCCTAGCTGCCTGTATTCGTGAACTGCAGAAAGAAGTTGCTACTTTACCACAGGATGGCCTCAATAGGGATGACTTATTCAATCAAAACAACTAATTATACATAAATAATCTTTAATTGTAGACTCATATACATATTTAAGTTGATTACATTACAATTCCACCTTAAGATTATCAGTTTTACTGTATTTTCCATCATACACCTTGTTTTCTATAGTTACACTTTCACATCTTTCTTGATCAATCAAATAGTCCTTTGCTATCCAAGCCTGGGACCCATCCTTGAAGAGAAAATTGCTCTATTGTCATCAACCAAATATCTGTTATAAAGAAAGAAAATAGAAGTTAAATAAAATTTTGTTTATCATGTCAACTCAGTTTATACCTTTCAGCTTGAATATGATTGTTCCAAAGACTTGTTTGCCATATCTTTGTAATTTCTTCAGTTTCTTCTTTTGTTGGATTATTGGCTACATTCACAAATGTCATCAAAGTTCGGCCTTTCTTTGTAGCCTGTAGCATTTCCTCTGGTTTCTCTGGATTCAATTTTGTCATGTCTATCTGAGGTGCTGGCCTCAAATGTTCAGGAAGCTCATCTTCTTCAAGGGGATCTTCATCTTCCTATCAAAATCAGTACACATTAGAAGTAGGTTTATAATTAAAAACTAGAAATATTAGTTTTACCTCCCATTGATCTAATAACCTTTCCATATCTGCATCAGAATAATCTCGTATGTCCTTCTTTGCCCAGTCTGGTTTCTCTTCAGGTTTCTTTGATTCAATCATCACAAACGTGATTGACATCATAAATACAATTAAGATTGCATGAGATTTATACATTTTTAAGCTTAATTATTAATATCTATTTGGAATGCAGACTGGAATCACATTTGTTTTGTTATAACCTATTTGTGAGGTTTTTGCCGTGCTTGTGGGTTATGAAATGAAACTGGTTCCGTTGGTCACGAAAATGCACATTTACCACAAGCGAGACCGAATTACAAATGAGCTATAAATTCTTAGAACCATTTGTAATACATAATATTATATTTTTTGGCTTGTTTAACTTGATTCTACACTTGTATGTTGTTTTCAGTTAGTTTTAATGGATCCGGATACAAGCATAACTTTGCTTACTTAGTACTAAATCAATTATAGTTGTAATGAAAAGATGAAACTTTATGAATAAACAATCATTCTTGTCTCATTCATTCACTTTCTTCTTATTTTATTACAGTATACCATAAAAGTGATTGTAGACAAAATGACGATACGCCATATAATTTATAAATGGTAATTGGCGTGCCAAAATTGATTGCGGTGCACTTTTTTTTAAAACCGGCAACGTAATTAAAGTAGTTTGCTAGACAAAGGCCAGTAAACATCAACGGCTATATAGCCGTTAAATTTGAGTATTCATTCAGACAAGTATACGCGCGTAACAAGTTTCTTTTCCTTTCGTCTTCACTTTTAATTTATTGACACACTGCCACCACTCTTTTTGTTCAAACGTTGAGTGTTATTCCACTTGAATATTTAGAAATTTGGAAGTTAATCTTGTACTATAAAGATTGGTGTTGTGTAGCTCAACTCCATTTACAATGATTGTAGCATTTTTGTACTGTATCATTTATATCATTCTGCTGTTGAAGTTTGTGTCCGTTATAACTAAAGGAATATGCCGATCAAACGCATGTTTAGTGGGAAAAACTGCGGTAATTACAGGAGGAAATTCAGGTATAATAATATCACATCATTTTGGTAGACTGCTTACCTTATAATATTCAATTTTAGGAATGGGGTATCAATGTGCTTTAAATCTGGCTTCTCGGGGTTGTCGCATTATAATAGCTGATGTTGTGGATTCTAAACATTCGGTAAAGACAATAATTGAAAAAACTGGAAATCCAAACATTAAATATATGCACCTGGATTTGGCAAGCTTTGCATCAGTGCGTAAGTTCGCCGCCACCTTGAAGAATGATGAAAAACGGCTTGATATTTTAATCAACAATGCTGGCTGTGGGGGATTTAATACAAAAAGTGAAGATGGAATCTATAAAGTCCTACAGATTAACTATTTGGGTCACTTTTTGCTGACTCATTTACTGGCATGTAAGTCGACACAATTCAATACTCAATAAAATATGTATTTAATTGTATCATGCTTGATAGCACTACTGAAAGAGACAAAAAAATCCCGAGTTGTGTTTGTGAGTTCATTATTGGCGTTCACAAACGATCTTAAAAGTGGCGATACAATTAACAGATTGACAAAATTGCCGCATTTTGATGAAACATTTAATTATGGCAACTCTAAAGCTGCTATGCTCGCATCTGTAAATATATTTGCCGAGCGGTTTAAACAACATGGTGTCCTTGTCGCTGCAAGTCATCCAGGAATCGTCGATACTGGAATATTTACAACTTGTGTCACAAACACAAAAAAGAACGACTTTAAAATGCGCCTGTTTTATGGATTCATTTTTATAATTGTCAAATTAGTTGGAAAGGTCAGTCCAAAGTCGCAAAACATTGCATCACAAATTAAAACAATTTATGCCATTTTCAGACACCAGTTGAAGGTATTCAAAGCACATTGCACTGTACTTTGGCATCCAAAGTGCAACCTGGTGCTTTCATCGTTGATTGCATGAGTTTCCCAAAACCGTGGATGTTAACCGACGAATTTTGCAAAGAAATATGGGCTGAAAGTTTGCGTCTCGCTGCCATCAGCGAAGATGAAGAAATTAAATAAATGCGTTATTATTATTGTTTTAGACGCATAGAAAATTTAATCAAGTGATGGCATCAATTTACATGATATTAATTAAAAAATACTAAACTAAACTACAGTTAATAACATCAAAATCAATGTCACGGAATAACTTAAATAATCACAATTCACACTTAAATCAGTATATGAATGATCGAAACTAGGCATATAAAATTCAAGTCGGTTGAACTCAATGGATTGAACTGCTGCGCATTATCCGCCCCCGCACTTAAAATATTCATATATCATTCTTAACAATAATATTAATATCATTTTATGTATAGGCACATTCGAGTTTTGCGATTTCGGTTTTAAATGGCTCCTCGGACCACGAATGCGTGCATGCTCTTGTAGAAACATTTCATTTGAAAGAAAATCAATGCTTAAACTGTTGGTGATGAAATGAACAGTCGTCAACACGACCCTTGTAGTCCGAATTTTCATAGATATCATATGTATATATACAAATTCTACAAACCTTACATTAATAGTCCTTAGTGTTATTACTAACGTGTGTTTAGGGTGTGTGTATGTGTGTATGTGAGTGTCCCGCCCATTATACACTTTTGGTTCAATTGAGAATGATATGCTGGCTGTGATAAGTATGTCCAAGCTGCCGACCTTAGACTGAAGTTTGCTGCACGCACTTATAGTTCAGCGGTTTCATTTCGCCTTCGCATTCAGAATCTTCGATTTCGCAGAGATTTGAAAGATCGTCGTTGCTTCCCCCACATCCGTTCAACAATGAACGCTGTTCTTCTGCAAAGAATAAATAAATATTCATCAATTTAATATTGACTATTAAATACACACGTACCTAAAGTTGTAATTATTGATCCAACGTCATCATCGTTGCTGCGATTACGATTGCTGGGAAAACCATACGACTCGATCTCTTCGGATTCACCATCAGGGCTGGGTAAACAGTCGACTTCGCTGGGTATATTGAATGAATGATCTGGCAGGTAGGAGTTCGGATGACGCGTATAATCTGTACAAACACAATTTAAATAAATTGCTTGTTGAATATACAATAAAATATTAAGTTTGGTAAGTGATTAACAGTCGATTCACAAGACAATAATTACTTACTTGGCTTCACTATAAAAGGCACTGTAGTGCAGCATGTACAAACAAAACCAACACATATAGCTACAATTTCAACATGCAATATTTTAGTTTTTAGTTAGTTGCACTCTCAATTCAAACAACAATCAAGTAAGTGCGACTTACTAAAGTGCAGTCTCCCTCCACCAAACCCGCCCATGTCTTTGCGCCGCCTCGGGCGTGGATATGTTCAAATGAGAATGAAATATACCTGTGGTGATACGTAAAAATTCGTTGCCGCTGTCCAGCGCGTTCATGCTGGACTCGACGTCCTCGGAGAGCGCACCAAGCCTCATTTGCGCCGAATGGCAGCGTGACTCGTTGCTTTCATTGCTGTGGAAGCTGGAAGAGTCGTGCACCTCGCTGCCGTTCACCTCGGTGATTTTCTGCAGAGGCTGGCTGGCCCAATCTGAACAGTCCCACGCGTAAGCTACGCACTCGTCATGAAACAGCTCCGAGCTACCAACGATGTTATACTTACTGCCCGTGTGTCTGGCGACGTCCTCCGGCGGCTCGCCGCCCTGACCTCGTCGCCGCGACGATGCGTGATGTTGATGATAATGGCCGGCAGGATTGGCGGAACGACCACCGTACATGCGGCTGGGCGCCTCCTTGTGGTTGTCCATTTTGAGATCTAAAACACACCGGGCATATGAGTATTTAAAACAGCAAGTTATGCGAGCAAAGTATTAAAGAGAATGCATACTTAGACAAGGTCCTCAAAGTCCTCTACAATAAGCAAGCGTTGAGAGGCAAGGGCAAAAAAATGGTGAGTTTTTCTTTTTCATTTGCAAGAGACGGAGAGAGTTAAGAAAAGAATGTTAGGGCGAATTATTTTGCCAATTGTATGAGTTTATATTGTGGTCTAAATAATACAAAGTCCGCTTAAAAACTTACCGTTCTTAATTTTGGATTTGTCACTGAGATTCGTATGACTAAGTTGCATCTGTGTGGCCCAGGTAGTTTTCTCCGGTTCACAGTGATTGCTCACACCGCCTACTGGTTGGGCTCGGTTTAAATTCTTGACATAGTCCGGGGGGAAGTTCTCTAGCTCGTCGCCGGCACTACCATAGCTCCTCAAGGTGTCGAGATTGTTGTAAACTGGAGTGCAATTTGTCGTGTAAGGGTCGTTTGAGCTGGGTGTGAATGATAGTGGTCGCATACCCGCTGGTGGTTCCCGGTGATGATGGTTCACATCAAGATTGCTCATTTTGGAGCTGCGCTTGACGTCACCATGATCATGTCGATTGGAATTCAACACGACGTTCTTTGTGGGTTCATTCGCTCCACGATGGCGGCGATTTCGCTTACAGCGGCAAACCATACAGCAGATGCAAATTGTAGTAAGCAACAGCAAAAGAATAAAACATCCGACAAATATGTAGAACTGGTCCATGGTGATGTTAAAATTAGGGGATATTATTAGGGTTGTCGAGGGTAGAGGATTGCCGCATTGTGTACCAGTGGTGTTTTGTGGGCAAATGCATCGGAACGACCCAACTTCATTAATACATTGCCCGCCATTCAAGCAAGGAGCTGATTGACATTCATCCAGGTCAAACTCGCAATGTTCGCCGGTGAAGGAACGGCACTTACAGAGTGGTCCATCATCACCCTCTTCACAAACGCCGCCGTTTTTACAAGGATTTGGATTGCAATAACGGCCGTACTCGCATCGCTTACCGGACATAGAGAAGAGGCAATCGCAGGAATAATCACCTAACTTTGGTATGCATTTGCCACCATAGAGACACGGAATTGAAGCGCATGGATTCGAATCCATTTCACAGAGCGTACCCTTATAACGGTCATGGCACAAACACTCGTACCCTCCAATTGGTGTCAGCGATTCTTTACAAGTGCCACCGTTCATGCATGGTTGTGATCCACACGCCCCTAGTGGTTTTATGACCGCCGAAGCATCACAACTAAACTCGACATTAGCAAACCGTTTCAAAACTGCCACGCTACTATCGCCGCTCTTATGCAGAGGCACTGAAACTCGTGAAATGCGCACGTCATCCATACAGCCCGAAAATCCTCGCTGCACATCTTCGAACCCAAGAATAGAAGGATGTTGATGAACTTCAGCGCCCAAATAAATTTGGTCGCCCTGCAGATTCAAGATGTCGCTCACACCCGGTGCGGAGCCTTGCGCTGTATGTATGCCATCGACCGTTAGTCTCGCGCTGTTTTTCTCGCGTTCCAATCTAATTTCATGCCATTTTCCATCTGATACGTAAATGTTAGATGCGCTCACCCGTACTACGCCTTCACCGCTTCCCAATTCAAAACGATACTGCACAGCGCCATTCACAAGTTCCAGAATGTTATAGTCCACTTTACCGGATGCATACATTAGATTGCCAGTCGGTTGCAGAGTTCTTATTCGCAAACTTAAGCTAAGCTGATCTTCAATAGACTTTTTGTTGATAATTCTATATTGCGAGTAACTCTTTCCACTAAAGCTGATCGGATTTCTCGCAATATAGCACGTTTCATCATGGCAATTCGAAATATCAACTTCGCAAGTAGCTCCAGCATATCCAGGCGGGCACAAGCAGGAGTATTCCTGATTGGAGGCATCGGGGACGCAAATTTTAAACGTTGGGCAAGGGTCTCGAGCACACTTGTTGACGATTGTATCGCATCGATCCCCACCGTATCCAAGATTACAGATGCATTCTAATCGTTGTTCATGTTGGGCCGATACAAAGCTGGTAATTTCTGTTGAAATTGGTTTTATTTTCGATGTGTCCAACACATATCGATCTTGACACTCGCCGTTAATGCAATAGTTGTTCGTGCATTTCAAGCGCACAATTTCCTCCACAACTAATTTTGTCGAGTCTTCCAGTTCCCCGAGATGGTCATTCATAGCTTTACGCAGTTCGTCAGCTGGATAAAAACCATGCTCGGGTTTTCTCACTGTTAGTAACACATCGAGATCTTTTTCGACTACTATATGCCGTTTGGCGCGTAGATCCATGAGGTGATCGTTGGCAGGCTGGACGCTGACAATAACGACGTCCTTAAGCTTTGAATTCATTGCGTTGCGTACGGCGCGGACAAACCCTTTGCGATGACTAAGAACAAAAGCTTCGGGGCTTAACTCACGGAAGCGTATGGCGACCGCGTTGGCAAGCATTTCTTCTGTGACGATTTCCACATTTATTTTGACGATCGTATGCGCGTAATATTTGCCGTCCGTGACAGACACATTAAGGCGATAATCTCCAACATCGAGGCGCGGCAACGCCGTGAGTGTGCCGTTCGTGCGATCAATTTTAAAGTATTCCTGTGTAGGATAATTTATGCCCATTGTCGGCGAGAGCGAATACGTCAGAATGTCGTATTTGTCCTGATCGTTTGCATGCACGTTTCCGATAACGCCACCTGGGTACTCGTCCAAATAAGAATTGATGTTTATTTCAAGCGGTGTGATTATTGGAGGATACTGCGATTCTTCGATGACTTTAACGACAACCCACGCGTCCGAGTACAGTGGAGGCGATCCGTTATCAAACACACGAATTTGCAACAAGTAGGTGTCTCTAATTTTGTGATTAAATTTGGTGGCTGTGCGTAGAATTCCATCCTGCTCCAAGCGGAAAATATTTCCTTCGTTACCCGTCAGGAAATCATACGTGTACGGTTTGGTATTCGGATCGGTGTCGTTATCGGTGATGAGGAATTTGATAATCGGATAACCGATAGGTTTGTCTTCTTGTATCACGCATGAGTAATTAGTTTGGGAGAATGTCGGCGGATTGTCGTTCGCGTCAGATATCTCGATGTTCACATTAACCTGTCGAGACAGAACAGGAATGCCATTGTCCTTAGCGATGACTTCAAGGACATAAATAGAAATTGCCTCACGATCTAAACGGTTCGCCACTGAAATGTACCCGCTTTCGGGGTCGATTACAAACTGTTCGTGGTTGTCACCTTTCAAGATGGAATATTCAACGCGGCCATTGTCGTTGCTATCCAGATCAGTTGCAGACACTTGCAGGATCTTATCATTGATCTGGGCGTCTTCACGTATTCTTGCAGTATATCCGCTTTGGGCAAAAATAGGCGCGTTGTCATTGCAATCAACTACCGTGATATTAACCGTTGCAACATTGCTTAAAGGAGGAATACCTCCATCGACGGCTTGAATTGTGAGGAAATAATCACGTGCGCGCTCGAAATCCAACATTTCCGCAATTGTCATTACTCCCGATTGTCTGTCAATAGCAAACTTTTTATGTTCATTACCGCCGATAATAGAATAATAGATATCAGCATTCACGCCAGTGTCCTTCGATGTGGCAAGAACTCGCACTACTTCCGTGCCAACAGCGTCAATTTCCGGCACCACCGCGTAGTAATATTTCGAAGCAAATTCAGGCGGATTATCATTAATATCCTGAACGTTTATGATTAAAGAAGCAATGCTGGCTTGCTGTGGTGTACCCTGGTCGGTCGCTTGTACGGTGAGATTGTACAGTGCCTTTAATTCTCTGTCCAATGGCTTGGCCAAAGTAATGATGCCACTATCAGATGAAATTTTAAAGTGGTTGTTGTAGGAATCAATGAACGCATATTTTAGTTTTCGATTTATACCAATATCCGCATCGGTAGCATGCACTTTAGTTACCAGTGTACCCACTTCCACGTCTTCTGCCAGGCTAACCGAATAATTCGGCAAAGTGAACCTTGGCGGATTGTCATTTAGATCGGAGACGAGTAGTTCAATTTGCGAGGAACACTCCCATTCCGGGTGTTCTCTATCTTGCACATGCGCAGTTAACAAGTACTTACTCACTTTCTCTCTGTCCAGATGGGTGATAGTTTTAAGATAGCCGGTGTCTTTGTCAAGTGAGAAGTGATCGGAGCTGTCGCCGGTAAGGATATAGCGAAGGCGCGAATGCTCTTGTTCATCAATATCGTTGGCGAGCACGTTCAGCACCAGAGAGCCGGGAAGAATGCCCTCGCTGAGAATCTGTTTGTATCGGTACTTCAAACAATACGGTGGATTGTCGTTTGCGTCCAGTACCTTAATCGACACGTGCGTATTATCGGCAAAGAGTCCGTCCGTGACAAGGATATTCAGATCGTAATCCGGCACCGTCTCGCGATCCAGATCCTTGACCACGTACAACTCGCCTGTTTGTCGAATTTGGAACTGGGAGCCCGGGTCGCCGGCAGTAATATAGAACTCCACGGGTGTATTCAGATCAATATCAGCATCGGTGATCTCAAGCAGGGAAACAACCGTGCCAGGCAGGGCGTCTTCAGGCACTGCAGTTTGATAGAACTTCTTCTTGAATTGCGGGGGGCTGTCATTGTAATCCTTGAGTCGAACGAAAACTGATGTGTGCGCGGAATATTTAGGACTGCCATTGTCTGTTGCGCTCACGTGAAACTTGTACTCGGCCTTGGCCTCCTTATCAAGAGAGACAAGTGTCGTGATCCAACCAGTGAAGGCGTCAATGGCAAAGACATTCATTGCCTCGCCAGAATCGCTGCCGAAACTATAGCGCACCTCACCGTTGCTTCCCTGATCTTTATCATGAGCAATAACTACAAAACAAATAATTTAATAGTAATAATAATTAGTTTCTGATAGATGTAAGCGATTATAAAGTTACCTTTCAATATTGAAGTGCCTTCCACAACGTTTTCGGCTAAATTCAATATGTAGGGATTGCTCTCAAATTGCGGTGAATGGTCGTTCTCGTCTAAAACTTGGACGGAAATTTCACACAACGCGGTTAACGGTGGACTTGATTCAGTTTCGGCAAGTATTCCAATCAGATGCGAAACTTGTGCTTCAAAATCGAGCGGCCGGGCCAATGCTACCTGCCCTTGTGCGTTGACGACAAATTGTGGCTCGTCCTCGGACCCCGAGATGATTTTATACGTGACCGAAACATTGGAAACCATCTTGAGGCGAGCAATCACCGTGCCGGTAACGGAATTCTCGGAGTAGAAGAACTTGTCATCCTTGCGTTCGAAAATCGGCGGGCGATCCTTTGGTCCCATAATGAGTATGTTCACAGGCACGTCGGCATGTCGCTTTGGTTCGCCCCTATCCGTTGCTCGAACGAAAAATTGGAAAACTTGTCCCTCTATACGCGTGCATAAAATGAAACAAGAAAAAATATGATAGAGCGCATTGCAGATAAACATCAATTCAATTTACGTGCGGACTTACCGTATTTGGCGGCGTTGCGAGCCAGCGAGATGCCGCCCTCTTTGGGATCGATCGCGAAAATGTCGGTGACGCCGGACGATTTATCTTCATAAATCGAGTAGAGTAATCTGGCGGCTAATCCCTCGTCCGGATCGGCGGCGCGCACGTGCACAAACGACGTGCCTATGTTGTAGTTGGACGGCACGCTGGCCTTATATTCGCGCAGATGGAATTTGGGCGCGTTGTCGTTTTCATCCATGACACTGACACGCACGGTGAGGAAGCCGCTGCGTCCGCCACCGTCCGTCGCCATCACAGGAATCTCGTATGTGCGCTGCTTTTCTCGATCCAGGCGAGCTTTAGTCGTAATGCGGCCGCTCGTCTTATCGATGGCAAAGGTTTCACCCAGGAGGTCCGAGTGAATAGAGTAGGTGATGGCGCCAAAGTCCCCAAAGTCACCGTCCAGGGCTTTAACTTCCACAACAAACGAGTTGGTGGGTTTGTTCTCTAGCACCTGCACGTCCATCAGTACATCCGGGAAGACCGGGGAGTGCAAGTTTGCCGGAAGCAGTTCAACTTTGACTCGAGCGAAATTTGTATACACACCGTCCGAGACAGACACGTTGAGAATCATATGTTTCTGCTCGCCGAAATTGGCCAAGTTGGTCAATGAGATAATTCCGGTGTCTGGCTCCATGCTGAATGTTTGTTGTTCGTTGCCAGCGACAATCGTATAACGCAGACGGTTTTGATCCTCGGCATCTGGATCACTCGCTGTTACGATGGTAACAAATTGATCGCGTTTTGCATATACGGATATTCCACAGAAATATGAAGGCTGCTCAAACTTGGGCGCATTATCATTCATATCCACAACTACAAGTAAACAAATCCCACGCATTCAGAAAACAGATCATAAAGGTGAAAAGCTACGCTTACCTTGAAGCCACACGTGTGAGGTGCTAGACAAGCTTGGGACTCCATGATCCGTCGCCACGACAACAAAATGATGACTGTGAGCTGTCTCATGGTCTAAACTCTGCTTCAAAAAGACCGTTCCTTCGGTTGGATCAATGTGAAATATATCGGTACTATTTTGCAAGTCCTTCTTGATAGAATAGGTGATTTTCTGATTAATTCCGGTGTCGTTGTCGTTCGCGACAACTGTTAAAATTGGTGTACCAAAGGGTGCCGCCTCAGAGATCGAAACGTTGTAACTCTCCTGTGTGAATTCGGGCGGACAGTCATTTACATCTTCCAGAACCACCGAGACAGGAACTTCGGCATAAACGCCCGAGACCGAATCAGTCGCTCGTACAATTAATTCGTACTGCTGTTGCTCTTCATAGTCGAGTTCATCGACAACGGAAATTACACCTGTGAAGTGAAGATATTGATCTGTTTTGAGGAACGCGCTTTTACACAAGAGCAACATTAATGCGGCAAACACACAACAAGCACATTCAGCAAAATGTCGACTTCCTGCTAGAGCTAGAGGCGAATGAATGTGAACATGCATGTCATAATGGTATAAATGTAAAGCGTGCGAAATGGTCTTTCGATCAGTTATTGAGCGTACGTATTAAAGCGCAATTAATTTTGGTAAACTAAAATACTCACAAGGACCATTGTTACTGTCTGGAGCTGTGAAAAGTAAAGGGTACGTTTAGTAATTTTAAACTTCCACTAATGTCTAAAAATCTGTTTTCAGTGGTATTACAAGAACTACTACTGCTCCAAAGAACCCAAAATAAAACCGTCAAATATTATTTTAACACATTGATTAATAAATGGTTAATTTGGCTGACTGCGCTTACTACTAGTGAAAGGAGTGCAGTCAAAACAAATTGAATTCGCACGATTTGCAAAACTTGTTTCCCTCGTCGATGCGCCAGAGGGTTCGCTAGATTCGTCTCCTGTTAGATCACAATTTGGGAACGACAACGCAATGAAGAAACGAGAGTGTGTCGAATGTTCGTACTGTTTATGTTTAAAGTTTGAAAAGCAACGTACCTGTATTGAAGTCCAGCGCAAACTCCTCCAGTTCGTTTCCCTTGACGATGCTGTAAATTAATTTACGACCCAGCGGAGATTCGGCCTGCACGGCTAACGCTAGCGGCGAATGCAACTCGAAGTTTTCCGGTATCGACTCGGAATAGAATTGCTTCTTGAAGACAGGCATCGACCGATCGATGACCTTCACATGAACCGTCACATCCGTACGGCATGGGGTCATTCCTAAATATTTTTATAATTATAAAAACGGAAATAATAGTGTTAGCAAATGGTACCTTTATCATAAGCTGCAATAAGTAATTCATATTCCCTATTGTGGCCCTCTAAGCTTTGCTTAATTTCAATGTCGCCACTTTCTCGCTGCACTTTGAAAAGTTCACCGTGTCCTTTGATAAGCTCATAACGCACTTCGCCATTATCAAAGCTATCCATATCGATGGCGTGCACTTTGGCGATAATGCTGCCGCGTTTGTCATCGACTGACACAACGGCATAATAAGGTAGATTGACGAACATTGGGCAATTGTCGTTTTGGTCCATTACCGTGACGTTGACGATAACATGAGCCACCCGTGGCCGTTCACGGTCTGGTGACGCACTGCGCGCTTCTACAATAAGCTCATAATGTTCCTTTGTCTCGCGATCAAACGGCACCCCGGTGGTGTGTATCACTCCGGATGTCAAACCGATTTTGAACAAATTCGTCGGATTCAGGATGCGAAATTCGAGGTGTTCATTTAATGCACTGCCGAGAACATTCACCACACATACTGTTGCCGGTTTAGTGACATTCTCCATAATAGACCCTTCATAACTAGCCTTTTGGAATATTAAGCCTGAATTCTCAGATTGCTCAACTCGGATGTAGATCTTGGTGACGCTTGAAAACTTGCCATCGGAAACACGTACTTGCAGCTTGTGTGTTGACTTCATGTTATCGGGATCTAACACGGTAATTAGTCCACTCTTAGCATCAATACCAAAGATGCCAGCTTTGTTACCGTCTAAAATGTCGTAGCGTAGTTTGGTATTTGAGGGACTATCAGGATCAGTGGCATTCAGTTGAACAACAGCTACGTTTTTATATGTAGGTAGAAGCAGTGTGACATTGTAGTAGGAGTTTGTAAATTTCGGTGGGCAATCATTGATGTCAGTGATGGCAATGTCCACACGAGCGGTAGTTTCAGAAGACAAACGTGGTTTGCCCTTGTCCGAGACCTGGACATGGAAGGTAAACTTCTGGAAAGCTTCGTAATCTAGAAGACGCGTTGTGCGTATAGCGCCTGTGTTGGCGTCGATATGGAAGTACTGACGCGGTAAGATTTCAACAATGTCGTAGTGCAACAACGCGTTCACTTCGGAATCAGCGTCCAATGCTTTGATAACCAATGGATCACTAGTGTTGGTCAAAATTAGCGAACCAATCGAGGCTGATTCAGGTATGGTGCCCGTGTACACCGCTTGTAGGAACTGTGGGGCGTTATCGTTCTTATCAAGAATATGAACGATCACATTGCATTTGGCAGATGCGCTTGCCTAATATAAAAGTACATTAAAAATATATAGAAATAAATCTAAGAAATAAACTCACCATATTGACAGCTATCACAGTAAGATTATAAAACTTGGTGGTCTCGTAGTCTAACAATTTCTGCGTAATAATAACGCCCGTACTCGGACTGATAAGAAAAGCATCATCGGTGTTTCCCTCTAAAATATCGTACTGCAGAGAAGAAGTGCTACGCACGTTTAAGTGCGCAACGTAGCTGCCGAGTGGCTTGTTCTCATAAATCTCAGCGGCGACTTCCTTCTCGACGAATCTAGGCGGTGCGTTATCAGCCATCGTGAGCATAATGTGAGCTGGGACGGTAGCTGAAAGCGGTGGTTGGCCGTGGTCTGTTGCTTTAATGTACAACGTATACTCTGTGGCAGTGGCCAGATCCAACTCGCGTGCTACGCGTATGATGCCCATGTCCGGGTCGATGCTGAAGACGTTACCAACATTCCCAGTGGTGATTGAGTACGTAACGCGTGCGTTCTCACCCTTGTCGTGGTCCACCGTAAAGGCACGGAGTACAGCACTCCCAACCGCCGCCGATTCGTATACTTTTCCGACCAGAATTTGCTCCGAGAACTGCGGAATGTGATCGTTCTGATCGTGGACGATAATCTGCACGCGGGCATAGTTACGCTTCGCTGGAGTGCCGCCATCGCGGACCATCACGGTGAGTAAATGATCCGCGAGTGTTTCGCGGTCTAAACTATCCGCGAGCGTTATGGCACCCGTGATTGAGTCAACAGAAAATACATATAATGAGACGTTATTTCTCGCCGCATGCATAGTATAAATAAGCTTGCCGCCCTTGTCTTTATCAGTGGCTTTTAGTTTCAAGATTTCTGTGCCCACGGCGACTGCCTCAGAAATTTCCACTTTGTACAGAGAACTGCTAAACTCGGGCATATTGTCGTTGATATCCAGCACGTTAATCTTGATGGTGCCGTAGGTGGTATGCACCGCATCACTAACGCTCACGTTTAAAATATATTCACGTTGCATTTCGTAATCGAGCTGCTTCGCCAACAATAGATTACCATTATCGCGACCAATGTAGAATTCATTGCGTGGATCTCCGCCAACAATGTCGTACCAAAGAGTGTCATTGTCCCCATCCGTCGCTTGCACCAATCCAACATGGAAGCCAACTTCATCGCTTTCAGTTACCTGTATCATCTGCGTCTGTGCGTTTATAACAGGCACGTGATGCTTGGATTTTTGAGGAATTGTTATTGTACTGATAGCAATGCGACACGTGGCGGACTTGCCGCCACCATCTGTAGCGCGTACGTGTAACTCATATTCTTCTCCTTGATGGAAACCCGGATGTGCATAGACCATTCCAGTCGAATTATGAATCTTAAATTTGGTTTTGCCCCTGCCAGATTTGATGCTGTATTGAATTTCGGCATTCCGTCCGATATCCTTGTCGAATGCTAGAACCTAAGACGAGACATACGCATTCAATTCTCGAAACATTTCGGAAATAGAATTGCAGAATTATGACACTTCTACATTAATATGCTTCTCACTTCCATCATCGTCTGCGTTTTGAAGCAGTGAATTATGTGGATTTATGAGCGCTGAACTGCAAGTGGTATTAACAAAGTTTCGCATTGTGGTGCATTGAAACTATATCAACACAAGTGAAGTGTGCCGCTCGAAAAAAACCGGATATTAGTCGATGTCAAGTATATACAGAGCAGGAAACTTGCTGCTATTCAGGCTGAGTACTGAGCTGTTCGTGTGTGAGAAGTTCCCGAGCGGAAAGTCCCAAACACAATATTGGTCAAAGTGGTTAGAACTTATTGCGGATTAAGCTAGGAATAAACCGTTAATACTATTTTAGCGAGACCACGAGCGCACTATGTCAATATCTAGTTGTATCGAGAGTGAATAAAAAAATTACTTGTACGACAGGATCAAGTCCTTCCACATCAGATGCAGTGAAACGCTCCCAATCTTCTTCGTTTGCATCCGCTCCGTCGAAGTCATCAAAACTGGGCGTGTCATTCTGCAAGAAAAATATTTATCATTCATTTCAATTTTTTGTCATTAAAATGAATAATAAACCTGAAATGATGAACCTTCCTCATCGTTTTCGTCAATATCAATGGGTTGGAAGTTTTGGTCGTTTTGTATTCCCGCAAGCGCTGGCACTTGCATCTTGTAGAAAGTCTCTTGGAATTCGGGCGCATTGTCGTTCACGTCTACCACAGTCACTACCACTCGAGTAGTCGAATGTAATGCAGGCGTGCCATTATCCGAAATATGCACCTGAGAGAAATGAATAATGTTTACTTAAAATTTAATACAAACCGATGAAATCTGCTTGATGAATGTTGCAGAACAAACGCCAAAGACATCCTGTTGATAAGCTAATAATTTCACGCGTGGAAAATTAAATTTCGCATTTTCTTGCACGTGAGCGCTGCTCGAGTTAGCGCCAACACAGAAAACGACAGCTTATTCAAAAGGTGCGCGAGTTTCTGAGTTAATTAAATTGCTAAACGAAAATTCAAAATCACCCGCGCGTAAACAAGCGATAAACATAATATTGCTTCGTATAATTCCGAATATTACATAAACAATTAATTCACGAAAACGAAATCGCATCAAGTGTAATTTTTCGTATTTTTTGAGTTACGCATTGAACTCATAAATATTATGTAAATACGTAAAAAGCACGAAAACAACGCCAAAAAACGAACCGTTGTCGCCTGCGTATTTTTCCTTTTTTATAATTCACAGTATGTGTACGCATGCATGGCGTCGTAGAGTATGCATGATGACGGGGAGTGAAAACACGCCGAAAAATATGTAATTTTTCATTTGTATTCGCCGCGAGCGTGCGGCGCTCACGTAGTACGAGAGGGCTTATTCCGCTCCAAATGCAAAAGTTTTTTTTCTTTACGACTTCGTCTTCGAGACGCGCGCCGAATGATCGGGGGTTCACTTTGGGCACGGGCTGGCTTAGAAAAGCGTAGGCCCGTTCGCAACACTCTCACTCAAAGAAAGTACAGACACAAACGTCTGTTTTCAGATTCAGGTTTTTTCTTCTCGTTACGAACGCCAAATTTTCTTGCAAATATGCTATTAAGAATGAAATGTACGTACCTCCAGGATGTGTTCATCCTGCGTCTCTCTGTCGAGCCGTCGTACAGTCGTTGTGATATTTCCTGCAAGCAAATAAAATTAAACATTTTCCAGATACGCAAAAAAAGCGCGCAAAACGTCGAAAGAAATTAAATATTCCGACGTGTTCTTAAAGTATTAGCGTGCGGCCACAAAGCTGAACCCTGCAGTCCCAACGCATCCAGCCAGCAGTAGCCTTTTTCTTGCTTTGTTTAATCGTTCGTTCATTCCGAGCTCTTTTGCAAACGAGCAAAAAGCTTTCTTCATCAGCAAGAAATCGAAACGACCGACCGGTCGACGCAACAAAATATGTCCCGTAAGTCGGCAGACGTAAACCGATATTAAATTCGAAGCTTTGTCATTATACAGAGTGTCTGTCAAAATGAGTTGCGAGTGAAGTCAGTAGCAAGTTAAACACGCTAAGACTTTCCCCTGACAGCCCTGTATTATGTATGAGTATAGCAATAGTATAGAATATTAGTAAATCAGCTTAGCAAAGAATGGGTTGTGAGCGAATATTAAAGCCGCAAGGATATAGAAAAGCTCGCGAGAGAGTAACTACAGAGAAAAAACGAAACAGAAAAGAAATTGCCACACTGCCAACTGCAACTGAAAGAATCTTCACGTCTCGTAGGAGTGTTTTTTAAAGCTCACTTAGAGCCTTGATTTGCCGTGACAGCATAACAAAATGTATAGCCGAGATAATTTCGGCTGAAATTTTTATCGCTGTAAATTTCAGCACGCAAACGCAGATATATTATGCGGTTCATTATTTCTGCGGGTCGAGGCAAACACTATGTTTACGTTATGGCAACAGGAAATTAATACCAATTTACCAAAGTGCAGGTATGAGGCCCAACGCGATTCGCCATGCAGCTTTTTTGAACAAATGGAAATTTTTGCAGCGAACGTGGAAAGCTATAATTTTCGTGGAAATTGCGTGACAATCCTAGTCGCCGAATGCACAACAGAATCGAACACGTAATGCAATTTTCTATTCGTTTGCAAATGCACGTAGCGTTATTCCTCGCGGAAGAAAACAAACTGCCAAAAAATTAGGACGATTTGGCGCACACTTTAATTTCCTCTGACATTTCGTTCGGTATGATGGGCGCGGCGATAAAATCAACGCAAAAAAATATCATGCTGACGAAACCGCATAACTCATTTAGGTTCGTTAGCGTTCCATCGCGTCGACGTTGATTTGCAACGCTGCGATGCGTACGATGTGCGCACAGTATGTGGAAAACGTAGATAAACCGTTCATTATCAACGGTGCAATAATTCAAATACTAATTAAACGAATGTGTCTCGCGTACAGCGACCCGGGTGTTTCCAATCTAACTCGGGCCCAACATTACTCTTTCAGGCTTGCTCAGAGAAATTGGTTTAGCGCCACACATGTGGAAGTAAATAACGTAATAGTGTTGTAATTATTTAACAAATTGATTTTTTCTTTCGAAATCAATCAACAAAATTGTAACTTTTTGAAAAGTTGAAAAACATCTTTTTAGAGTGTTGGTAAACTTTTTAATGCATTTTGAATGGTTTCATAAAAGTGTCGGTCGGCTGGTGGACGACAGCATCGCCATTGCGTTGAATTTCAATCGAAAATCAGATTCCATCGTCCCGGTTGGTGAGTACGTGCACGGCTGCTGCGTGCCTCATCGTCAAAACGCGCCAAAGTGCCTAAACTTTTCTATCCATCCGGACGCGGACAGTTGCAGGATAGAATTGAGTACAATGCGAGCGTGATACGTGAAAGCAAACATCAAACACGCCACGTCCAGGACACTCAAAAATATTCACGCGCAGGGAAGTAGTCAGTGCACGCCGAGAAAGAAACAAAAAAGTTTTCGATTCCAAGTTCTAGCCGAAACGACGACCGAAACTTTTACCCTCACGTTGTGCACTCGCCACAAAATTTAAGCATCGAGCGCGCGCTGGATTGGTAGCGCAGGCTAGCGGCTCAGTTTCCCTAAGAGAAAATTGATTTAAATTGTTGTGTGCGCTGGTTGTCGTTGTGCTCGGGCGATATAAAAATTTAATCAAACGCAAGCTCCGGAGCCTCTGCAGCACTAACGCATTTTTCTGTATCGTATTTTCGTTACCGGTTTTTACGACTTTTTTATGTCTATATTATTTTTCCATGCTGGATCGTCCTTCGTCGGAGTAGCCTCTTTGCGAGGTCAAAGGTAAAATGAACAAGCCCGAAAAAAAAAACACATGAAATAGTACTACGTGCGCACGAGTGCTCCAGTTAATTATACATTTCAAAACAAATCAAGCAACTCATCAGTTTTGCGCCATGTGAAAATCCATATACACTCATCGTAGAAATTCCACATTGTGGAGGCGCCGCAGTGAGCTTAAAGTTTGCCGCCAAAGTTTCGTAATTTATTTATTGACGTTCATTGCTAACCAGCTGAAAGCACCGACAGCCGCTGACCAATAATATCGGAACGAAACGATTTAGAGAATCACGTCGCAACGTCGCTCGCGTGCAATAAAAGCACCATCATAAAAATCAAATAAAACTTTGCTTCCTTGCTATTTTGTAGCTTGAGAACAAACAAAACTAAAGCAATTCTTCAGGCTTAAACAAACGAATCTAATTGATCTAGCGTGAGACAGGCAAGCAATTACTAGTTGAATACTTGAGTAGTCAAAAACATTTTCGATTTCGTAACAAGGATTCATAGAATAAATAATAATAAAAAGTTTGATTAAATTCGATAAAAGTCAATTTGCAAAATTGGTGTCGGCGCAACATTCGCAACGCTGCATCGCACAGCACCCCGCCTTCCTTTTTCGTCCTGCGGATGATTGAAAAGGCATGCAAATTACATTTCCTCCTCATTGAACACGTCCATCGTTTCGCCGTCGTATCTGCGGATGCGCAGACGTAAGTGTTGCATGGAAAATCTATCAAGCTAAGAATAAGGCAACAAAGGAATGTTATGAATCTTAGCTGTTTTTTAACGCAACTGCTTGTGAGGAGAAAAAGTGGAGTTGATTTTGTCCGCCACATGCAATTCGCATTGCATTATTTACAATGTTGGTTTTACGACTCGGGTTGCTTCTAGCGCATCGCGTCAGCCGACACGACCGGATGAAGAATAAATGATCGTAAAAACATGACGCGCCAGACTTTAACATTCCTAGGATATTTCCTCTAATATTAGACACATAAATCGAATTTACGAACTGTCACAACAAGAAAATAATGCGTATTGAAATTCTCTTTCCAAATGGTTAGTTTTTATAATTCCTACGATTTTTTTTTAAAACTAAAATTACATTACTTACCGTTGTTGGTGTTAATAGTGAAGAATCCTTCCGGATTCCCACCAATGATCGTGTAGGTGATGCGCTGCTTGGGATCGGCGTCCCGGTCGGTAGCGCTGATTTGCGCCACCGGCGTTCCCTCAGGACTATCCTCAAGCACGCTCGCATAGTAGACCGCCTTCTCGCTCAGTGGCACATTATCATTCTCGTTGATCACGTCGATGTACACCTGCAAGCAGAAATCAAAAATTAGATTACGTTCTACCGTCTCTACCCGACCATCATCCACTAGAGCCTTAATTGCGCTTAATAAGTCGAACTAAATTTCAGCGCTCCCGCAGGACTCGCCTACGAGATGATGATGATGTCGACCGAACATCTAAACTTCTTTGAAGCCGGAAACCGCCAACAAGTTTACCTAGTTAAGCGGAACGAGTTCGTATATAATATAAAAATAAACAAACTCACAACTTGCAACTAAAAATCGCAAGTTCGCAATATGAGTGAACAAGATACAAGGTGAATTTGTGAAGGTGGTTTTCGCTCGCGGCTGCGGAACTAATTTCGCGCAAGTTCCCTTACGAAATAGGTAACAGTCTTATACAAGCGCATAAAATCCAAGCTGCGAGATGATGGTATTAACTGGCATTAACTAATCCGCGTTTTAATGAATGTTATCAAGTGGCGCGCGCGGTGGCTGTGTGTTTGCGGGAGGATCGCTTTGGATGAAGGTGAAAATGCGTAATTGCGACCGCAGAGTTAACAACCGCTAAGCGTCGTTTATGCGTTCGTCGTTTCACCGATAACTACCCTTGCGTCTTCTAACATACATGTGCGTTATGCCTAATCAATAATTTCCACTCATAAGATGCGCTAGGAATGAGCCCATCGTCATTTTAGATCCAGATCCAAAGTGTAAATCTTCCCCGTAAAAAACTGTTCAACACACATCCATAAATCTATTTTCACATTACGTCTCACAGCAGGAATGAAAGGAACAAATAGAAACGCGTAACAAAACCATTGCGTGTTGCGGTACTTCCCATGCGTAGCAAGGGTGAATAATTGAAAAATGATTTATTCCCAAATAATGCAAATACAGCCGCGGGAACTTCGCAGCGTTCCAACAACACTTGTTCATATTGACAAACATATTAAAGTCGAATATGCATATTCTGTCCAGGTCGAACGAATAGCAGATGAAACATCAACCTGCCACACCCAGTTCCCGCCCGTGTCAGGTTAAAGAAGGAAAATCGAAAACACAGTGTAATAATATTTAATAATTTAGTAACTCGTCTGTCGCGTCGTATACGAGCGCGCACATCACGTATTTTAAGTTATGCCATTAATGTCGTCGAAATTTCATACGGGTTCTCGGAAAGTCGCGAAATTCGAAACGCACTTAGCAAACACATGTGACTCACGCAACAAATTTACCCGGAAAAGCTGACTCAAAGGTCTAAAATGTTGAGATAATTTTAGCTTTTTAACGCTTTCCATTTCGTTCAAAATATAACTAGTATCTACGCTTTCAACTTTTACGAATGTCGATATAAATAATAATATCGCAAACTAATAAGATTTGCATCCTCGCATCAATTCTCACCTTCTTGGTGAACTTTTTTTTATAAGTAGATGAATTTTGCAAGCATAAAAGTTTCATCCTTTTTTGCATGTCGAGCACTTTTAACGATCGTTCGCTCATAAATTTTTCTTTTTCCTGGCTGGCGCAAGGGTAATATATGTGTTACGTTAACGATGTGACGAGCCTACTCGCCTCTGTCTGCCAGAGAGCGGAAAACGCGCTCCAAGTGAAAGTGGGGCGAAAACGAGGGGCGAACGGATGTGGAACGCATCAGCAGAAAAATTGCACGTGAGCATCCTTAACCTACGAAACTTCTAACCTACTTCTAAACGGACATAAAAGTTATTGATGTAAATATTATTTCGCAGTGTCGCAATGTGTAAAATTACACGCGCCAAAATCTCTGATACGTCCGTCTTTAACTGTAAGTTTATTTACAGAGGATGTGGGTCATTCCACGTCAAATCCTCGACAATATTCAGCGATTCCGGCATCGAAATACAGCGGATATGAACGCACATATTCTAATACTCTCATAACAAACACAATCCGGCATGCAGTTCGTAATGTTTACGTTTGGTGATTATTCGTGCCGCGGAGTTACCTACCTTCATATGCTAAACCCCAAGGACCATATGGATTCACTGCTTTGTTTTATTAGCAAACTTGAATGCCGTGCGCATCAAATATTCCAACGACCCTGACTGTCACTTATGCATTTGCCGGCAGCGGCACCCAAGTATCAGGTAGTGTGGTATTGCGCGCTGGGCCGCGTATCAACCGGCCAGGAAGCAACGAATCGGAAGCGCATTTATAAATTATCCTGCTTGGGGGTTCCGCAGCGGTGCAATGTTAATGGCGTTGTTCTTCGACAAACTGACGAGGGCGGCAAAGGACACCTCGTGGAAACTATGTTGTTCGGCGAGAGATATTTGCAGATCAGTAACAATTCAAACTATTCAACTATGCAATGCGATCCTCTGTATTCCGCAGGCGGTAAAGCACATCCCTACGATGCGCTGCCTGAAGGGTGGCGGCAGGCTCTACTCGTGAATTACCCGAAGGTCGTGAGAAACGCCCGGCGAAGGGCATGCAATTACGTGGTGGTTAAATAATTAAACCTCGAATGGCCGTTGGACAATTACGAATTGCGTTTGAAATATAAATACTCTCCGGTTATACCAACACCGGAAAAAAATGGAAACATCCCTTGTGGGCAACAGTGACCGTCTTTGCACAACACCACTTTACCATCACATACAGAAACGCAATAACGCGTCGTGCAACTTGTTTGTGTATTAATTACGCGACAGCGCATCTTCGTAAAACACGCCGATGAAAACTTTGCTATAACGATGCGACGCGACGACTCTAAACTTTCGAGCGAAGTTGAAAGCGAGCGAGCTTCATGATAAATTACAAAGTTACCGCATCTCGCCGGCGCAGAGAGCAACTAGCTGCGAGATTAATTAAACGAATGATTCTAATTGCGCGTCAGAAAAGAGAAAACCCACGCATTACGCGTCTTTGAGATGGTGGCGCTGCGACGTGTCTTTAGAAAACCAACAAATACACTCTAAATAGTTGTTTCACAAGTGCAAATATTCAAGTTGTACACAAGTAGTTTCTCTTATCTGCAAAACTATTTTACATATCACTGCCGTGCAATACACACATAATAAGAGAAGAGAAAATAATGAATTACTTTCGCGCATCTGGCCATTTTACAAAATAATCAGTTACTTGGGCAAAAAGTCTTACTTCTATCATTTGAAGTTTAATCACTTAAGAACTCACCTCAACACTGCTGTATAAAGGTACAACACCGTGATCCTGAGCGTAAACGGTGAGCCAGTAATGCGTTTTCGTTTCGTAGTCGAGCATCGAGAGCGTTCGAATTGTGCCTGCAACAAAAACAAACATTAGTTATACACCAGAAGCGCACGCAAAAAAAACTGAAGCTATACACGATGGAAGAACTACACGTATAAAAGAACTGATCAATCACACGTAATTCAATTACACTTTTTGTGCGCGCACACGCCATCGCGTGTGTTTGTATGTGTGGCGACAGGGCGTCATTCTTGATGCGTGAAATTAAATCGGGCCCGGACGATTATCGAAGTTAAATCAATTTCCACCGCCAGCCGCCGCGCACATGCCGGAAGAACATGCACGGCTTGATTAACTTTTATTTCAATTTTAATCAATCGCGTAAGCGCGCTCGTCAAAAGAGTTAATCGCCTTTGGATGCTCGCAAACGAGCGACGCTTTGCCGGCGGAATCGTATCGTAACTATCAAAAGCTGGGGGACGACGACTCAGGAGGAGGAACCTTTTCGCTGCTTTAAAAACATGAAAGGCTACCAAACGGCTGAATTCAATGCCATTAGGTTATGGAGGTTTTAACGCTAAACACGTATGTGCGGTTTCCTTAACCGCACCGCCGAGTGTCAAAATCATTTCCATTTCGACAAATTGTAATCTGCGCCGTACGCCGATCAAAAGCGGTTTTAAAATGTTGTACGGTTTCCTTCCTTTGACAGCAACTTTGCACTTAACGGCGCGGCTTTACCGCAAATCTAATTGTTTCCCAGTTTTATGCAAGCTTAGCGGCTTAGAAATGCGCCGAGATGCAATTACGCTGCAACTGTGTGTGTATAAGTAAGCAACGATGTAGGTATACATCAATTGCAGATCGATTACACACCTGGAAAACCAGGCGCTCACTCGCAAGCACTTCAATTATTCACCAGGTTGTAGCCTACATTGTGGGGCGCGCTCATGTTTGGAGATGATGAGATGAAGAGCTCGCGATTAGGATAAAGAGATGAATGAAGCGCAGGTATCTTCTGGGCGCTAAGAGGAAGAAGAAAATTGCGCTCGCTATATGCTCATGCTCGTACAACGGCATCAGCGCTTCCTTTTTCGTTTTGCGATGATTATTTACGTACCGTACGTGCCGCCCTCGAAAATTCGAACCCATCGCATCCTTTGGGAAAACGCCGAAATATTTCTTCCGCGTTGGGGTTATTTTTTGTTTGTATCTCGTCTTTTTTTGTACTTTACAGATGGGTATTAGATAGCGACCATGGTTGTAGCCGTAGCGCATCGGCGATATATTTTGTCAGCTCATCTTTTTGCACGGTGTGGAGAAGATCTCACAAACGTGAAGTAGAACAAATAAAACGCCGCATGAAATAGTAAGTACCGGGGCCGGCTCGCCGGGGCAGTTTGTTTAACCAAGTTATAAAGATGAAATAAAATGACAAGGAATGTCACAATATTGCTGGCGCCATGGAGTAACGTAAAGTGGCGCGAGTTGACTAAGAGGCGCGGAGGCGGCAATGACGGAAAGGAATTGCGCCGAATGCACGTAACACGATAAAAACCCTCGGTAATAAATGTTTCATTCAGGTTTTCGGACGTTTACAAATCGCGTTTGTTTTTCGGTCGACGTTGTTGCCGTTTTGTGACTGCGTGTGCTGTCAGGGGACATCAAGCGTGTCACATAAAAACTTTCTCTAATGTCATGCGATGCATTTACAATTTTTACATTTTTCGAGAGATAAAATTCAACCAAATGAAATAATACAATTTATACTTTTGCAGTGTCTGCACTTCTTTAATTTTATAATATAAATTACACATTTTTGATATTTTTCTTGCGCGTTTGTTATTCTACATTTCCAACATTTTCTGTTTCCACAGAAAACTGTAAAACCTCGCCCGATGGCATGTACACACGCATTCCATATAAGAAAACTAGGAAAACAGCGTAAGAAAAGCGCTTGGTTTGCATTTAGCCGGCGCAGACTACGGAAGCGCACAAATAAGACGAGCACGTTTTATATATTCCATCCGACGCAATGAATGAAATAGAAAAATGCCCGCGTACCGTCGATCGAAGGATCGAACGGAAGAGTTACGATGTGTTTGGCAGTCGCTTCCGTCGAACCTCGAATGCAACTGCACTCACTAATAAAATCCGGCGAGCATGATTTATGCAATTTAAAACTTTTCCACTCGCTCGCAGTCTGCCCGGCAAACTGTGTTATCAAACACACAATGGCAGTTTGTAATTTTAACGAAATTGTCTTGTGCATTACGAAATTGCGCGTCGCGCGATATTTTCAAGATTGAAATTTAATTTCAATTTTACATTTGCATTTCCAAGTGTGCGAACGCAAACCTTGGGATACAACTGTGTGCTGCGAGGCGCTTAATGGCAGGGGTAGGTCCCGACTGTGAGGGTGGTGGAGGAGCGCGTAATTTGTTTGCTTTTGATGTTACACGATTTCCTAAGTCACCAGTCGACGTCGTTCAAGACGCACGACGCGTATTATGAGCGTTCATATTACGGACGCGCATTAATGAACGTGTTACTAATGCAAACCGACCTGAAAGGATTTAAATTTATGCTACCTTCGTCTGGTCTCCACGACATCGTCAGTTTATTCAAATTTAAAAACAAAAAAAGTATGCAAAAAAAAACTGTTAAACGAATTAATTGCAGGTTGGGATTGAAAATTAACTTGAAAATCAATTATTCCCCGAATCAAACGAACAAGTCATTAATATTCAAATTTAAAACCGTTTAATGTTTAATCAATGGATTCGGTGAGTGAAAATCAGTTTTTCTGTTTTAACAGCCGCAGAACGTTCGAAAGTCACATAAATTTCAACTTTCCACTAAGGCAGCGCTTCCTACAGCCGAGCGTGATTTATAATTTTATTCAAGTCTATTTTATCAGACGAACTAACGGTCCGTAATACGCGAAAACGGTTTTGTTGCACGCTTTTATTGTGCAATTCTGTATCGCAATTCGTTCCGTTTAATTATCACATTTTGCCGCGGCGTTTAAAATTTTAACGATCCGCTTTTTAAGTGTATCCACGTGTTCATTACCGCCATTACACCATTGAGTGTTTAATTCAAATGCAACTCTTTTACAGACAACTGTTGGCCGAGTTTCGCGCATGCTTCATGTCGGTATTCAACGATTATTTTATCCGTGTGCAACGAATCGCAAGCCGTCCGTATTCGTAAGTGGTGTGAGTGATACTTTAGGCAAACAATTGCCGCAGCGCAGCGTTTCCGGAATTCAAGAAATGCAGGCGGCGACGTCGTACGTGTTGTAAGTTGTGCGAGCGCGCTCGGCAGGAATTAAGTAAAACTATAACAATATTTAATGTGTTTGTTTAGCGTTTGATAATAAGTGCGCAAACATTTGACTACGAGCGGGCGCAAGAACTATGGCGGAGGCGCTTACCAAATGCGCGCAGCAGGAATGCGCTCGATGAATGTGCGAAGTGCAAACATGGAGAAGAAAGGGCGATACACCAACGATAAAACAGCGCGGCGGATGTGCAAACGTTGTTTGTGGACTTGTCGCAAGAAATAGGTCCACTTAAATGCATTACAGCTATTAAACTCAGCACTGCCCGGCGCCTTCACCTAATATTAATCTAAATATTATTTTTAACTAAGTATTATATTTCACACCGTAAAATCAGCAAAATTCTCGGAAGACAAGAGGTAAAGACGTAAACGTGCAACATTATCCATGTGCAGTCATCGCATTCGTCGTTTAAGCCGGCTTTTCCGGTGTCGTTGCGACGTCCCCACGCATTCGTGTCGCGCGAGTTATTTCGGTGTAAAACTCTTGTTTCCTGTCGGCCCTGTCGGATTTCAAGTCGGCGGCAGCCACGCCATTGACTGCCTTCCTGCCTTGCACAAACCGCGCCAACGTCGTTCCAACGTCTTCATATCGGAATTTTGTTCTATCGCGCAATTAAGATCTCTCGCGTAGTTTTTTCGCCCTCGCTGGAACTGCAATCGCATAACTTTCGTTGCGCTGCGCGATATCTTTCTATATAATTGTGTTTTTTGTGCCGGCTAAGATTAAGCCATTAGCCATAAGAGCGGAAAAGCGCAGTTGGAAAAGTATGACGACGACAACGAAATTATGTCTGAACGTATTAGTGTTCTTTATAAGTGCCTATAGCAAACAGAAAAACGCATTTTTTCCAAATGTGTTGTATAAGTGTTTTTCGCGAAAAAAAAGCAAGCGCGGGAAAAGCAGCAATCAAGGCGCTGTGCGATGATTAAATAGCACGATTATTTTTTCAATGCTTCCGAGTGGAGCAAGAGAAATCGCTATGTAATTGTGAGAATCGACTTTTTTCACTGCTTTCGTCATTCGCTGATGTTTTGCACCGCATATTTTTTGTTGCAGGCCGGATGAGTTGCAGGACTATAAAGTTGGCGAACGAAAAACGGTCGCGGGGCGAGTTAGAAGAGCAATTGAAGCAACCGGTAATAATGGCTGGTTAGCAGCCCGGCCACGACTGCGCCATTCGCAGCGGCACTAACTTTTTCCTGATGCGCTGGTTCTGCTTCCGTTTGCACCACTTCGTCATCTCTCTGCTTGCAGAAGGGCTACCGCAATGCAAAGCGACAAAAACGACGAAAGCAAAAAAGAAATTAAAACGCTTGCAGTCTTTCTACAAGTGAATAAAGTTTGTCGGCGGATATTTTAATCTTTGCGACGTGGTTCTTTCTTTTTCGGTGTTATAACTCGGTTAGCGAAAGAAACCTATTGTGAATTGTGTTTTAAGCATTTTTTCCAATTTGCATTCGGAGGTGTCTTTATTGTCTGTGTCGCCGCACACCGATCTAATATTACACGCTTCATTTCCTTGAGCTCTCTGTTCATGGCATGCCGAGAAGAAACAAAGAATAAAATTCAGGGCGCAAACGCGTGCCGCAAAAGGTTAATTTAAAATTGCATATTTAATATTACGACCTCAATAAATCCAGTCTGAAGAGCTTCTACGCCTTCTACCGCCCCCCAAATATTGTACCAAGTGTTCGCATGTTTTCTACCAACCGTAACCACAAC